CCAGAACAGGCGGATGGCCATCCAGAGCAGGCAGACGGCTGTCCATGACAAGCAGACGGCCGTCCATGACAACTTTTTGCCATGGACGGTCGTCCACTTAGCTTGGACAGCCGTCCATGGCAAAAAGTTGTCATGGACGGTCGTCCACACTACATGGACGACCGTCCATGGCCACTTTTTTCCCTCGACGGCCGTCCGCTTTGTCCAGACGGCCGTCCACCTTTTCCAGGCCCGAATCCCTATAAATAGGGGCCTCATTCCTCCGAATTTTCATACCTTTTCCACTCCTCCACTCTCTTGGAAGCCTTTTGGCACTTGAGAGTGACCCTGAGCATTATTCCGGGGTTCGAGGGAGCTTTCTGATTTCCGTTAAAGTTGAAATCGGTTAAGGAAGTCTCTTTTTGAGACATCCGGCCCTCGGTAGAGTGACTTTTCTTTATTTTGCGGGAGGAGCGTGTTTGTAGAGTGCGGGTTCTGCCAAAAAGCATCCTCACATTTTCAAAGAGTTAATATAAAGCTCGCTTCGGAGGTTCCTTCTCTATTCTCTGTCTTGTTTTACTGCTTTCTTTATCGCTTTCTTTGTGTGCATTAGATAATAGAGCTATGTAGATATTTAAATTCTGCAAGTAGATCAAATAATAGGGTAAAAATGTAATTTCTTTAAGTGTTTATTTTCTAAGTTAGTCCATCATAAGGAACCCGAAAGGGGCATTGTGGGGGTGTTAACACCTTCCCCACACGTAACTAACTCTCTTACCCGACTCTGGTTGTAATAGCCAAAGTTGATTTTTTCTAAAACCACTATTTTTTCTTTTTTACCTTTTTCAGTGTTTAAGGTTAAAACACTGATGGCGACTCCTCGAACCTATTCGAAAACCTCGCCTTTAGGTCTAGCCCGGTTATTGGACGACCTAAAGGCGTTGAACCGTTTCTTTCAAAGAAAATGCGAGTCATATAAAAACCATCGCGTCGCTCCGACCGCCTCTTCTGACGGCGGCGACACCCTCTGGTTTCTTTCCTGTGAGTGGTTCGAACATATCCTTCTGATACAGGTAATCCTCGATCTGCATCTTCTAGAACCCAAAGTCCGCACCATCGAACTTCTCGATTTTCACCTTTCCTTCATCTGCTGCTATCACTCCAACTCGGATCTGACTTTTCTGGATCATTTCTGACAATTTCTGTGAACTACCGTGTTTCGAAACACGTTTGTAGATAATTTTGTAGCACCGACAAAATTTTTACTATTCACGTTTTTACTATTCATAGAATAGTAAATTCACTATTCATATGAATAGTGTCACCACAAAAAATTGCAGAGTTAACAACCATCTGATACCAGTTGTTAGGAAAAATACACAGAACTTTTCCATCTAGTCAGATCTATGAAAGTGAAATAAAAATGAAATAAAGATGGAATAATTGGACACACCAATTGATAACGGAGTTCGACCAAAATTGCCTACGTCTCCGGACTACTACAAATATTTTACTGGGAGAAAAGAAAATATACAGGTGTTTACAAAGCATTCTCAAAACACTCAACCCTCAACCCAATTACACCCAGAAGCTAGATTATTTTTTTTTTGCTTCTTGCTGGCTAACTCTTGTAATGGTTGCTTTGGAATTGGATGATAGAAATGAGTGAAGTGAATGAGCATTTTATAGCAAAAGGAATGGTTCTTATGCATTTAAGGCTTTCCAATTTTTCTTGTCTCCAACCACTTGCCATCCAACCACTTGCCAACCAACCACTTACCACCTTTTTTTTACTTTTCAAACACCAACAATATTCCATGTATATCAATAATCCTACTAAAAAGTCATGAATATCCACCCGTCTAAGTTCTAAAAGTCTAGGTTATGTGTAAGAATACTCTATGATTGTGTTTGGCTACTTATTTCATTTAACTTATTATTCAATTAGCTTATGAATTTAATTGAAATATACTAATGAAGTAAATAATTTCTTTACATTATTATCTAATATATATTATCAGATAACTAAAAATTATTGACCTTTATAATAATTTTATATGTTTATTTATAGTTAATCAACGTAAAAAATTGTATACGAAGTCTATAAAATTAATAAACTCTCACTTGTATATTTGTTTAATTCAAGTAATAGTGTTTACTACATGAATTTATTGCATTAACATATTATAGCAAATTTTGGCAATTGTATTTGATCAGATAGCTGAACGTTATGTCAAATTTGTATAACAATACGTTTACATTTTTTTAAAATATATGGACAAAAATAATTTTTATGTATTTATAGTTTTCTAATTCAATTTTAAACTCTTATAAACATCTCAAAAAGTTGATAATAATAATTAATTACAAATAAAAATAAATATTTTATTATGAGTAATTATGTATGAATTATTTAAAATTTAAAAAATAATTTATATATATATATATATATAATATTTTAGTAATTTTTAAATAATTCATTAGTTAGATTTATAATAAAATATTCATTTTTATTTTTAATTTATTTTTATTAAAGAATTTATTTAAAGATGTCAAAGAGAATATATTTTACTAAAGATATAAGTAATTTTTTATTAAAATATTAAGAGTAAAATTAAAAATTAAAAAATAAAAATAAAATATAAACTTAAAAGTTATTAAATAACAAAAACTAATTATAAATGGTCAATACAATTACTTATTATTACATTTTTCAACTCATGAATATATATATATATATATATATATATATATATATATATATATATATATATATATATTCTCCAAAAAAAATCAAATGAAAAATTTAATAAACATGTAATTGTATCAAATGCATCTACTTTTACATACACATTTTACATTTATCACTTAATTCAATAACTATTTTCGTCAAAAACTTCTAATTTAATAAAATAATCAATTTAAATTTTTAAGTTTCAACCAACTTTGAAACTCTAATTATTTTTACCAATTAGACTAAATATCCCCAGGTCGAACAATAATATTGTAATCGCTTATCAATGTCCTGATTTAATGAGTAGACAAAATAAACAGTTGACTAACTGATACTCTAACAAAACAATATTAGAATAGATCTAGTTGACTAAATATGAAACATTTTTTCAATAAGAGATTTAAACTTTAAGTTTAACATATTTTATGAGACTATCTCATTTTACTAAACCTAACTATAATTATTGAAACTTATTTAAACCACAAGAAAATATACACGTGACTTGTAGCATATCTTGTCACCATAAAATGTCCCATTGTCAGAGAATTAGAGGTAACATAAAAAATTGATTAAAAACTGAATCAATTGTTAGCGTAGTGATAGTAGCATAGTTTTAAATCACGTAAGAAAGAACTAATCACTTTCGTCAACCCAATCTCCATTGGTAAGAGACCCGTTGCTTAATATTGGACTAGAGGAAACATAATGATGATAAATTTCAAAATTGAATCTTCCCATCTCAAATTTTACGACTTTATCACATAAAAATATATAGGTGTTTTAATCTACTTATACGTTAAAAAAATATATAATTTATTAAAAAAACAAAATAAGATCTTACCAGAACTTGTGTGCACTTTCGAAAAAGAAAAATGACAGTTTTCTTACGACACCATAAAAAATGGTTAATTTATTTCCATTTAATTTCATATCACACTTTGAACCTACTAAACAGAACATTAGCCATGGAAACTTCTAATAACGTCAATTCGACAAAAAAAAAAAGGGACAGCTGATCGAAGGTGACTAAGAAGGAAAATAAAATGTCTATAATTTTATCAGCTATACATACATTTGCCTTGTAAAATATGTTTATACGGCAAAAGGTGGGAAAATATAATCATATAATTAACATAGGATCATGTAAAAAAATAACCCAGAAATATTTAGTATGACTTATCAATCGTTCTTCTGTTGTACATTCCTTTAGCATTATAAGATAATCTTAAAGGTGTGTTCATTGTCCTACAACTTATAGGGATTTAAGAACCCGAAAAACTATGAATTCAAAGTGAATCCCTCTGGAACTGGACCAATCAACCCAACGTGAAAACCTGTTGAGTTGTAGGCAGTAATTGCGATCTTCCATGGCAACAACTGTGGCCTCTTCAGCAAAATACGCTTTGTTGGTTTGTTATGACCACACTAGTCATCATCCATTACAGGGGAAAAATCAAAATTTAATAAAATTCTATCCAACATGAGTTCATCTGTCCAACACAGACTTGAATGAAACATGAAGGGGCAAATTTACTGAGACACTTTGCTTTTAACATCCATAAATGTTGCAACAGGCTACCTGCAGATAAATCTTTCCAAAAGGATTATTAGTGAGACATTTAAATTGATAAACACAAGTATGAAAGACACCTGAGCAATCTAATTATGACCACATCCAACAGTTTCAACTGTTTACTAATCGATCTTAAATGTCAAAGCACAAGAAAACCAAATTTCAGAGCTAGGAGCTACTGTTGATATGCATCATCTTAAGCAATAACATGTTATTTGGAGAGAATAATACCCAATTCTTAATTCAGCTCTGCAGTTACATGGTGCAAAATGGAGACACATCACAATAAAAAAATGTTGGATAAGAAATTGTTAGCAACAAGCCTTATTATAAAGTATATCTTTGAAGAAATAAAGATGAGCGCAAAGACCCGAAAGGAACAGTCTTTATTAGTAAGACCTTCTCTAACTATAGTAGCAGAGGCAGAACGCATATAGAGGGTTTGTGTATTAAGACAAATTGATTAGCATTGTATATTATTCTTGCTTGAGGATAGACAAATTTCCTTACTTTCTTTCCTATTAATGTCAGGTTTTTTATTTGGTATCTATCAAATATCTACTCAAAAATCCTTCGCATCCAAAATTTAAGGTGGAAAAACGTAAGTCAACGCTTAGGTCGTTTTTTAAGGTAATGTCAAAGTATGTTTGGTTTGAAAATTATAATTTACGGTTATTACCTGTACAGGACACAACAGAACATAACAAAGATCATTTAGCTTCCCTGAAGAACTCTCTGAGGATCAAGTTGTCCACTGCAATAACTAGAGGGAACAGCTGAAAGCTCTAACCTTCCTTTCCATTCTTCTCCAGGTTTCAAAGTGATAGGCTTTTCAATAGCAGCAGCCTCTACACAGAGCATATACTTGTACTCATCATCACCAAAATCAGCCATGGCCTTTGCTTTCTTATCCCAAGGATTCCACACGACTGCACAGATTAATAATAAATGTAAATTAAAAAAGAAAAACACTACTAGGCAGACAGTCACTTAAATGTAAACTTAGAGTCATCAAACTCTATTGTAATGAAGGCGTATATAATATCTACTTGGTCAGAGTGGTTGAGTTTGACAGTTTGTGCCAATAAGCTATCAATTTCATGCCTTCTGATTCTTCCAACTTCATTAGAACTGGCTTAAAAAGTCTTGCATGACTAGATTAGAAATGTATTAAGTTAAATTTGGAAAAAGTCATTGCCAGCCTAAATCATAGTTTCTCACAAAAGGCACCGTCACCATATTGGTACACGTTATACCGCACGAGGATTCTGGACATGAAAATCAGAATATATGCATATTTTACAAAATACCGGGTAGTCTGACTATCACTCTACCTCATTCCATTCTTGTTGATATACACACATATGAAGTACAACTTGAATTACATATAATGGAAGTTCCAGTCAGTACACTTATCAGTAATACAAAATTTCTATACAAGATGAACTCAATAATACGCACCAGCATCAGGAAGGCCATCTTTACGCACAACAAATGTTCTCTTCTTTTCATGATCAATAATTGCAATCTTTGTGGGAGTGCTGAGATATATCTTGTCAACCTATCATATCAAACAGAAGAATCAGTTTACTATAGTCAACAAAGTCTATCAATATATTAGAATTGGCCACATGATGTAGCTAGAATGGACCAACTAATACTAGAAACCAGGTACAAACATATACAAACAAGATCGGGTACGTGTTTTTCTTTCTTTTGTTCCTTTTTCCAATTTTATTTTTTGTTAATTTGTAAATTGATTAATAATTAAAAGACGAAAAACATCTTTAGGAACTATAAATGTTTGAATGTTCTATAGAACCAAGTGCTGAGTCTATCACTTTTTTTTTCAAATTAAAAATAGAAATTGGTCTTTTAAGTTTCACCAAAATGTTTTATATTAAAAGTAAATAAATTTATTTATTTATTTCACTTAATTTAATTTACGGAAATAAATCCACATTGCACATTTAATATCAGTGCCTTGCTTCCAAAACAAAAGACAAGGGAAAAATCGATCTTACCTCTGATTCAAACGTTAAAGCATCCCCCTGTTCAGTAAAGCGGTCCCTGTTCTGCAAATTATCAAGATAATCCAGGGTCTCCAATCCCTCCACTCGAACTTCACTGAATTCATCCAAATAAACAAAGTTAGATGCTAATCCATATTTAATTTAAAAAAAAAAATAATGAACAAAAAGTCAAAAGAAATACAATCAGAAAAAAGTCGGTTGAATTCACCAATAAAGAAAAAGAAAACGTAAGTAGATTGTTTATATATATACAACAGAAATTTCTAATTCCTCCAACCAAAGCGTAAGAAACATAACAAAATATCAAACAGAAATATTTCATGATACACGTCACCTTTTGGTTATGTACAAATGCACCAAAATTAACTTGGATAGCGTGATAACATTGCATACTGAAAATTCAATACAGGAAATCACAATAGGTCATTATTTTACCCAGGCTTATTGAAAATTTATACGTCCATACTCTGTACATCATATACCAAAAGTTGGTTGTAGAAGTTTGAAGTTCCGAGCATTTTCACATTTCAGCACAGCTCTAAATCAAAATGGCAACGTGTGGGGTTCATTACATGGGGCATACCAATTGCCCCATTGGACTCTCAAAATCTGAATTTCCAGTAAAACAGTTGATAACGTGTATTTTAATGGTTTCTCCTATAATTTTATTACACATTCCTCTAACCCTTTTAGGAAGCAAACTAAGTTAGACACTTCCTCCCACCCATGCCACCAAATTAAATGCGCCCACAACAATGCTTTGATATCCCTTTCTAACATAAATGCACCTGATTTTGTAATGAAGAACTTCAGAATAAGTAATTAATAAATAGACTTTAATATGTTTGTGGTCCCAAAATATGTTTATTTTTTCTTCTGGTCTTTAATAATTTTTTTTATTAATTTTTGGTCCCTAAAAAATCATTTTGTATTTCATCTATACTGTTACATTAGCTTTATTAACTTAGACACATCACAATTGGAAAACATATGCCAACATTTATTTCAAGGACCCAAGAAAATTCAAAAAATATTGTAGCAACCATTTAAATTTAAAATAACCAAAATGTTTCAGGGACAAAGTACAAAATAAATCAGGGGCCAAAATAATAAAAAAATAAAATAAAAAAATAAGAGGTAGCAAAATAAAAAGCCAAACATATTCCAGGAATCAAAAACATATTTAAGCCTAATAAATATATGGACAACTAACAGCATCCACAATCTTGATTACAAAATTCACCAATTATAATACGATGACAAATCCATTACAAAATTTGTGATATGTCATCATTGAAGAAGACAAATAAAATTTGTAAGTAAACAGTAGAAAGTTGTTAAATGTGACAATAGTGTTAATGTATAAATGAAAACAGAACAGTATTACGAAACAGTGATAAAGTGTGAAATAAACATATTGCACTAACCTTATGTCTGATACAGAGAAATACGTATGATATGCAAAGGTGAATGAAAATGGCTTTCCCTCGCTGTTTGTGTTCCTGATCCGTGATGTCAACATCAGATCTCCTCCTGGTCCCAAAGCTATCCTAAGACGGTATTCAAAACTACAAGCAAAAGGAAAGGCATATAATAGCATAAGGAAACATAATATAACCAATTCAAACTATGAAATAACATCGTTTAATAAAAAAAGATAGTTAAAAAATAAACACAGACAACATAATGAACATTTTTAATACCTGTGAGGCCAATTTTTCGAGTCTTCTTCAGAGGGTTTAAGTATCAAATCAACAAAGGCTTTGCTCAATGTATTAGTTGGAAAAGGAGGAGGATCATCGTCAATGGTCCAGAATCGATTTCTAGCAAATCCATGTTGGTCAAGGGTGCCAAGGCCTCCAAACTGAAAACAGAAAGCAAGTTTCCGTGATCATGTCATCTTGAAAGATATGATAATAAACCGTATTTCTTTAAAACCATTTATAAATTTGATGATATACAGAAATAGATTGTAGAATTTTAAATTACAGGGTTTTTAATTTTTAATTGATATAATATTTATTTGGGATTTGCAGATTGAGTTTGATCAAAAAGTGTAATAAAATGTAGAAGGAAAATGAATTTTTAAAAATAAATTATGTAGGCATTTTATTGATAGAAGTGGTGTTAATAATCAGAATAGTGGTCAATAGGCAACTGGGGATTTCCATCCAGCATCCACCCATCACGCAAGATCAACCACATGTATAAATATATCCTTGAAATATGTGTATAAAATCATCAATTTGTACTTGTAGCATTAAGTAGTTAATATTGTTATGAAATTATTGAAATGTCATTTTTACAATGGAATTAATTAATTTTAGAACATCAGTCCTTATGTTTTAAGAGTATTGTGAACCATTAACACTGCATATTTCATCCCTCTTCTTCCTTTCTTCACATTTTTCCTCTTCTTCTAAAAATGCATTATGATGACAAAAACAATAATGGAAAACAAAATTATGTAAGAAGTACGTACTTGAGGAAAGCAAATTGGAATCCCTCCACGAATTGCCTTTGGAGGCTTAAATACAGCCTGCATAAGGAGCAAAATAACAGTAAATAATATGGATCATAGCTCATCTAGTTAACATAATAACTCACCTCAGAAGTATTCAAAACCAGAGTACATGAACAGACCATATCAAAATTATTTTGCTAATATGATTTGCTGTTATTGAAGCATAGAATAATATAAAAACGGAGTTCAAACATTTTATATAGTAGATTATAATCAGGATAGAAATTCACACATTCCTAGCCAATTTAGAGAAACTAAATCCATCTCAAAATCAAAAACGGTGTTTGATATTAATGTTCCATAAAGACAAACCAATATATCCTAAACCGCAGCAAGATCCTACAGTTATAAGAAGTCAAGCTATTACTTCCGATCACTCAATGTAGAAATAAATTCAAAGTATAACAACAATTAACAAACCAATCGAGATCTATAGCCCAAAATTCGTATTTTATCTTCTTCATTCCGTCACAACAGCACATAATGGAAAAAACAAAAAACTATTACACGACGGCGTAGCTAGCGAAATTAATGAACTAACAACAAAAGATGAAATACAAACACGTTACATCGTCCTTCTCACACACACCTTACTACTGAGAAAAAGTAACTCCTCGCCATGGTCGTTCTTCCACGAAGTCACGTGAGCACCGTACAGATACACCTGAACAAGATCGCCACGCAAACGTCAGAATCAGACCGAGCCAGAAACCAACACAATCGTTTTTTCTTTTTCCATTCCTTTAATTCTACGATTTATATAATTGCTCAAAACCAGATCGAGCATCCTAAGCTGATTAACCGCAATAACAGTTCACAAAACCTAAATCTCCAGATCCGAATAATTCTTACGAGATCGGCACTCCGCAGAAAGACACGTCAAATGAGAATCTGCGAATGCGAACCGAGAGATGGAAAACAACGAGCGAAGCAGATCAAGGTAAAAACAAAAAAACAAAAAACCGAGATATGCGTTTTGAGAAGAATGATAAGCGATTACCTCGGCAGAGGAGCCACGTGATTCGCGGAGGATAACCTTCTCGAGACCATTGACGCCTTTGGAAAACTCCACGTAAGGAGAAGATGAAGGTGCAGAGGTTTTTTCTTTTTCGCTACTCATGACAAAAATAATAATGAAAATAAAATGATACTACTACCGAATAGTGGTTCCTATGGTTGCTTCGTTCTATTGCTTCTTAATAAATTTATACTGACAGAAGAAAATCGTAAACTCTCTTGATTTCAGGAACTTTGGATTGGGCGCTCTGAACTTCACCGCCAATTCTTCTTCTCATAGGCGAAGCTACGCTATTTCGTTCCGTTTCTCGGACACTCTCCCAATATCCTCTCTCATTCTGTGTCCGTGCACTTCTAAACTTTGTTTAAAAGTAAGTAAATAAAAGTCTAATTATCTTATTTCGTCCCACCCTATTAATTTTTAATTTGTTTTATTATTTTTTTTAACGTATAAACTTAATTATTGTACTGTTTTTTTATATTACTTATGAACAAAACTTATACACTAATTATACAAATATTTTCATATTCTCGTCCTATAATAAATTATTAAATTTGATAAATTCATTGACTTTAAGGATAATTATTTTTAAGTTGTATTAACAATTATTTGTAATTAGATTATGTTAAAAACTATGTTATATTAGTATATTACTATTAAATTGGTCATTTATTTTTTTTAATATAGAATATAACTATTTGTTTTAATCTTTATACTTAATTTTAAATAGTTTAAATAGTCTACACATTTACATAAAAGTTAAGTTCTGGTCTCTATCATTAATATAGTTAGTTAGTAATGTGATTATCTGATTAGCTCTAGATTTAATATTATTGACATGTATTGCTAACATAATAAATTACATAGATACATTACATGAACATGACGAATGAAAGTGACGTAACAATATGACATTATTGAAAATTAATGATATAATTTATGTAAATAATACTTTACGAATTAATTATTATAGAGATATTATTCTGTGAATTAGTTTTAATGTAAAAAATATTAAGTTTTAATCATTATATTGCTTTAAATATGAAAATATTTAATTATATTTAATTTTGATAAAAAAAACAAAAAACTCACATAATCAAACTAGATTTTTTTCTTTTCTCGGTCTAGCGACTTGCAAACTTTATTTCTTATTTATAATATTTCACTTTTCTTACGTCTAAGAAGCTTACGTTGTTTAGTGGGTTTAAATACATTATTTTGTTCTAATTCACCTAATATTCTTTAAGAATAAAATTAATAATGGAATCGAATTTAATCTTCAAAGTGCCCAATAATTTATTTTATTTTTCTCTTTTGTGCGTACCTACCTTGATACAACATGTAGAGGCATGGAGTTTTTCACCAACTGTTAAAGTTTTACACTCATAAATTTGTTTTGGGTAATCTGAAATTTATTTTTTTGGGAGCATGTAAAATTTCCATACTTAATTTAATTTCTAGAACTTTGGATCTAACGTATTTTGGAAATAAGGTCAATGGAAAGAGTGTAGTTAGGAAAACAAAGAGGTGCTTAGAGTAATAACCTTGAACAAATATAAATGAAGTCGCTATTAACACACGCACACACAAACACCTAATTTTGTTTTTTTATCAATTTTGTTCCAATAATATTTTTAAGAGAAATCTTATTTACATTGTTATCAGTATTTATTGATGATGTTCACCAATCATGGTAAGAGTTTCATCTTAGTTATATATGATGTATTTAATAAGCTGTGGTTTACAAGAGTAAAACTCTACTTGTTGGAGAACGATGCGAACCATACCAATATGGTATCGTTTCTGAATATAGTTCATATTCTTATCCACAAGCTTGGTTTCATCATTTAGAAAATTAGTTTTTTTAAAAGAAAAATGAAAATGTTAAATGATTTTTAGAAAATAGATTTCATAAAAATGTAAGAATAAATGTGCAAAATAAATTCTATGAACAATTATGGAAAATAACTTTTTGCATATTACATACTTTTTTGGAAATTAAATTTTTGAAAAATATCATTATTATCATTTCATAATTATCTAATTCAATTAGTTAAATAACTAATGTCATTTACGAGTATTGAATTAATTTATTTTTATTAAATTTACATAAATGTATGGTAATATATATATATATATATATATATATATATATATATATATATATTATTACAATTGTAAAAATTGAATTTTACTTTTCACCATCTAAAATATCATATGTCACCTCCAAAATAATTTGGTTTTATGTGGTAGCATATGATTCAACATCTTATTGCCTAATTTGTCTAATCTATTCTAAGAATGTTACATATAAAATTAGGAAAGAAAATCAATATAATTATGGAGGCAGGATAACAATGGTACCACACTCTTATTTTTTAAGATGCCACATCGTATTTAAAAAATGATTTGACTTACATGGTAACATGTGATTCATTAAAAAAGATTAACTTTATAACATTAAATTTATAATTATAGAAAAGATGTGAAAAATACCTTCTATTGATTTTATAGCCTATCATTATAAAAATTCACCAGCACTCATTCACCTTCTAAAACATTCCGTCTAATCTCAATTATTTGATTACTTACGAAAATGTATTTTAGCAATACCAAAAAGTTATACTGGATTAAAAATTGAAGGTGAGAGCTTTCCAAGTTTGTGCACATTAAGTGTTTATATAAAACAAAAGGATGTTCCCAAAGCATTAGGGTGGTGTTGACATATGGACCATTAAACGGTACATGTGTCGTGACAGCTAGCCACCAATTTTCATGTGTTATGTCTCAATGAAAATGGATGTTAAATGCAAAATTTTTAATTGTTAATTTAATTTTATTATAAATATTTTATTTAAATAAATCAACTTTATTTTCTTAAACTTGTAGTTCTTAGGATAATTTAATTTTTACTATTGTACAAAATTTATTTAAAACAAATGAAATTTTAATACTGAACTTCAAGAAAACATAAATATTATTAAATATTTAGTATTTATCAATTGAAATTAAATAATATTTAAAAATTTAAAAATTATAAATATTTATATATTTATCATAAAATATGATAGAGACAATAGAGTAAATAGAGGCCATATACATCACAATGTGATACAAAATATTAGGGATATTAATTTAATCAATTATCCTGATGATCCAATTTGATAATATTGCAATCAACAAACATTATTCTGGAACATGGAAAATGTCAGACATTCGAGAATTAGAGGTAGGAAGAATCCAAACGGAAATGACTTACAGAATTAATTTCTGAAAGTCATTCGGGTTTTCTAGTTCTTGAATCTTATTTTCTACATAATAAAAGCAAACTCAAGTATAAAAAACCTAGTGTAATAAAAAATGTCAAGGTGTAAGTAGTAAAAATGGAAGGTTTAAAGCATGTTTTCCGGAAGTACTTTTCTTTCTCCTTGAGCCCCCTTTTATTCACTTAACACATGGAATGTAATTGAATCTGTAGTAAGATTAGTCTAACTGAAGAATTTAGATGAATTGCAGGAAATCATAGTTGCATTAATGAAGGTAAAGTAGATTATTCACATGAGATTGATCATACAGTCTGCTGCTTTTATACCAAATAATAATGATAGAAAAAACCCTGAACGATGTGACTACTTATTATTTAACTTAAACCACATATATACTATTAAACTAGAGGAAAACGGGCTCCAAAGTACAATTGACAACAAAGAATCACACTTTATTTCCAAAACAAATTACGAGTTGACTGATTGTTACACTCACTGTACACACTTCATCCTCAATATCAATACAACCTAAGTAGACCGCATTTGCAACCCAAATTGCTTTACCAAAACAAATTTAAATTAAAAAATAAAATGAAGACTAACATGAGACCTCAAAAAATAATATAAATAAAAGCAAGCTCACAAACAAACTCTGCCCTATAAAATTAATGCCACGCAGCTAACTCATCAAAGAAATAACCCTAAACATTCAAACCATTGGAAAGAGATGGGGAGAGGTGGAAAATCTCTAATTCTCTTCATGAAAAGTTTCTTGGGAGCAGATGCAGCTATGCTAAAAAAAACACTGATGCTGTCCCCTTTACTTCCACATGTTTAGTTCCACACTGCAAAACAGAATAGCTCCCTTGAGCTCTAAGACACACACTAGAAGGAAACATAAAAATGACAACGGAAGAACGAATAACTAAAATTTTATAATCAAAATTTCTTCTACCTGCAACCTAAACTGCAGGGAGCTGATAGAAGGCTAAGTAAACTTTCAAGAATCAGAATAACTGAACAGCCATTTTGAGTTTATTTTGTTTCCATTTGGGCAATTTGTAAAAGGCATCCTTGGACATCCCAAATTTCTCTTTGAACTCCGCAGATGATAGATAAGTCTGTATAGATCATGGCAAACAAATGAAATAAAAATTAACTTTACATAGCAACTACAAAGAATGGAAGAAAACAATAAAAGATGAAAATCAAGTAGAGAAGAGATGCTATAGCTAGATAATCCATTATACCTCTCGCTTAGTCACATCAATACTTGTTACAGGATCTGTCGCTGTTATTTTAAGGCGTTCATATGGATAAATCACAAGACCTTCCTCATCTTCAACTTCATTCTCTTTCACATCTTCCTGTATTGTAAGAGATTCCACTCTAGTGCTCACAGCATTCTCCTTGTCATTTTTCTCAGGGTTTGATTTTGGCATTACAGGACTCACTTCACATTGCAAAAAGCCAAAAAACAAAAAACATATTTTTAAGTAAATTAAAACACTTAAAAGATTTAGTCAAAGCGGAAGAGCGAGAGGGGCGTTCAAATATCTCATCTATTGTTTACCTTTAAGTGACCGAGGTATCATAGTTTCCCGTGCTGGAGGTGGCTGTTCAAAAGAAGAACTAAGTGCAGCTATGGCTGCAGCTTTTGGTGCCAGTATTGCAGAATCTGGTGTCACAGATTTTGGATACAGCTTCCTAACTACAGGAGGCGGGGTTGAAAGGTTCCTAGCATTAGGGTTCTCAAAATTAGCTGCTAGAGCATTAAAGGCTGGAGACCTGCCCCTCACACGAACACGATCAGGACTGACAGACATGCTGCGGGAGGAACGCTGGGATTTATCTGGCACACTACTTGACCTTCCCCCGTAAGATACAGGTGTTCTCCGTTTGGGTTTCTGAAACATTCCAAGTGTTCAACAACCAAACAAAAAAAATGTAAATAAAATAGACTGAAGTATTTTTCCCTCCAAAGTAGCAGGGCAGAGCAGATTAAAAGATGAAATACATGAGTATGATCTGAGAAGCATCTCGGTTATAGTCCAAAGAAGTAATTATATCTATATAAGGGAATAATTAGAACTGAACCTACTCAGGCTTGTATCTATACTTAATAAGGATCAGAATACACTACACACGTCCTAAAATTGATATAATGTGTTATTTATTTTTCTCAAGCATGTGTAGCTCAACTGGGACTGGCTGAACTCTTTCATTTCAAAACTTGGGGAGGGGTGATATTCATGTCAGATGATTGATCTACACAATCAATTGATCAAACCACCTTTTCTTCACTAAACAGTAGATATGCATAGACATATACTTTTCTTTATAAGCATACATATACACTTTGAAAAACCTGTGTTTTTAACTTTCCAAATATCCTAAATTTCTTATCAAAACATGTAGGAAAGCATGTAAAGAAGATTCTAAAAGCTAATACAAGATTGCCAATAATTAACCCCAGAAAAAGAACTGACTTTTTCAATAATATATTTTTTTTTTCTGTTGCTTTTCCAGTGGAACTATTAGAACATTTACGAAAACTGTTCCGTATTTAATTTATTTCTGAATATACAAAATTGCTAAATTATATATTACAACATTTTCCACACAGCCTAAATTGTTAGCAGTTATTAGGATCCTTAAAAGTATGCGTTATTGTCCCAACAATAATTTACAGAACAAAAGAGGGTTAAGAAAAATCCATTGAAGTTCGAGCAGCATATCATTCACTATATTCCTAACAAGAAGATAGTACTGAAAATTTAACTATTGAGTTTGAATAAATATTTTAAGCAAGAAATAGAACATTTAATTAGTGATTGTAAGATCGGAGGGGGGAAATTGCCTTACATCCAAAAGTGGAGCACCCCCACTTTTCACAAGTGTAAGCTTCCTTTGAAATGAGTTGCCCAGCATCTGCAAAGTAAAAGGAATTGCCAATAGTCAGGATTTAAAACGACCAGAAGTCATATTATGATGTCATGCATTGAGAACTTACTGTAGATTTTGCAGAATCCCATTTAAAGAAGCGTGTGAAGAAAGGTGGCTCACTCCCTTCCATAACAACATATATTGGAGCTACACGAGATAATTTTTCTAGAAGAAAATCATGCTCAAGAAATTTCTGTTCAAATTAAAAAGAAGTCAATAAATCCACACCAGACTTTCTAATATGATGATAAACAATGTCATGTAAAAGACATAAGAATGTTTAAGCAAAATCTTAAAATTTTTCTAATGATACAGAAATGTCGTAGCACTTAAATAAACATTAAAATAACTGAAAATACATAACAAAGTCCTCAATACACTAGACACTAAATTTTACTAGCATGTCGATGGTTTCCAGTACAACCAGTAATACCTCGCCAATTGTTAGAGCCTGCATTCTACTCTTGGAGTCAACCTGCTGTCCAACCCAGACAAAGATTTCCAAATGACAATCCAAGATGAAAATGTCTTCTGTCATCAAATCATCCTGGGAGAAGTTGTATACCTCTGTCACCTGAAAATATTGCTTCAGATTAATGCATTGCAGAGAAATGAATCCAAGTAATTTATCCTCATAAGCAGAATAACACACTGGAGTACATTATCCTAAAGATTTCATAAATGTGTTTCTAGTATAAGCCAAGGAATCAAAAAAGTGTTCCATAGCTCATTGACCAGACTATGTTGCCATTCTTCACCTGAACACAGTCTCTAAAAGAAATGTGAACGTGCTCAAGCACATGCGCCAAGTCCCTAATACTAAATATTTACGTTGGTTAGTAGCATTTGCTTTATTTTTCTGTTCAAGTGCTCATTACACAACTAGTAATGTAGGTTTGACTTCAAATTATATCTGCTGCAGTGTAATAAATACATGTCAGAACAGACATCTAATTGAGTAACTGACCGTATTAGCACATTATAAACTAGTTTGGTGACCTGCGCAATCCATGGGCTAATCATTAAAGAGCTTGATCAACAGATGATGATATATTCTTCAATGGAAATCATGTTGATTTGTTGCTGATGCAGCTATAGCAGAAAAAGGAAAATGGATACCGGTCAAGGCCAAATGCATAGGAACTATTGGAGGATTCCATCATAGAAGAAAGAGAAATTTCAAACATAATGGACACGTGACAGCTGAGGATAGGAGAAAGGAATGCTGGAATCAACATGCAAGGCGGGGAGGGATGAAGAGGTTGAGGATGAGAGGTGACTGGAAAGATAGTCATGGGATTTAGGGTGGCTTACAGGCTTAGGCCTTGGGGAAGAGATAGTTCACTGCTTCATCAATATCTATCCTAGTTTTCTCTCATACTTGTGGTTACATTTCCTTCTTCAATTCTTACCATTGTAGCAAGAAGCAGTGCTCCCAGGTTTTCATACTGAATAGATATCAGCACTAACCACTTTTCTCCCTCAGATTTTTTCTACAGTCATGTTGGATTATGTATCTTTCAAACTGTATTTTATCCCTGTTATTTGCAGTTCATCGACCATCACTTTTTTACAATTGGAACTATTTGCTTACATTTTCCAACAGTATCAGGTTGATCAAATTAGCATCTATTTTGACCGTATTAATAATGTGTCACTTGTGTTTATGAAAATTGTGTCACGCTTTTGCTAATTTGACAAGTGACTACACAAGTTATAAATAAAATATTTTTGGAGACAAGGTAAGAAGGACTAGTTTAATACACCTTCATACACATTGGGTCTCCATAAATCCCAAAATCATGTATGCAGAAAGTATAGCTTAAGATTAGTGGGTATACTCACCTTTAAATTTCCTGCACATTGCTCAGTCAGGTAGCAGAAAAATCCATCATAAGCAAGTCAGCTCTTTGCCTTCAGAAGGGGGAGGGAAAATGCATTTATCAGTTTAGAAAACAAAAAGCTGTTCCTTACCTTTTGAGAAGTGACAACAAAATAGGTGAGGATCACTTTCTGCCTCTCTAAGGATCTTTTGACTGGGATATTCTGACTTTCCTCCTAACAAATCCCAAAACTGTTCAGATTCAGAACCTTCCCTCTGTGGTTTGGATTGTAAATTTGGCTACAGAAAATGGGTGGCATATGAGAATCAGATAAACAGATAAAAAAGAATATTTAATAGTAAAGTTAAAAAAACACTCTCCTCCTTTCCAAAATGCTACAATTACAGTCAACTTCTCTAATTTTAAAACTACACGCTCTTTCCTTAAGAGATGAAATATGCTAAATTTATTCCATTTTAAGGTAGTCGTATCCTATAGTGACAGTGAGAAACTACAAATAAACCTCCTATGGACATATTTCCTCTGTGAAACTTTTAATGTCACTAGCAACTAATTTTAAACATTCTATTATTGGTTTAGGATCTTTAGAAGATGAAATGAAATTTTAAACTTTACTACTATCAGCTTTGAAACTAAACCTAAAATCTGTATTTCATCCCTCAGAGTCTTGAAGTTGAAAGAATCGAACTAATTGCCAATGATGTTAAGAATCACAAAGAAATAAAAATTGTCATTACGAAGCTTATTCAAATAAAAACAGATTGAAGTGAGATGCATATTAATCCCTTAGGAAAGGAAATTATAATTTTATAAAATAGAGAGAACTGTAACATAAATAAGCCTTTATCAACGTAGGAGGAGTAATTTACTTGTTCAGTAATAATGTATTTTAAAAATTTTGAAAGTTTACAAACTTGCATAGATGTATGGGTTAATATGATAATTCCGTTAATATCAATACAACTTCCGGGTGATGGTTTAGATGCATCACAATTTTCTCACTAATTATATGTTTTGTAAATAACAAACCTTTATCAAATCCAGCAGCCTCTCAACAAGTTCCTGGTCTTCTGCACTTGTAGAGTTTCCAGACCAAGTAAAGACAGCAGGCCCATTATGAAGTATGTAGCAATAAGAGGAATTTAACGAAGATGCAACCTGGTTGACATAAGAATATGAAAAAGAAAAATTAATAACATAAATAAATGAGTATATTCAAAAGTGTTAGAAGGAGAAATCAGGTCATACTGGTTCAAATTGTATAGCTTGCATATTCTCTGGTCCAGAGCCTTGGATGCGGAATAATGCAACACCATTCTCATTGTATGTCTCATCAGGAATTTCCTTTTCTGCAATGTAAGTCTTGTATCCTTCACCAAGCCCACCCTAATGATTAATGGAAAGAAGAGTAAAATGGTCGGTACTTACCACACTCACTAAAAAGAGTAATTTAGTTCCCAAAGGAAAGAAGAGTAAAATGAACCTTAAAAACAATGAAGCTTTGGAGGAGAGAATAAAATTGAATTGGTTCATTGCCTTCATATATACGAGCCTATAGTCAATTAGACGTGCATAATATCAGTAAGGAGAGAAATGAGCACAAACAATATCTCAGAGAAGCGAACAAGACAATTTCCAGACAATTTACCTGGCAAGCAAGAAACTTCATTGACTCAACCATTGAGCTTGCCAATGAGTTAGCTGAAGCTTGTTCTTCCTGTTTTTAACTAAAAAAGCTTGTAAACAATGCAGGCAATAGATTCACAATACTCCAAATGCAAATTTATAGCAAGACTGAAACAAATTCTGTTATGCATTTATTTGACAGTTTCTAGTCTCAAAACAATTATCAGTGCTGTAAATAAATATATAATGATATATAAAATATAGGTTAAATTAATCTGCAAGCTCCAATACTTTATGAGAATTTTATTGGTAGGTTCCTGTCAGAAACCAACTCATAAAAGCTTTAACTGTTTACATTCTAAAAGTCCTTATTGTTTAAATAATAAAGGACCCCCAATAATTTGAAAAACATTTTCAATACGACTGTTGAAAACAACCTGTTGTTAGGTTCCTACAAGATACAATTGAAAGATTAGATAATATAAGGACCCAATTATATTTTTAAACTTGAGGGACCCAAGTTTAGTTTTAAACTCTAGGGACCCAGGTTTAGTTTTAAACTAAAGGGATCTATCTAAGAATACCCTACACATAAAGGGCATCCAGATTAATTTAACTACTAATGTATTCTTCACCTATATCCTATATGTGAACATTTTGCCACCAGATTATTTGTTTATTTTTATAGTAAAATCATATATAAGTGAAACTAGAATCAAATACTAAATATTGTACCTGAACACTATTCTTTCCAATCCAAGTTCCAATAAGACAATCTTCTTTATCCTCTCCAGGATATGTATACTGAAAGATGTAGCAATCTCCACTATAAAATTTTGACTGATCAGAAGCTTGAAGAAGAATCTTTTCCTGACCGTTCACACGCCAAACCTGTGCAGTTAGAGTAAACTATTGTCAACAGAAGCAAAAAGGCAAATTTAGAACTATATCACATCAAATCACAACATCTCCAGCCCAATAAAGAGAAGTATAAAAGGATATATTTTGACTTTTTTTCAAGGAATACTAGTGATACAGTGAGAGTGCTAGTAAACTATCGATTTTCAAATTTGTATAGCTTACATTGCCTTCTTGATCATTCTGTGCAATACTCCACAACAAAATGGGGTTGCTAATCACAAAAACAAACACCTTACTCACACTTAATAGTAGTGTACCTTCCTGGTTTTGGCATGATGATCCTTACATACCTATATCTTACGCTGTTGTTCCTCATCAACCCTAGAATTTCATTTTCCCTCAAGTCTTAGGGTCAACTACTCTTTACAAACTTTTAGACAAATTTTTTGTGCGTTCTTTTTTCTGTTACACTCAATCTTAAAAGGCTTATGGTAGTTTTTTCCACCTTCTCTCCAATGTTGTTACCTCCATAGTAGCAAATCCCAAATTGCACGGCAGAGTAGCTGCTCATAAGCAGATAGGGATGACCGTCATTTTAAACCCTAGATTCTAAACATAGATTTATACTACACATGTATATATGCAGAAAACTAAAGAATCTAAAATTAAAGTCATTTTCATAATTAATTATTAAGACTCTAATTGTCAATTTTTGGAGAATTGAAGATAGAACAAAGACTGAGTGAAGTGCCATTGAATACTGCAACCAAGACATCAGGTTGAGAACTTGGGATCCCATATTGACTTTTCAATTAGAGATATTGCCAGTTGCCAATGTAGTTCCCACAAAGCTTGGGTTACAAACACATTTTGTGGGATTGAGTTAAGTCTCAAGTCTAAATTACAAACACATTTTGTGGGATTGAGTTAAGTCTCAAGTCTAAATTATAAGACTCTCACTAAGTCCTCGTACGATACTCAAATAACTTATATTTGTAACAAGCTTGACACATATGACCTACATGCCTAGCTTGTGGGGAAATGTTTTATAGTGAAGACGTTTTTGTTTGGTGACATTGTGGAATAGTACAACTCCTTTAAGCACTAACTGATTACAGCTGTAGTCAATCATTAGTTATAGCAACCTGTATTACAACTATCATCCATTGTATCAGCAATCTATAAATATGGGGACTCGGCTATATAAATCATTCTCTACATTTGATTCACTGAAATTCTCTCAACCTTTACCCACATTTTCTCCCACAATCTCGTACCTAAAAATTCTTTGAATGTCATGTCTAAGTTTAATCATGTAAATACGGGAATAAGGAAAATTGCATCAAGGTGTTTTTTATATCAATGATATCAACATCAAGTCCATGGTGCACATGAAAGTGGGAACTAGAAGAGTTTCAACATATGTTTCTCTTTCCTCTCAACTCATGAGTGTTAACGAGTTCCTAACATACACATTTTAATTTGAATAGCAAAGCGGTATACTTCCAATTCTACACTAAATCCATCTTGTAATCCTAAATTCATTTTTAAGCAACATGAATACCATGTAGTCAAAGTTTAACATTTCCCTAATGTACAATAGAAAACAGCTCGAATGTACTAAAACACTGGATATTCTGCTTCTCTTCTACATTCTCTTCTACATTAGACAGTGCTTTCAAGTTTCAAGGATCTCATAATATTTCAAAAAATTTCTCGCATTAGAACAAATCAATTATACAATAAATGATATAAAACCGTTAAGAAACTGATAAAAGTAATGTTACATCAAGAACTATAATTTTTGAGAGGTAATTTGTAACTAGCAGTGTACCTGCAAATGTCCTGTGCAATCGATGTGGGGTTGAGGTTCTTCCCTCACTGGATCAGCTTTCAACAAGCCTTTCACATTTACTCCTTGACGTTTTAGAAGAGCTACAAAGCCAAAACTAATAAGCAATAGGAAAAAATTGAAATGATATTATTGTAACAATGAAGCTGCTGATGACAAAATTTATTGTTATAAAAATAACTTCCAGCACAATAAAATAATAACAGCTGTAACATTACTTAACACTTACCAGCTACCTTGCCACGACCATCTTCAGATACTGTTACATCAGTTGTCTGAGGCCAAGAATCAAATTTGGACCTGAACATCACTGTTTCAAATCCTTCTATCACACGAATTATTTGGGGTTTCAGTTTATCAGTGCTGCTAACTAACTCCTGTTTTTAGGTCAACAGCGACAATAATCAAAACTTCCACGAAAACTAAAACATTTAGCGAATGTTAAATGCTGCTATTAAAGAAATGTGTTACATCTGCAACTCCACTTGCACTTTTTCTTTCATCAAGCGTGGTATTTCTTCCCATCCAGACAAACACTTCAAACCCACAATCAAGAATATAGCATTTATTTGTGTCTAATAATTCCCTTTTCAAAGGATCAGCCTCCACAGGTTCTGCCTGGCCCTTCTCAATACTGCAAAATTGACAATTTCGTTAGAACTACTAGATTTTAGAATAAAAGATGAATCGCATCAATGCATCATCAAAATAATTAATATTACTTTTAAAACTCTAAGAATTATCTACTGATGCAACTTTAGACCAAAATAGTCACAGATTTGCAAGTATTAACAATGAATTAAAATTATGGTGTCACATATCACAAATGAATTAAAAACAAGGGTAAATTCTTTTGTGACCCTTCAACTTCGTGTCACATGTGGACCCAACCAAGGCAGAAAAAATATGTATGACCTCATAAATTGTATGTGTGCCAAACTCCTTCTATCAAGAAAACCATTAAAAGATCATAGGAAATCAGGAAGTGTCATGTGAGTTACATGTTACACCAACAAAATAAGTTTAAACCTCAAACAATACCATGAAACTGAAAACTAACCAAGTTTTTCCTTCAAACTGTTCCATTATTTTCAGCTCAAATTTCATTTAATCATTTTATGACTGGAGGTTAACAAATGTTATAATGGGTATCCTTTACAAGTCACATGTCATTTCAGCTAACTTTTTAAAAGTTTACGTGACATCAGGATTTTACAGTCAAAGTGTGAATTAGGGAGAGTTTCATTTGGAGGAGAGTGAGGGGGCGTTCCATTTACACCTTTTCAAACTCAAGATCTAATCAAAATATTGCTAAAAATTAAAGGGTGTAACCAAAAAATTACCCTGAAAACAATAGGGAGAAGAGGAAGGTTAAAAAACATGTAAACATCAAAGATCTTCATCCAAATGACATTAACCTAAAAGAATAAGGGAATACACTGGAAGTGCAAACAAAAACAAAATACTGACGAAAAAACTGAAATAACATGGTACCAGAGCAGCTTCGGAGGGTGAGAATCAGTAGGCTTATCATCATCACCGGCTGTTTTTCGTGGAAGAGGAGCAAATCCCCCAAAGAAACCCCAGAATTCCCCAGTTTCAGCATCAGCCATCAACTTTCCATCCTCTGCATAAATGTGTAGGTATAGATATTCAATTCATAATAACCAGTAATAACCTTTAAATTTTAAAGCACCAAGATATATTTGTTCGTTCACTTACCAACAGCAGCTACATCACATTTCCCATCATGGTAGGTATCTTTAATATACTGTACAACTTCCAAAGCTTTAGCCCTTTCTTGAATAGATGAATTGGAACCATTAAATTGGAAAATTTTTGATTCAGTATCCAGAACAAAAATATCATCATGGTTCAGTGAAGCTCTCGCAAATGGAACCTGTAACCAACACAAATTGTTACTTAACAAGAAGAAACAATGTCTCTATATGTGCATGCATCTAACAAAAACCTCAATGGAAAAAAAAAAAAAAATCTTAAACTTGCCTCTTTGACATGTACAACATGTTTTCCTCTGCAAACAAACAACCGTGTTTTATGTTTTTCAGCTTCAGGATGTTTGAAGCCAGAAGCAATTCCACCTTCTTGAGGGATAATACATGGTTTGAAATAAGACAGGAACTTTTCAGTTTCATGGCCTTGCACTTCACGATACTGAACAGCACGTCCTCCAAGAGCTGCATCCATCTCAACTGTTTTGATGGCTGCAACACCAGCTTCATCCTGTTTTAAAGTTACAATCATTAGATAACATGTATATAAAATTACAAATAGTGTTTAATATATATATACACACACACACACACACACAAGAAGAACATTACCTGACTGGTGTCTTTACCAAGCCAGTAATGGATGTCATGGCGCAGAGCACCACTTTTTGATGCAGTTGTCTACAAACAAAGTAACATAAATAAGACAATATTCATACCAGTGAAAACTGTTTCATATATGATGCAATATGCACAAGCAACTTATTTAAATCTAGAAAAATAATAAACAGGAATAGAAACTTACTGAAACAGAATATACCTACATGAGGCTAACATTGCATGAATGAAGAAGCACTTTCAAATGACTTACCTTTAAGATCACATAGGAGTCTCCAGTGAAAAATTTCCCATAAGAGGACTTTGGGACAGGAACTGGATTAAAATTCTCAATACGCCATATTTCAAGTCCGCTGTACATGGTTAAGGAAAATAGTGCACATGTACTGGGTACAGATAAAAATCAAAGCATCAAATTAAAAAAAGCACATGACAGAACCAAATAAAGCAAAAACCTTAAATAAATCTGATAAATAGTGAAAAACACAATATGTAATCGAGAAGCAGGATACGCCTTTTGTCCAGCTCCCTGGAAAGCTGGATCCAGATCTCTCATGGAAACTGCCATAATATTCTTCTATTAGCTAGTATAAATATTCCAAAAAAGGCCCTGAAAAGAAACCATATATGATGTAATGAGTAGATAGAAATACAAGATCAAAGTGTTAATTTTCTGAAGCTGCCACAGTAAAGGGTGAAAAAGGATACGTAAATGCTTCCCCAAACCATTTCAACAAAGTACTTCTGGCACTATAGCTACTTTATTCAAACAGTAGGGAAATTTCTCAGGAATTGGAATAGATTATACACAAGGTCAGCATCACTAAATAATTTGCTGGGGATAAGCAATAAAAGAAAAGGGAAACAGCAGGCTACGCAAATTGTAGCTGTTCGATACTTTGTTCCATCTACCATTAGGAATTCCAAGTAAATAAAGAGCTTGTTTACTTAACTTAATGTTGACAAGTTAAGACAGATGTGCCCAAGCAACAAAGAGGAAAAGGTAAACATTCTTAAGCATGTCATTGTCAGCAACTACACACTCACTCGTGGTTGTTCACAAACAGGTAAGAAAATTGCACTTTCAATAACTACAAATCTCTTTTCATAGAAGTTTCTTAAAAACAGACAAAAGCGTAGCAGAAAACTGCATCTTGTGTCATCTTGTCCGTCCTGCATACCCATCAAATACCGCTAAATATTTTGGTAGCCATCAATTGATACAAGTTTAATTTATGTGATACGTAAACGAAGAAATCACACACATTCATCCTCACATTTGCATCCAAGACAGATTTTGCACTGCACTGTGCAAAATTTCAATAATTCGAGGAGAGTTGCCATTGGAAGTGAACCCTGTCATGTGCAATAGCAATTCTACTATCCTAAAAGCATTGTCTAATAATATCAAATCAGAAAACGCACACACAGAGATAGAGGTGGAAGTAGCTAATATCCACCATTCAATCTTACATGGATTCAATTTAAGAAAAATAAATTTCGATCATCCAAATAATAATGAATGGTCAGGATTAACTCATCTCATATATCCCTCTCCCGAATAAAATATATAAAACCACATAGGATAACTGACCCAACGCCAAAGCAGCTTCAGAAACAAACGCATCCAATGTAGACTTTTGTCAAAACAAGAGATAGTAACCAAAATCGCAGAACCCTCCACGTATATGACACGCCCCACCGCATCCGCAACGCATGTCACGAAATGCACAAACGCATGACAGATACCTATTCGCAAAAACGCCATCGTTCGATAAACCACAAAGAAACTACCCGTATACCTAGGTAGCTGACACGTATACACAAAAATAATACGCTACACTATCACTTGAACTGATCCCGAAAACACAACGACGCTGAGAACGCTCAAACACTTCCCTGCGATGTCGCTCCAATCCCCAAAATCTCGAACATCAATATCTTTGAACATACAAAATAATAACAATTAAATAAATAAACACACATACATACGCATACAAAATTTCCAGCATCCGAAAAACAAGACAAAAGCAATGTCCGATTCAGGAGAATCAAGTCCAATCGCATTTCAAACCAATCAGAAACAGATCGAAATTCTAGTAGAGTAATAAAAATAGTAAACAAACACAAAAAATGTCACTACAAACCAAAGCAACGAAAACGGACTGAAGGAGTATCATACCTCTAGAAAGAAGAAGCAGACACACAGCAGAAATCGGAATCCGCACAAAAAATCCAAAACAATAACAAAAAAAAAAAATACGACCTCGAGCTGAGAAAACTGAAATTACAAAATTCTAAAATATAATAAAAAAAAACGAATGAATCGGAATGAATAGGATGCACAGATCCAAGAGAGGCGCAGAATTGGAGGGTTTTAGCGGCTGCGGAGGACAGAGGAAAAGGAAGGTGACGGAAAGTGAGAGAAGGAAAGTGGGGACTGATGAAGAAGAAGAAAATATTTAGAGAGAGAAAGAATATTTAGGGGGAAAAGAAACAAAGTTGAAGAAAAAAATCAAAAAAGCTAACAAATGAGGTGTGTCTGTGTGAGAGAGAGAAAGCGAGGGAATGATGAAATGCCAGGCGTGCTTATCACTAACGGCAACATAACCCCACACTACACCACACACATGAACTGTAAAACTGAGTTTTTAATATTTTTCTTTTCAGCCATCAAAATTCAATAATAAATTAATTAATAATCTTTTTTAAAATTATTTTTATTTCTGTTCCTCACTCACACGAGTAAGTTGAATAATAATTACTTCTGAAAAAAATAAGAAAAGAAAAACAAATTATTGTAATTGCAATTGTTGTCTTTGTTGCTGTTTGCCACAGTCTGTGTGCTTCAGGTGCCACTTTGTCGCATTTTTGGCTTATGAACTTTATTTTTAGAAGTTGCGGTTAAAGAAAGTGTTCCTGGTGGTGAAAATTGAACTTGCTTTTTTATAATAAGTGACTTTTTTTTAGATTTTTATGCCGTGGTATCGAGTTAGAGATTAATTAAACGAACATAATTAGATTTAGACATTGGACTTAAGGGGGTTTTGATGGCGTCAATAATGGACCAATTATATACTGATTGCATGAGTAGAAAAAGGAAGAAGAAGAGAAAATATATATAAAAAAAATGAATTTTTTATTTTGTTTAGAAAGAAAAAGATGAAAAAAAAGAAACAAATCAAAATTTATTTCCCGTTGAATAAACTTTCGTTGACTATGGGTTACACGTAACAAAACTGAGAAGTATTTCCATGCATTTTAAATATATATGGTAATTTTAAGTAATTTAATAAAATCACTTTAAAAGAACTGTTTAATTAATTGAGACATTATTTTGAACTATTATAATTTATTTTTAGTGTCAAGTTTCAATAAAAAACAATATGTAAAAAAACTCACCTTTTAAATTGTTATGATAAAATAATGATAACTAACTTATTTAATCAGTATATTGTTTTCTTATATTCAAACCTAAAGAAGAAAATTTTTCATCAAACATGTGAACAAATTATAACCAAATGATAAAATAAATTTTATAAACATCTTAAATAAACTAAGATTTGTTAGTTGGAGTAATACAGAAATCAATTTTCATAATAAAAAAAAAACATGGAAAAAGGTGGAGGTGGAACTGTGACAACAAGTAGTCCCTTTTACAAAGCACACCAATTCCTTTCCTCCTTTGTTTTTTTCTGGGAAGTGAACAATGGGAAGAATATGCATGCAAACAAAACAAGGCATATACTGAAGAATTAAAAAAGAGTTCAAATTTCTGATTTGGAAAATAGAATTGTGATTTGGGTAGATGGGTGTGTTTGACAGTGAAATGCAATTGAATTGTGGGTGAGATGACAGAAAGGGAAAAGGGTTTTGGGGGGTGAAATTGGGAAAGGTCGGTCACCGGCTAATGCTATTATTATTCATGTAAGTTGCCATAAAGCCTAATGTGGGTGGGTAGCCATGCCTGCTACTCATGGAAAAAAAAAAGTATCATGTCCCTCGTTCAACTTTTTTTCCCTCTTTTCTATCCATAGGAAAAAACAAACTATGTTCTTATTTTCAATTACATCGCATCATTTTAATCTATTATTGTGTTTAACAAAAAGGAAATAAAAATACAAAAAACAAAATCTTAAAATAAGTATATTCTTGGCTCAATTTGGATTTTTCACAATTTCAATAAATAGTTTTAAGAGGCGATGATGGTTAATAGGATAATTTCGCACCTACAAGCTTCAGTTTAATAATAGTAAAAAAAAAAAAAGTAATACGTATTGGGATATGTAACATGTTAGCAACGTAAAATACCTAATTTGAAGTTTGCATCACTCAATTTAATGCTTCCACAAGTGTCAATCATGTAACTAACACATCAACACATGACAAAACAACACCCCAACCCCGACACATAGCCAAAACACGAGGACTGTGTCATTATCTTGCTCAAAGAACTTTATTTTGTATATAAAATACATATTTGATATGTTTAAAATCTTGGTCTTTCTTACTGGAAGTATAAATTAAAAGTAATTAGATTCCGTGAAGAATAAAATTATATAAATAATTAGATTATTTTGGTTAGAAACGCTCTCGTATTCATTACAATAATATTGTTAGGTTGAATATTTATGAAATATTATTAATTATGAAACTCTCGGTTCTATTTTTAAAAAAATCTTAATATATTACATGAAGAAAGAATATATAAATTATATTAATCTCTTTTGTATTGATATGGTTCCATTAAGAATAATAAAATTATAATTTAGATTGAAAAAAAAGATACATTATTATTTGAATAGTTATCTGTAAAGTAGGGTGGCAAGCACCGGCCCACCGGCCCACCGGCCCACCGGCGAGCGCAGTCATCGCAGCTATTCAGAAGTTGGTTTGGTTTCTTCTTCCAACTGACAATGATGTGTTGGGAGGATTTTTACATAAATCAGATGCTCCATTTTTTTAATTCAAGATTGACCAAGAACATTGGTTCATCGCAACGTGCAACTTAGTTGCACGTATATTATGTCATCATGTTCTATTGCAGTATTGATTTCCAAGTTATAATTTTCTTAAGAGTCAAGTGCTGGCAATGGCCACTTAAGATCATTTTCAGTACTGTACTATTCATTATAATATAGCTTTTTTATGTACTTTCCTCACAGAAGTGTATTAATTTGAATAAAAATTATTAAAAGTTGTTTTGTATAATAATTTAAGAAATAGTGAAAATTTATAGTGCATAAAACAAAAAATGGACTAATATATAAATAAGAAATGTATAAATTTATGTACTTAATTTAACCATTGTTATACTTATGCCTTATTCGCATTTTAACCTAATGGAATTCATGTACTTAATTTAATCACTAAATAATTGCTTCAGCGCAAACTAAATTTTAAGTTTTTTATTATCTGATGTGTCATATTTTACATCATTCATACAATATTTTTAAAATAATGAAATAACATGTTTTGTATCCTTTGGATTTAATTCCCATTTTTCATTTTATACATAAGAATTATTTATTCACGTTATTATTATTTTTTTATATTTTAATTTATTTTTCCTTTTACAAAATTCGTGCCACTTTTTTAAAAATATTATATAATCACAACAACTACACTTTTTTTAAACATGACAACAATTATATAAAAAATTTCCCAACATTTTTTTTTATTTGACAATTTTTGTATTATAAGAGTATACATTTTATTTTTGAAATTATAACCTTATAGTAAAATAACTTAATTTTGACTTATTTTAGAATTTATATTAAAATAAAACAAAACTAAGCAATATTATATTTGGATTTCATGTTTATTCACTTATAATCTCAGTATTCAACTTATAATATTCATTGTCGCAGGGGGCAACTGCCAGGGAAATATTTAGAGCGAATTCTAGATTGCGAGCTAAGTGACAGCCGATGTTGGATAATATGCGACGTCGACTTTCATTTTGGAAGTACAGGTATGTTTCAATTAGTGGTCGTGTCACCCTTATTAACTCGGTGCTAAATTCTATTCATATCCACTTCCTCTCATTCTTCAAAGTCCCTAAGTCTGTGGTGAAGGATATTATCTCTATTCAAAGGAACTTTTTGTGGAATGGGGTTAAGGATTTGTCTAAGATCCCTTGGGTCCGATGGGAGTTGGTGTGTCGACCGAAGGAAGTGGGTGAACTTGGAATTAAGGATGTGAAGTTATTTAATTACGCTTTACTTGATAAATGGATATGACGTTGCTTATCATATATGGGGACTTTGTGGGCGCAGGTTCTTCAGGCGCGATATGGCCTGGCCCCGTCATGGTTGAATGTGTGTTTGGTGGATCGACGTGCTTCTAGTTAGTGGCGGGATTTTGTGTCTACTTTACAGTTAGGAGGACAATGGGTTAATGAGAAGATATTACGGGCTGTGGGGGATGATACTTCGACGAGATTTTTGGAGGATAGGTGGCTGAGTGGCTTTAGGCTAAATGAGGTTTTTCCCATATTATATTTCTTTGCTCTCGATCCCTCTTCGATTGTAGCGCAGAATGGTCATTGTCTGGAGATAATTGGGTTTGGGGCATTCCTTGGCGCCGCCTTCCCTTTCATTTGAGTTGCCATTGGTAGCAAGTTTAATGAAAATTCTGGATGGATTTGTGTTGCGTCCTCACTTGGAGGATCACTGGTGTTGGTTGGCTGATGCTTCAGGGGTATATTCTGTTAAGTCTACTTATTGTTGGTTGTTGACTCTTTCGGTTAATATTTCGACTCTTGATGTTAATCTTCAGGAGGTGTTGTGCAGACTGTGGAAAGGTAAAGTACCTATCAAATGCTTGGTATTTTCTTGGCAGTTTTTCTTGGATTCTGTTTGCTTCTGCAGGGGCGTGGTGTGCAGTTGGATTCTGTTTTATGTCCCATGTGTGACTTATTTGTTGAAGATCCGATGCATCTTTTTATTTTCTATCCAGTGGCATATAGTATGTGGATGAATGTTTTTTGCTGGCTTGGTGTTAATTTTGTTATGCCTTCTTCTTTAGTGTCCTTTTTTCTTGTTTGGTGTGGCCAAGGGAGGAGTAAAAAATGATCCCAGTATTTTGTTATTATTTGGGTTGCAGTTATCTGGTCCATTTTGTTGCATCGGAACTGTGTGGTCTTTAAACAAAGCGTTGTGGATCGGTTGAAATTGCTTGATTTTATTCGTCTATATTCTTAGAAGTGGATCTCTTCGGCTGATATGAGAATATCTTGTAACCTTATAAACTGACACAATAATCCTTAGATCTGTTTTGTTTAGTATGTTTTTTAATAATTTTTCTCTACTTTGTATTGTACTCTATTTTTGGGATTTGAGTACCCCTTGTACTCAGTTTAATTAATTGATGATATTTGCTTATAAAAAAAAATACTTATTAAACAATAATTTTATTTAAAAAATTACAGGCTATTCTCAAATAAATTATAATTAATAATGTTTATAATGAAATCAAATTAAATAATTTAATATAATAGTGATATTGATATATATATATATATATATATATATATATATATATATATATATATATTATAAATTTAGTTTATCGTTTTCAATAATTATAAGCGTCCACATATATAATTTAATATAATTTTTTATTCATATAAGTATTAACATAAACATAATAATCATAAATAATTTTTTATTAGAATGTAGTTAATATATTAGATTTAAAACAATATAATCAGTATCTAATATTATATCATACAATAAGATAAAATCACCACATTTGATTAAATATAAGTATATTTTCATGAAAAAACATTTTATATAAAAATAAAGAACAAGTATCCAATTTTTAGAAAAATATTCTAATTGGAAATTGAAATTAAAATATTTATAATTATTTATGCAAAACTTATTTTGATATAAAATGTCTTCTAGAAAAAAAAATAACAAGTACAAAAAATAATTTAAAATATTTTAACATCAATGTCTTGTTAAATATATGTATAAATCACAGTTAAATACAAATGATTTTCTCTTAATATTTTTCAAAACACACGTTTTAATGAATTAAAATGAGACACGTGAATATAATATTATTAAAAAGGTTAATCTGCTCACTTTTTTATATAATTAATTTATTTTAAAAAATTATTTGAAATTTATTTTATTTCTTTATTTTTAAAAAATATATTTTTTAGTCATATATCATATTTTATTTATTAATTTAAATATATAAGTCATAATATTTATATATATTTTTATATTTTTATTGTTTTAAAAAGCCGTTTAAAAAAAATCTTATATATATATATATATGTATAATATTTTTTTACTTTTATTTTATTGTTTAGGTATTATTCTCTTTTCCTCTAAACACTTCGCCGTCCGAAGTTCAAAGATTGCAAACTGAAGAACCTCTCTCGCCGCCGCAGAACCCTAACCGGAGCTCCTTAGCCGTCCGCCGGTGCAGCAGGCCAACGCCGTCGCTGGTGACTTCTTCTTTCTCGTTTCCAGATACGCATATGCTCTAAGTTATAACACATAAATTTTCCAGCATTACACATAAGCTTCATTGATAGTCAAGTTCGATTTCCCCGAACCTAATTTCTCGTTCAATGCCATGGTTTTGAAATTTCAGTGCGAAAGTGATTTTTGCTCTGTTGCCATGTCTCTGTTCTCTGCAAGAAGTTCGGTCCCTATTGTATTTTTTGCTCACTCACTCTAACACTGTGCAGGGAAATCATCCAACTAAAGCCGTCGCGCTATGAAGACGCCACGACCCGCTTCTAAATTGAAAAGGTAATACTAATAATGGTTTTGTTTGTTCTAATTGGAGCTCACTTTCATCGCACTGTTATCCGTCTCATTGTTATTTAGAGCTTGGTACGTACTTGGTTTATGATTTAGCTTATTTTGAAGGAATTATCCCTTTTGAGAGAGCTTTTGAAAGATAAGCTAATATCACCTTGAAATAGTCTTTTACCAAACTTCAAACTGCATTATTACACTGATTATTAATACGGTCACCATGTGAAAGCTCTCTTAATTGTATGTTCCTTCATTGTGAAATAAACCTCTTGTTTACTTTCATTACTTTGCCAAGTACCTAACAACGAAAATCATATTAAAAATTCCTAGTTCATGCTGCAGCTTTCTGGTTTGTTCTTTATCTTGGCTTTCCTAAGGGGGGGGGGGGGGGGGTTAAATAAACGAAATTATGCTAAGTTGCAATCTTGGTCCCCTTTAAAATCCTTTCTGTGATTTTGGTCCCTCTATTTATTTTTTTTGCAGCTATCTTAGTTCCTCAATTTAGAAATTTTGCAATATTTGGTCTAATTTTCAATTTTATATGTTTTTATTTATTTTATTTGGGTTCAATTAAACTATATGTGTGTGTATACACACACACATACAAAATAAACTATGCAGAATTGAGTTTTAGTAAAAATTACTGATTTTCCAAAATAAAGGGACTAATAACATAAAAAAAAAAAAACACGAATTGCAAACAAGGAATTAAACGGAGACCAGAATTGCATTTGGCCATGAAATTGAATTCATGTTATTAACTATGTTTAAGTGTGCTTGTCAACTTTGAGTTACAGTGGTCCTAAGTATATACTCCTTTGTTTAAATGATTAAATGTTATATCAGGCTCGTATAGAACATTGTTTTCTTTTGTTTTGTCTTGAGTTTTTAAAAATTAAATTTTTTCTTTTCTCTCTGCCTCCTTTTCAGGAAAAGGGAAGAAGGTAAAGGCAAGCAAAAAAAGAAAGGAGGTAACATGGAGGTAAAAAGGAAAGTAGCAGACATCCCTAAATCTCATAGCATGCTGAAGGATGACCACAATGAAGGAGAAGGTTAGATTAAACATATTTTAAAATTACACATGTACATGGAAGGCAAAAAGCTCTGATATGTGTGCAAACATTTACTTCTTAACAAAATCTTTTGGTCAAGCCTTTTGTTATATAGATGTAATTTTTTGTTTTTGGCATGAGATAATTATATAATTGTCAAATATCTAATTGTTATGTTGTTACTCTTTGTTTTCTAAGGGTTTGACGATGAGTCTCCTAGAAGCAGAGTTGTGGAAGATGTGTGGCAAGATCCTGATGAAAATGGTTCTGGATTAACAGAAGGTTCTGAAACCGAAGAAGATGTTGGGTTTCTTTCTGATGAAGATATCGAAATTAATGGCCAACAAATTTTCGAAGATTCATTGCGTTTGAGGTTTCTTAACGTTATTTATCTTTATTTTACTCTATTCTCTTTGGGATAGAAGAAGAAATTTCATTAGAGAGAAGATAGCTAAAGATAGGGAAGGATTAATTATCCTCAGAAAATATAGGTATATATAAAGAAAAGGGCAAAGTGGCCATTAGATGTGGCAAAACTCTTAAATCTCGGCTTGAATTTTTAATTGTAACTGACTTCCATGTTAAATTTTAATTGTGCTTTATAATTCTGACCCCTGTTGCATGTTTTTTGATTGTTTCTCAATGAATCTGGTTATTTTTGACTCATCACTTGACAGTGATTGTGTTATTGAGTCTTTATGCATCGCTCATTTATTTTCTAATTTTTCCCTTGCGTAGTCATCCTTTAATCTGACATTGTTTTTTCCATGCAGCTCTTTTGATTTACATTTGCATCATAGCTTATCCAAAGAAGAAATTGACAGCCAAAGTAACAAGAAGTTTAGCTGGGAGACTCCAGCTGTTGGTTTGACAAATTGCAAGTGGACAGGAACTGGAGAGAATATTATGGAGGTATTTCATGTTATATTTGTTTGGTATATCCAAAATATCATGTTTCTCCAATCTCTGAAAATTCAAAATTTAGTACTTTCATAGCCATTTGCCAATCTGTAGCCATGAAGGAATGGGGAATGGCTGGTTCTGGCACATATCTTGGCTTTGTTATAATTTCGTATTATGTAAAATCCACACAAGTTCATAATCTTTGACTAATAAAAGATATGTTCATCCTTCAACTTACTTTAGGCCCAAATACTCATTACATTGTTGTCTCTTGCTTTCATGTTCAGGATTTGGATATCAATTCTTGTCATGGTCTCAAAGCAAAGTTGTCCGAGCATTGGATGGATGTCTACAAGACATCTGGGGGCAAAGATATCAGTTCACCTAAACAAAGGATATTTTTCTCCCTTTGTAAGTTGGTTTTAAATCATAAAGATCAATTACAATATGAGCTTTGCGCATTCACAATCATAATCATTAAAAGCCTAAATCGTTAGTGCTTTTAGGTTTTTATAATGTTTGCTTCACTAAGGCAAAGTTTATATTCTGTATATTCTGAAAATTTTACTACTTCTATTTTCCATAGAAAATTTGTTCTGATAGGGGATTACGTTGTTAGTTGTATAGGGAAATAGCAGAATGCCAGACAAAGAAACATAACTTTTCCATTTTTTATTATTTGTGATTGTGATCATTTTATAGGCATTGACCTCATGTTTACTTGGTTTCAGGCAGCAGCTACCGGGATATACTGTACTGTAACAAGAGGCCTTTCTATCTCAAAGGCCTTGAAGATGCAAGCATTATGGATGCTTACATAATGCATTCTGTAAGTATATTTCCGAATTATTCTATATAAATTTATGGACTTTCAGAACGTCTTTGATGTAGTGATTACTATACACAGCTCAATCATGTCTTCAGAACTAGAGACACTGTGAAAAAAAATGATGCCAAACTGACCAAGCTTAAAGAGAATACTGATAGTGATAAATTTCGAGATCAAGGTTTTACTCGTCCTAAGGTAAATGAATCTTAATATTTTCGTTATGATGCTTTTTTTTTTTTTTTTACTATAATAGGATTACCTCTTCATATCTTTAATCTGATTTATGCAATCTATTTTTCCATTTAGTCCTGACTTCTTATTTTTTATAATTAAGAGTTGAATAATTTTTTGCATCTCCAAAATTGGCCTGGGTAAAAATTGGTACCTCCAAAATTTTCAATGATTTGGATACCCAACATTAATTAGTATGTGAATTTGGTCCTAACAGCTACTCTTTTACTTTTTGATTAACATTGTTGACATGTTAGTTTAGACAGTGCCACATGCAAGAATATCTACAAATATATGACTAGGATGCTTACATGTCAACACGATTAATTCAGAAGTAATAAAGTTACTGTCAGGTTCAAATTTACAAATTTATTAAATATTAGGTATTTGAAAAAAAAAATTTAGCAGTACCAATTTCAATATGGGTCAGAGGGACCAATAACTTATTTAACCCTATAATTAATAGATTTGGTTTCCCTGAAATACATATTTCATGGTGGATTTGATTAGACTTCCCTTTCCCCCATTATCAGTTTAATGTTTAATTGATATTCTTAGTATTCCTTTGTAATGAACTTCAAGTTAGAAGTAAGCTTCTATTTAAGACATGCTAAGCATATCTTATGCATATTTTTTCTGTTTCATTTGTTTGTTATTAATGAATTTAGTATTCCTTTGAAATTAACTTCAACTTAAAAGTAAGTTCCTTTTTAAGAAATGCTAAGCATATTTCATGTATCATTTTTTGTTTTCATGCTCTTTAGGTTTTAATATTATTGCCATTGGCAAGTATTGTGTACCGTGTTGTAAAGAGGCTTATACATCTTACACCTTCAGCTTTCAAGGTATGTTGATGTACTCACTTTCTAATACATTTTTAAAAGTATAGTCAAGCTAAACTTACCATGGTCATGGCTTGACTCTTCAACATTGCATAATATCAATCCATGTTTTTGAGCAATGAAATATTTTCTAAACCTTCAATCTGGGCATTTGAATTGATCCTTTTTGCATAACATGTTTGGTAATGAGTGAACTGAAATGACATTAGTATAATGCCATAAAATTCCCCATGTCTTTACTTGTGCATCTACCATTAGGATAAAAAATAATTGTCCCTGCTTTGGTGCTCCTTTCTGCTCATGCTTTCTTTATCAGCTATGGGGGACATTTGGAGAGCTCTTTGATTGTGGATTTTTCAATTTTTTTTATTCAAATAGAAAATGAGAGCGAATTTGATAAGTTATTTTACTGAAATCTAAGAATTACAAAATTATAGAGCTCTCTGTACACATTTTCATTTATTTCCTTTTATATAAGAGTATTTCCAATTGGTCCTCAGACCAAATGTCAATGAGGAGAGATAAAGGACAAAAAAGAAGAAGAAAAAGAAATCAAAGAAAAAAGCAGTTGTATTTATTTCTCTTTGCTAAGGAGAAGTTCCCTTTCCAGCAGTTACTACAAAGTATCAAAGGAATATTCTATCCAGGAGTTTAGCAGTATTTATGTACTCCCCTTGTTAACTACCACTAACTAGTAACTATTATAACCCATCCAACTATTTCCTCTTTCAGGTAATTCCTTCTAATACACATTTTGAATCCTGGAACCTCGGTTCCTAATTATTTCACTGATATTATTATTGTCGTTGTTGTTTATGAAATTTTGGACAAGGCTAGCTACGGTTGCATTGTGTTGGTCCACAGTGTGAGGTCAATGAATGCTTGCATAATGTATATAATTCCAATTCATATTATTGATTTTAATGCATATCAAATTGCATGGGTATTAAAATTCTAAGATCAGCAATAGATGTATGCATTGAACCTTCATTATAACTTTTTGTAGGCTGAAATATTTCTTGTACACTTAACTTTGAGCTCAAGTTTTTAATTGTTTCATTGTTGGAGTGTTACTTATTAATGCTGTCTCTCTTACTGCATTGTATATTCCTTGAGCAAAATAAGCAATTCTATTGGTTCTTTATGATATGTGTGTGTGTGTTTTTAGGTCAATGTTGAACATATGGATCGTTTTTCCACTAAATTTGGAGGTGAAGAACGTAAGGGTGATATAGAAAATGGTGAAGAATCTGAAAATGCAAAACCTAATAAATCTTCCAAAGCATCTGACTTTCAAATACTTTTTGGTGGCAATAATGATGATGACTTTATGATTGGCATCAAATTCACTAGGTAATTATACTCTTATATTGTAGCATTATTTATTGTATGTATTCTTTGGTGCATAAAAAATGCACCAGGACATGAACTATTATATGAAGGTAAAGGCAATGCCAAAATCATTTTTTACTCTAGTGCTAATTGGGTAGGATAACCATCTGCTAGTAGATCCACTTTTGTGTATTTTGTTCATATTGGAGGAATTGTGATATGGAAATGCAAGAAGTAGAATATAGTTGCTACATCCAATACCAAAGTTGAATAGTGTGCTGCAATACAATAACTACACATGAGATTTACATGGCATGGCTTGGCAACTTCTCCAACAACTAAAGTTGATTACATTTGCAACAATATTGGTTCACATGACGTATATGCTTTAGTTCAGTTTTAGTGGGAGTGTTAAAAAAGTATTTTGAATAGGGACATTTATTTCATATATTCTTTATATCCGTGATTGATTCTCTTGTACCCTACAATGTGATTATAAATAAGATTGTACACGTGGGTATAAGACAACGTGCAATATACACTGTCTATACTATCATCCTAGATTCTTTCAATTGTTTAACTTACTGTTTTCTTCCAGTAACTGTGGGCACTATAAATTGTTCATGCTTGTATTCTATAGTATAAATTCTGATCAATGAGATTCGCTCAGATTACTTATGCTTAAATCAATTTGCCCACTCCCTATTTATTCTTCTTGCATTTCTTAAAATAAGACGATTTTTTCTATGAACACTTTCAATTGTACTGCTTACACGTATACTATCATCAACCAAGGGGAGGCTGTTTTTATCAAACTGTATTTGTTGTGACTTGCAATATGAGATGATATTTTAGTTCTAATTTAAGTTTTATGCTTTGCTCTGAGCAGGAAGACAATCAAGTTGTTCAGTGATTTTCATACCTCTGACATTATTATTGCTTCACCACTTTGCTTGGTTAATGTAAGCCGTCTTTTTACACTTATTTTAGTTTGTTTTATTCATATTTGACCCTAGAGATTTCTTTTGCTCCCTTTATATTAAATTTACAATTTTGTGATTTTGATTCAATTATATTATTTTTTATTATTGGGAATTAACTTACTCAGTTTTGGGTTTTGTGTCTTCGAATTCATGTTCCTTCTGGTATGAGTAAAAGGTATTAGGCAATCTAATGCTGTTCATTAGTGTCTATTTACATATTTTTAATAAGATAAAATTTGGATCTATTTGTATCAAAGTTGTTTGGTAAAAACATTGTATATGAATATATCTTCTGAGGGGACAGTCCCCATAATTTTTGTATATACACAGTAAATTGATTTTCATTGTTTCTCTGGTGAGACCCTAAACAATAAATAACTTCAATCCTGTAAGTCTCAGATAACCTTTATTGTCATAGTGCACCCTTTTCATTTTAATTCTTATGGTAGTGGAAAAACTTAGGTTAATATCAACTCCACTGACTCCCAGGAAAAAAGACAGTTTGTGTTAATGATAACAACAGACCCATGAATTTCATCACCATTATGCTTAAAACAACCTGAAAGATACTTTTTGTTTTATTTGAATGTGGTGTTGGGGAAACACTTTAGGAGTTCAGAGTGCTTTGCAGATACACAGTTTTCAAATTTTTTAGTTAATAAGAAGCTTCAATACCATAATATTATTAAGCGGAAGGGGACTTTTTCTTACAAGTTAAAATAATTTGTTTTTTCCATATACCCGACACTTTCTTTTTCATTTTAGTCAGTATGTAAAAAACTTCGGTCCTTACATGAAAAAAACATTTATGAAGGAGTCCTTGTTGTTTGTCAGGCTCATGAAGCATTGACACTGTTGGCTTTTTCAGTGTTTTCTACCAACTTTACTGAGATGGTATGATGCCATGTAGGGCAAAATATTAAGTAGCCCAAGGAATGAAAATCTGAAACTGTTGTGACTCAGGCAAAAGATAGGGACTGATTCATAAAATCTTTCACCAAATAACCAAATTGTTGTGTTTTTTATACTAAGGATCAAAATGAAAATGATGCCAATTTAAGAGTAGTCTAATAGATATTTAAACCATACTATATAATATGAGTAGTCTAATAGATATTTAAACCATACCATATAATATGAGGCTGCGATATGAGACATCCAGCAACTATAAATTGTATGTTATTGTTTTAGTAAAGCATAAAATACACATGCTTATTTTTTAAAAAATTCTCTATGTTTTGTTTCTTTCCTTTAAATATGAATTTAAATAGTTTTTATCTATTAATTATTCTCAGTCTTATGAAAGTGTGCTGAATCTTTTATAAGTGTATTTCTTATAACATCATTTTGTTCAATTTTCTAGAAAATCGAAGAGGCTAGCAGTAATAAGGAAAAAGATGTAGATTTTCTTTCATCCATAGAGGTAAGTTGCCTTAATTGTTAATGTTAGATCATATTTAATAAATAACAAATCTATTTCATTAGTTACCTTACATGCATGTGCATAAATATGAAGTTGACAGCGTATGTATTAAACAGGTTCTGATTATTGATCATGCAGATGTAATATCAATGCAGGTCTGTAGTGATCTTTCTTTAAATTACTGTAACAATTGGTTTTCCCATTTTTTTTACTACAATATGATTGTTGTTTCTCATTGGTGTTCAAAACTTGCCAGAATTGGTCTCATGTGCATACGGTTATGGAACACTTGAACCGCTTACCTTCTAAGCAGCCTGGAACTGATGTAATGCGCATTAGACCTTGGTATATTCCATTGTAACTTTCCTATGTTGAATTTATTGTTTTTGTTTTTTTATTTTTTGCTCCTAGATTAGTGTTGTACAATTTTTTTGCCTTGTTTTTCTTAATTTAGCGATGGCATAATTACTACTGCTTAAATAATTGTTGCTATTTATCTTTAGATGAAGATAACTGAATAAACTATATGACAAAGAAAGTTAAAATGTGGGAGGAGGGTACGATATACTTCTACATAGAGAAACTAAGAAAATAGTTTTGAGGCCAAAAACAATGAACATATGCTAGAAGACTTAAAAGAGTGTGCTATAAATACTGTTGAGAAGAGGTCTTGCTTATGACCCCAATCCATTCCATGGAGTATAATCTTGTAGACTTAAAAAGAGTATGCTCTAATCATACGTGTGCGTATGCAGCTTTTGCATGTTCGGTGATTTATAGTATACACATAATGAACACCAGTATCATTTTGTTTCTGCTACTAGTCTTGTCAAAAAGCTATTGTGAAAGAACGGCCATTCTTATACTTGCCATTGGCTTCATAAAATACATAAATGGGTTTGGTTGAATCTTGTACATTGATTGTCTTGTTTCTTTCAGTCTTTTAAGGGCTTTTTTTTTTACTTGTATTGCCATGTTTATCTTTTCTTATCTGATTTTCACTTTGTACTGTCCATGTCATTCTTTCTTTTTTTCTTTTCAATTTTTCAAATTCATTTTTTATTTCGACATTTAATGATATCCATAGTTATAGTTTATTTGATGAAAATGTAAGTTGTATTTGTGAGTAGGTATTTTGTTTCCTATGCTGTCTTTATTTTGTGAGAAGAAAACATATAGTTTTTTTTCAGCCAAGAGTTCTCCCAAACCATTGGGCTAGATAATGTTGCTTGCAATATTATGACTATTGTTGACTTGACGAGTTTTTGTACATGGTAGGGACGAACATGAGATTTCCTATTTAATAGATCATTCCTGCAACATGTGAATGTAGAGTACCTAATCACTCTAAACCCTAAACCCGTTTGGTTAGAAGAGTGTAAATTTAAGAATATAGATAAAAATATAGATAAAACATGGGATACTGAAAAAGAAACTCAACTTTATAATATAGATAAAAATATTTCCAGGAAACGATATTTTGTAGGAATGTATTTTTTAAAATAACATATCAAACATGGGATATTAACAATCCTAACTTTGGATTTCTTGGAAATTAAAACTCTTGTTGTACCAAATGCTCCCTTAATAACCAAGGAGTACATATTTTTATTAGTGTTTTCATGAAGAATTGGAGGTTTTCCATTTTTACCCACGCCATTGTGGTATATTGTCCTTAAACACTATCTTTTCTTAGTAATACTGTTATAGTGATTGGTAGAGTTATGTTCTTAGCTCTGCCAATTTAAGTTATCTCAGGGAAGATTAAGTACTATTCTTTAACAACTGTTCAGTAGCATAATTCTCACATTTCATTGCCAATAGAGAGTTTTGTGTTATATATCTGTCAGTATGTTTTCTTCCCGTAGCAGAAGACATTTACACAGGCTCTCATGTTAGATGCAAGTAACACAATTCAGTTGATTGAGTTAGTATAGGGTATATGAACTTTAAGATTCATGAATGCAGTATATATGGCACTGATTTATAAGAAGACAATTGAATTTTAAATGAAAAAAAAAAAATTATGCTGAAGATGTGTTTGTCAAAGACATAAAACACAAGTCTGTTCTTTGGCTTGGAATTGTACTCTCTCTTATCTTTTTCATTCATTATTTATTTGTTGTATGAATTGCATGGTAAAGTCTGGTTGTTAGAGGTAAAAAGGATTACAAGTAAGATATAAATTTCTGGTTTTTCTACACAAGAATTTTGAGATTTGTATATTTTCTTAGGTATCTTGATGATCATGCCAGATTTTACAGGCAAACAATAATACTGGGTTTTTATTCAAATCCAGGTAATGATTCTTGCTTCTTGTAGCCATTTCTTTTGAGAACAAATTTACAAATTCTGTGTTGATCATTTGCATTTGCAACTTTTTTTTTCCCCCTTTAATTCTGTTTAGTAAATGGGTCAGATGTTAGTTTTCTGAAAAATGTATTTATTTTATTTTGGCTTCACAAGGTGATCCATCCCACCTTTTGTGAGAATGATTTTGTCTATTTATGTTTACATTTTACATTTCTGTTTTCAATAACATTGGTAAATTTTGGTTTTTGGATTAGCCTTTTCTGAAATGGTTAAACTTATGCTCCATTGCACCTTCTTATATGGGGTGCTGAGTTATGACTTGACTTTGCCGGTATTGCAGATATAAATGCTTCATTCAACCATCAATGTGTTAATTATGAAGGGAAGGTATGTAACATATCTGGTGTCACTGCCTAGCTCTTTCATAGGTTCAAGATTTTTGCACTGTTATCACTAGACATTAGTAGTAACAGCAATTTGCTATTGATGACTTGCTTTTCAGCATTTTACTTTTGGCGGCAAAAACTGCCACAACAATATGGGTTGATATGGCAGAGGAAGGCCATCTTGCATGAATGAATTTCATTTTTTTTTTCCTTTTTTAATTTCAATATATTAATTAGTGTTTTACTAATAGGAAGCTGCAACCCAATATTTTATGGGATAAGGGTTATGTACATGAAATATCAATATTTTCTTCTATTTCTTATTTTATTTCAGTTTCACTTGTTTCAATTTTGAAATAGCAACATGATCTGCCATAAGGCATAGTAAATTTTTGTTTTTGTGTTGGTGGACTGTTATTTGCTATCGGTTACCTTCTACATGGAGGGCTTAAAGTTATAGATGCATCATGACTTAAAAGTTCTCAATGTATTGGAATGTTTCAGACTTCTTTTATGGTGGGCATTGTTTTTAAATAATATAGTCATCAGTATTTTTATTTGATATCTGCAGGTGAAACTGATCTGTGAATATAAAGGTGTCTTACACAAAGTGCTACCCGAAATACGACAAGTAATCTTTTTCAGTATTTAGCTAATTGAATAAATATTCTGCATTTTTCGGTCCTATACTATTGTGATGCAATTAAGGTCTAGTTGATGCCTAATGTTTCAGTTAGGAAGGAAACCAATTGGTCTTTCTGATAGTCTAATTGTCAATGTTATTACTTCAATTTTCTTGGATTTTATTACTAAACAGTACATAAGAAAAAAAAGTCAGCCCTATAGTATTATCTACCTTGCTATACACATTTTATTGTTATGATATACTTTCTGCTCATAAATACAAAATAAGTAATATTTTTCTGAATGGTTATGTCGTCTGTAAATCTTTAGGAATGACCTTAATATCAATGCTTTACAAAATTATTATATGCTCATGGACGTCCAATAATTTGAAAATCAGGGTGTGAAATTCTTGTTTCAAGGAACTTTAGGTAAACAAACTAATGGTATTGTCATGATTAGTTGGTTTGATATACTGTTCCATCATTACCAATTCTTCTTGATTATTGAGATCAGGCAATTCATTTTTCGTTGTGTCATCAATTTATGATCAGATTTATCACTGTAGGTTTGTGCCTCACTCTAATTTAAACTAACACTTCATCTAAATTTTGAACCCTGTAGATTTATGAACGATTTAATGTAGACTCAATAGTAGAAGCTGATGATGCCCGTTTTGATTATTTTGTTAAAAAGGTATGTATTTTGGACTTTTGATTATGAAAATATTAATATGTTGAATTGGTTTTGAAGAACTTAGTGTACCTTCTCTGAGAATTTTGATGTCATTGGTGTTCTTTCTTGACTAGTTTGGCTCAAGCCAAATTTCAAGTGACCATTGTAACCTATAAGTGTGAAAACCATTTGTTGAAAGTCTCACGTTGCTTGCTTCATGTCATTTGGTATAGTTTAAATACCTGTTAGGCTACTTCACATATTGTCAATTGTTTTTTTGTTGAAACCTTATTATGGTATTAGAGCTAAAGCCTAACTTCTTTCCAGTTATTCAAAAGTTACCCTTTTGTTGGGTCAAAAATACCATTTGCCTGGTCCGACAGACTTCGTTGGAGGGGGTGTGTTGGAAGTCCTGCATCGCCTGTCTCATATCATGTGATATAGTTTAAATATTTATTATGTTACTCCACATATAACCAATTGGTTTTATTCTGGAACCTTAACATGGTATTAGAGCCAGAGCCTAACATCTGTCTTGTTATTGTCTTAGGCCAAGAGTTGTCATTTCGTTGTAGGTCAAAAGTATCTTTTGTCTGAAGCGGCAAGTTTCGTTGAAGGGGGCACGTTGGAAGTCCCGATCATGTCATTTGGTGTGTTTTAAATACCTATTAGGCTATTCCACATGTTATCAATTGGTTTTATGTTGGAATCTTAATATCATTATTCAAATAAGCCTTGATGGCAAACTTTAATATGAATTTCCATTGTTACAAAAATTGTGTGAGGTTTGTTTTTGCCGCTCCATAATTTCTGATCTTCTGTCTTTAATCTAAATATTTTAACTAAATCTTAGGTTTCCAAATAGCCAACAATGGCATTGAACTGATTTTATCCTTGAGTACGATTTATAATTTCTTGTGCTAGTAGTTATTAAGCCATGATACATTAGGGTAATATTAGTGTCTCCGGAATAGTGTTTATTATCTCTCGTTGAAGGAAAGCTAGGTCAATTGTTCTTGCTTAACACTGCTATGCCTTAGACATGTTATGAGAGACATAATATGTCATCAAGCAAAAGCATTTATGTTTTAGCTGATTATTGTAAACAAAATACAACTTTTATTTTTATTCAAAGAGCCAATTACCTTGGTGGAAATCCTTAATATGTTTTTTATTGGATTCTAAAATGTGTTGACTCTGTTATTTCTAATGATTTTGTTGGTGATGTTTTAGAGAAATTTGTTTTTCGCCTATACTTTTTCCCTGCTTGTCAAATGTCCTTATTTATGTTAATAATCTGTATCAATTACTAAAGCTTACTTTAGTAGAATTCTTGTCTATTTTATGCATTTTCTTTTTTGTTGTCTACATAGAAATTGTGAGCAATATTTTTCTGTTCAATTTCTTTAAATAGGTGCCTTCGAATGGTCCAATTGGTATTAACAATTATGTGCTTGTTATTATAATTGGATCATTTAAATAACAATCATTCATGTCTTGCAGGTTTTCCCCAGGATAAAAGATTTAGATCAGGTTACTTTTAAATAACTTTCACATATATTTCTAGCTTTTATGCGTGAGATAAATTAAATTTATACACTAACCTTTTTGTTTTCTTTGAGGTGATCTTTGGTGCAGGGAGGGACAATGTTATTTACCAATTCTTACTTCGAATTTATTCGAATCCGGAATTTCTTGAAGTCACAGAATGCCTCATTTTGTCTGCTTGGGGAGTAAGGATCCATTTCCATTCTTATGCCATTATTGTTCTTTATTTTATAGTTGAATGTAATTTGTTCATAAGGCAGTAACCTTTTTTAATCAAAGTTCCTGTTAGTAGTTCTTATGTTGATGACAGTCTTTTTTTATTAATTTAGGTATACAACCCAAAGTGATATTTCTCGTGCACGTCTTTGGTTCTATGAAGGAAGTAGAAAAGTTATGCTCTACACTGAGAGATCTCATTTTTACCACAGATATAAGGTTGTATGGATTGAACTAATTTTTTTAACCTCTCCTCCTTCTCTTCTTCCTCATTTTTGGCCCCTTCTATTTTTAATAGATGTATGTTTTCTCAAAAAAAAATAAAAATGAATAGACCTGATACTGTAGTCGTTGTCAAGTTAATGACATGCAGTAACTCAAATGCTGAAGAGTTAAACATCTAATTTAGTCCTGAAACTGACAATTTTGTGTTGTTTTTGTCTACACAAATTGATAACATGATAGGATGATATTGTTTGCAAGTTAATACTTTTTGCGAGAGGCCAGTTTTTATAGACATGCATTGTCAGGGTTGAAAAGCAACTAATCTTTCAGGAACCAAATTATATTTTTAACTAACTGTTGAAATTGAAGTTTTTTTCTAGAAAAGAATTAACAAGTTTAAAATCAAATATAATCTGTACTTTTGCCCAACAGTGACAGTATTTTATTAGATTCAAAATTTTTGAAGAAATTAACTCCATTTTGAATTTTTTTAGAAGAACTTATGTTTTTATGAAATTATGAGTTAGTCATTTATGTAGTTTAATATTTTTTAGTTTTGATTTTATGAAATTATGAGTTAGTCATATACGTCATTAATAGATTTTTTAATATTATTTTTGTGAAAGCTCCATGAATTTATGTAAATTTTGGAGTTTCACAATCTTCATTAGAATCATATTACACAAAATAAACAATTAAAAAATTTGTTAAATTCGTAGGACTATGTATAATATAGAGAATAGACCATTACTATAGGCTATGCATAGTAGGTCTATTGGTTAGGCAATGTGTGAGAGATGTTAATTTCCTAGTACCCAAGTTAGATTCCTTATATGAAACAAAATGCTATAGACCGAAGTGTTCATGATAGACCATTACAGGAAATTGTGTAAGCATAATTTGTTTGATCACGGAAGTTCAGTATCCTCTACTGTTATTTTGATTGATACTAAATATTTAGTTTGTTTCTTGACGACAGATTCGTGGGGTTCAAAATTTAATCATTTATTCACTCCCAGAGAGGAAGGAATTTTACCCTGAGGTAAGCAGGCTTGTAAAGTCAGATATCTTTTCCTCATTCACTCAAAGAATTCACTAGGATCTAAATGAAAAAAATTAAGAAAATACATTATACATCAGTTCAAAAGAACATTCTAGTCCTATTGCATGGTCAACCTTGGAAAACTGAAAAATCCAATATGCAAAGCCTTTTAGGATAGCTAAGGAAACAAGCTTGTCCATAAAAGGTGGAGAGGTAGCAATTTATGGCTAAAAGTTTTTGAATTGTTCTCCCGCACAATCAACAGGCATGAAAAAGGTCCAACCAAAAAACGCACGCTTCTTTAGTTTACTATTGTTCAACTATATTCTATAACATGCATTTCATCAATATGCTGTTCATGACATAATTGCATCAGATGTTATTCTTCTGTCCTTATGAGTGACTCAGAAAACATAATGCAGATTAGTAAGACTTTTTCATTCATCGACATCCTTTCTTGTTGCAGATTGTGAATATGCTGGATGGGTCTAATAATATGACTTGCACAGTCCTTTATTCCTGCCTTGACAAGTTTCGGGTAATACTTAATTCTCTTCGATGCCCCTTTATATTTTTACTTGCTAGAATGTGGTTTGTGTGGGTTTATATGCACTTGCGTAAAAAAATTATTGGTGGTAGAAGGGGAGATGTAAATGGAAAAATTGGGATTTGATGGCTTGGTATATTACTGCTTCCTAATTTCTGTGTTACTGCTACATTGTTGACTTGAGTATGGCTATAGATAGCAGATGGGCTTTTCATCACCACAGCTTAATGGACTTTCTCTTTCTCGAGTCCTGTTTTTGAAAAATCTTCCATCTAGAAACTGTAGATTTTTGTTAACTATTAAACCATCTGGATATTTTCTTGCATACAAACAGCTATGAACTATAACAGTTATGGTAGGGTTGGGCTAATAGAGTTATGCACACCTTTGCCACTGGGGAAGATAATTTTTTATATTATGGCGATGTAATTGGTTTTTTATCTCAAGTGACCGAGAATTTATTGGTCTTCTTTCTCAAGAGTAGTGACAGTGTATTTTTGTTTTCTGCTGGATTGTTGTCTTTACAGTATTTGTTAATAATATATGCTGCTAGTCCTGCTATCTTGTTTTCTTTTTTGCGTCTCTCTCTCATCATACTTACACCTTTTCTTTTTGAATTGCATTTCAGCTGGAAAGAATTGTTGGAACTACTCCAGCCAAAAGGATGGTGGCTGCGGAGAAAGGTGTTTTTGTTTTCTGTCATTAGAATTCGGCCTAGTCAACCATGCAAATTAATTTGATGGAATCGTGGATTAGTACATATACATATAGTTTTAGAGGATGCTTGGAGGAACACTGCCGATCTACAACAAAAGTCATGGAGTAAAATTCTGGTTTAGTTTTGTATACCAGTGTTTTATACACAATGTAGGTACCTACCCTCAAATCTATCGGGTGTATGATGTTTCTGTGAACAAATTATACAGTAGGTTGAATTAGCAATTTCTAGGAAACAGGGAACCAAGATTTTGTTACAAGTATTTTGAAGTTAAATGTGAACTCTGCTTCTTAGTATTAGTTTAATACAAGGCGTGTAACAACCTCTGCATTTAAAGTAAGGACTGACGAGAATTGCACATAACTATTATTTCTGTGTCCATATTTTTGGACAGCCACTGCTTGGTAGTTTTTTCTTGTTGAAGCAAAAGGAGCGTAAGGTTCTACCAAACTGAAAGCCTAATACTTTGTTTAAATGAAATGATAGGAAGAAAGTGAAAAAGAAAAAAAAAAGTATAATAAATAAGATTGTTTAAATGAAGAAAAAAGAGCAGAGATCAGATAAATATATTATTAATAAATTTATTTATGATTTAAATATTATTTTTTAATAATAACAAATGATTAATAAAAATAATTATATGATATTATATAAATGTTATAAATTTTAATGTAGAAAATTTTCAGAAATGAAAAAGTAATTAATTCTTTTAAAATTTGTCCATTTTGTTTGCGGCGTTTCTTTTAAATGATTAAAATATATTGTCAATAGATTTCATTTCATACATTGTGGAGTCTAAAACGCTAGAACGGATGTAGGAGTGTGTTTCGAAATTTGCTGAGTTCATGAGATATGTGATACAATGTCCTTTCTTTTGCTGTAACAATCCACTGAAAAACTGTTATATTTTATGAGCTGAATTCTATGATTTGATTAATGAGAGAGAAACGGATGGATAAGTACGGGAGAGGAGACTTTCGGTTTAGAAAAGCAATGACCATCCTCAATTAATGACCGTCGTAAATTACCATGATAAATTAGGAGTAATTCAATTTAGTTTGATTTTATTTTATTTTTTAGAAAATTTTAAATTAAACTAAATTAATATTTATAATTTGAATTAATTGATTTTATAATAAAATTCTTAAATATGTTAAAATATTATTCATAATTAATTATAAGATTCATACTTTTAATTTATTTATTATTTCTAATCTACTGTTATTCAATTTAAAAGAAAATAATATATACCTTAAATTATAAAAAAATTAGTTAACTCACTTATAATTAAAAATATCAAAATAAACTTAATTAAATCCAAAAGATCCGAAAAATAAATCAAAACAAAAGAATAATAACCTAAATTATTTTGATTTGACCTATTTAAACTAAAGTGAAATTAAATCAAAGAATTATATCTTAAATAAAATAAAATTTATTTTGATTCGACCTACATGAATTTAATTTACATTATAATAATAATTTTTTAAATAAAAATAATATTATATATAATAAAAATTAATTTCACAAAGATTTACTTATTCTAAAAATAAATATCAAAATAAATTTTTAACCCTTAGTCTAAGATCTAATAATTAAAATTAATTATTATTTTAAATTAATAAATTATTAAATAATTATAATAAAAAGTAAATTTCTAATTATTATTTTAAAAATTAAATAGATATATTCTTTTATAATTTATATATTAAATCATCATATCTTAAATAAAAATTAATTTTATTAATAAAATTTAAATAAATTTGAATTAATTAATTTGATATAAATATATTAATATTTTAAAAAAATAATCAAACTAAATTTGATCAAACCTAAGACTAAACTAAATTTTTTTAACTTATTTTAAAATATAAATTAAACTGAATGAACAATTCTTTTTATTTAATCCATAATATCGTACTTAATCCATTAAATCAAACCAAATTAAATCTTACATTTTAATAGTTCTACTTATAATAAATATTATTTTATATTTTAATTTCATCCTATATATTCAATTTGAATTCATTCTTACCTATTTAACCGAAAAATAAAATAAATAAAATAATTTTAAAATTTTGAATTTAAAAATATAAAATCAATTGATTTTTAATTAAATTTTATTTTTGGATTATTTAACTTTTGAATACCTGTCATCAATCATGTTCACCCGTAACGTTGCCGCCATAAAATCAGGGAATCCACTCCCCATTATCTGCTATTAGATAAATACATCCTACAATTTGCTTAAAACAATGCAAACCATTCAATTTAATAAAACATGCATCAAAACAGGTGCTAAAGTGACACGCATAGTTCAGTTCTATAATTCTAGAATACCTGTATCTCCGAGAAAACCACACACTAAGCACGGATGACCCAGTAACTTATACATCAGGAAGGGAAGGGTTTCCTTCCAAATAATTATATTCAAATAACATTTCGAAGGAATTATTTTGAATGGCATAATTACATTGAGTTTAAAAGTATAGTTGTATATACTGATGTCTCCTGAGGTCATCAATGTGAAAGATATCAAGGCGCAGGTATGAAGTCAGGAGTAAAAACAACTGGAACCTTCCAATGTCTCAAGCTATTTCCTGAGATTAACAGAACATATGTTGAAGCTGTGGGTTCGCAAGTCACAGTAGCATTGCTAAAGACCCATGGCTTCGTCTCTCTTCTCATCATGAGCTAGGAGTTTGATTCTCTGCTAGCAAAAGTATAGGTTAAGAAAGCATACAACAAAAAATAAGTACTGGCAGTCATCATGATCCAGGCACTGGGTAATTTCTTCATTTAATATTTTATATTTCTCAAGAGAGGGTTTATGCATTTGGATACCAAGCAGTGACTTGTTTGCTGAATTATCTGGTTATTGTTAATCCAAAAATTAATACCACAATTTATTCAAAAAGAAAAAGGTAATATGGATGACAGGAGGAAAACCTATCTGTTCCGTATGGATTTCTAAACTGTGCTTGGTTAAATAACTGGAGGGTGAGGTGCAGAAAAATAGAGATTGAATATGATTTTCAATAAATTTTAAAAGAAAATTGTTTCTTTAGAATGTGGGTTTAACTCTAACTCAACCTCAAGTTATCTCAGTAGAGAAGACATATATAGCAGGTTTAGAAAGAGATCTTTAATTTCTTTCACGCAGAGAGTTGCACACCAAAGCTCCTATTAGCTATAAACCTCTGAACCATGAAACATTAAGAAAGGAGGTCACAGTAGATCGTTGATTTATGGTACTGATAATGTGGATTTCCATCAATCCCCCTCGCATCCAAGACTAGACTTCCAATATAAAGTATAACAAATATGCAAGTGAGCCCAACAACGCATCCGGAATAGACTTTGATCTTAGAAATTAGTATTGAGACTAATCAAAACCCTACAAAACCAACTTATCAAGTGAGCTATCCAGTTTTACAAAACTTGTACAAATCATATTTCTAATTGATGTGGATCTAAACCACCAGCCTTGAGGATAAAGAGAATGCGACTGAAGAGGGTAGGAATTACTGCAATTAAAGAAACCTTCCAACAATATTTATTGGGGAGAATCTGATATTCAAGAAGATTAAGATGCAATATGTGGCTATGCAAATTACACCCATAAACAAGTTGAGTTGTACGTTTACTGTTTCAAATTAGGACTAAACATCTTGAGATAAAATGCCACTATTAGAGAAAAAATTCTTATTAAGGACATCACTAACTTTGTTAACTCAAGGATATTTTCACCATTTTTAAGAAAGGTCTTTGGATAGATTATACATGTAAGCTTGGGGCATATGACCTATATTCTTCAACTTGAATGGAAGTTCAGGAAAATAAGTAATATGTAAATAGGGCAATAGGCTAGCGGAATCTTGTAATTACAGTAGTTAGGTAATTTTTTATCCATGTAATAAAATTAATTCTACACAATAGTCCCCATTCCATTGTGTACTTCGGACACATAATCACAGCTTTATCAAATGTCTATTGTCTTCATCTTAACAACTAAATCAATGTTTGCATAATCCCATTCAGCTGAAAGGTAGATTGACAATGTTGAAGCAGAAAGAAGGAATATGAAGCCAACTCTCCCCGCTCTTCTTAACACTATATGTGGTTAACTCCTTTGTCCATAACATTGATTATTGGACCATGGAACATACCATCAGAAGATGAGACCATGGACAATGGAGCATTACTTAATTTAACATCTAAAAACAAGAATTTTAGCATGTATACCCTCGCTACTCAATTAAATACAACAATAAGTCAAATGTGGTTTACCAAAAGGAACTAGGATTTCTATATTGTCAACCAAAAGTACTAGAAGTACACACCTCCAAATTGATGTTCCAACCGAGCCACAATGTGTTTTCCATAAGTGTATTTCTTCAAAGCATGAGCATGAATTCTTACTTGAGAAAGCAACATTACCCGCTGATTTTCAGAACAGATATCAATGACCTTCTGGACCACATAATTGGCAAATTGATCTTTCATCATTATCTACAATGAAAATCAAAATACAATACAGTAAGAAAGTGTAAAGACCCCAAAACTGAATGCATCAATTACAACATGATTCAATTAGTAAGTAAATTACCGTTGTGTATGCATCAATTACAACATGATCCAATTACTTAGTAACTTAGCATTGTTCATGCTACAAGTACCTCTCAAGAAAATCAACATTTGTAATGATTTAGAATTTAGAAGAGATCAAAGTCAAATATGAAAGATCAATGTAGAACAAGTAATAGATCCTAAGGGGTGTTTGGGTACTAATATATATCTAGGTAATGAGGCTAGTTTTTAGGTTAAGGTGTTTGGTTTTCAAAACTTATTGGACTATGCACAGGCTAACATTAGAGAATAAAAGAAAATTCAACCAACACTGCAATGGACTAGCCATTGTTCAAGATTAAGTGACATTTTTCAGCTCTTGTATGATTTTGGGTGAATTTGTTTTTGTCTTCTATATTTTGTATTAGAGCCTCTAACCAGCCTTGAAAATCGACTTTGGGCCCCACACTATGTTTCAGCAGTATGGGCTGACCTAGTAGAGGAGGGGCAGCAATTTCAGACCAATCACTTTTTAGGGGACTCTTGGAAGAGATTATTTGACCTTGATAAACTAGATTGTGAACTTTATATAAGCTCTTTTCGTCTTCCTTATCATTTACATGTAAATAGGGAAACCTAAAGAAGCCTGAGATATTGTATAGCTATTATTTAGGGATTCTCCTTGAATGTAGCCTTAATTATTTTTTCACTGATTATAAATAATCATGCATGTGTGTGGGATAATACACACTTTCAGCAAATCTTATTTGGTATCGGTGATTAGGTTAACTATCTATCACAAGCTTCCGCTCCAATGTGTGCTCCACACATGAGTAAACAGTATTGTCAGACACTGCATTCTCCAGCCACCACTGGTGCCCTCTATTCTGCATCACAACCACACAATTGGAGTTGTCTCACTCCAACAACCAGCCAATCAATGATTCTTCCTTTTGCCTTGTCACCACCAACCTATTTCCAACAACCTCTTGAACTACTGAAAATCACACAGAGGGCCATATGTTTGATGCCCTTTTTTAATGATCACCAGTCACCAACTGCCTTTCCATTACTCTGAGAAAGCTTCTAGAACCTTTTTCCTCATTTTTTTAATGGCTGACATTGACACATTCAACAATTTCTTTTCTACTATCACATTTATCAATGGCCCACCCGTCCCATGTGAAAACTGACAACAATAATAAAGTATAACACTTGCGTAGTTGTTGTCCAACTTTGGTTCGAGTGCAGGTTGTGCTGAATCACTAGACCATCCACACCCAGAACATTCCTACCATGGACCTAGCCTGTGGGCAGTAAATTGATGCCTAGCGCTCTTTGGTTCCCCATTGCTCCGAACCTTCAACCTCAGTATGACTTTTTGCACTTGCTAAAACCTCTAGACAAAGACCAAGAAAATCTACTCCAGTGATGTCCATCGCTTCTGTATTGTGGCCAATGCTATGATGTCCACCAAAATTAGAGAATATGGATAAGCAGACTTATCGTGGAAAGCTTGATCATCTGTTCGTTGAATTCCCTAGAAGCATTCAACAGTCTTCCCAAAACTAAATTTACTGTTATATTTCAAACCTTGTAGAGAATTTCCTTCAACATCAATTTAAACAACGATGCTGGGACTGAAGCTTTGTTTCTAGAATGGAACAACTGGAAATTCTCAAGAAAAATTAGGGCATAATTTGCATTCCTAAGTTTAAACTTACCAATAAATTATCACTTTGTTCACCATGCCCAAATATCTCTGCAATTAGCATCTCCCGTTCAGTGGCATCACCATACTCCAAACATTTTTCTACAACATTTGAAGCAAACTTATGCTGGCTTAATTGAACAATATGTCCTGACAACTTGCTGATAATTTGGCTCCTTTCGTGAGCCTTTCCTCTCTCCAAGACATGCTGTTATAACATAACAAAAGCACAATATTGTAAGAACTTAAACAAAATTGACATTCAAAAGGGAAGCAAGACATAAACACAAAAATTGGGTCAAAAGTAACTAACATAACAATTTAAACCCCAGAATTTGTCAACATCTATTTAGGAATACATTAGCATCTTTTTACAAGGTATATTAATGCTGACTTCCCTTGAGGTTAATATTAATTACACTTGCACCCTTTTTTGATAGAAAAATAACATCAACCTCCCTTAGTTAATTACATTCAACGGTATTGTTTGTGTTGTATGTTCTGATCATACAAAAAAGGTGATGCATGTGAAAACAACAATTTTTTAATCTGATATAGTGTAAGCATAATTAGCATAAATCTTGTAGGAGGCCAATGTAATTAAACCCTTTTTGTGATGACAAACTCGCTGTGAGATAATACACTTCAATTATAGAAGACAAATAAATTCCAACAGAAAGAATACGGAAACCCAATGATTAAATTTGGGAACAGAGGTCTTGGAAATAGGTTTGGGAAAATAGAAATTTAAGATAGCTTAGAAACAAAAGTAATTGGAAAGTGGAACAAAAAGGAAGTACAAAACAAATAATTGTGTACAGATAAAAAGTACAGATTTATTCAGCCAGTGTGTAGATTCTGTAATTTACAATTATATACAGATAAAGTACATATTTCAACTTGTCAGAGTTTCATATTACTATTAACCATAAACATCAGAAGCTAAAACTTAAATTATGGTTTAGTAGAGAATAGTGACCAAATACCTGTGTAACATAATTACCATACTGGTCCTGAGCAAGATCGCAAACTGACTCCAAGATTTCATCCACAATGAACTGACATTGACTCTCATCCGTGCAATGTTCTAAAACTCTCTGCAAGAAATATAATCGTAGGACTAAATGCATGACCAAACCAAAACGATTTTCTTTTAGGAATAAAGGGAATGCAATAATTTTACCTGGATGACTCGGCATCCATAGGGATGCATTGATAGAATAGCAACTTGACCACAAAATGCAGATAGTATAAAACTAATTTTTTTTGTCGGAATCGATTCAATGCACTTTTGAATTACATGGTTTCCGTTTTGGTCACGAACACATCTCATAACATGTCCATCTAGCTCATGAACAAGCTGAGCTTTCTGTTCAAGCTCAATAACCTCAAGTGCCTGCATGGACATAAATATAAATAATAACATTTTTTAATATACAATAATAATTAAAAAATATCTTCAAAGCTTGGAGGTAATATATATACTTCAAATTTCCAGTGTATGTGTAAAGTAAATAAAACAGAAAGCAGGTAAACAACCTTGAAAATAAAGTTCAATAACAAAGATTTCCATAATTGACGTAATATGTGTGCACTATACAAAAACAACAAACCCTTTTACCCCAAAGTGGAATTGGCTACATACATCAAATGATGCCAAAATGTTTATACATGAATCATGAACTTAGATCGTCAATCCCAAATATCAAAGCAGATTGATTCCCCAACCCCAAAGGCCCAATCCTGCTGTGGTGGGAAAGCAGGTAGCAAGATAGTTTTGATATACACATTAAAAAATTCAATCTACACAAATAAATGCTCAAATTTAAATAAAAAATTAAGGGTAAAATAGAACACAGAGCACAGGAAGATGAAAGACCCGTAACCCTTTTTCATGTGTTATACAAATCAAGGTATCTATTACTCAATCTAAACACACTTGATTTATTAATACTTGGAAACTATACCATGACTATGAAAGAAAGGTAGATTTAGAAAATAAGCAACTCGTTACTGAATGCAAGCTAAATTATAAAGCCATACAAAGAGAGCAAAATGGCAAAACAGGTTGGACAACCCATTTTAAAAACACAATTTGTTAAAGCCCCAACCCCAATGCCTAATGTTGGAAGTCCCACATCGCCTACTCATGTCATTTGGTATGATTTAAATATATGTTAGACTACCCCACATGTTGCTAATTGGTTTTTTGTTGGGACCTTAACATAGTATCAGAACCAAAACCTAACATCTTTCCGGTTATTGTCTTGGGCCAAAAGTTGCCCTTTCGTTGGGTCAAAAGTACCATTTACCTAGTCCGACAGGCTTTGTTAGAAGGGACGTATTGAAAGTCCCACATCGCCTGCCTCATGTCATTTGGTATGGTTTAAATACATGTTAGGCTACTCCACATATTGTCAATTGATTTTATATTGGAACCTTAATACCTAACTATGATATGCATATTCCCAAAGAATTAATATATCTCAACTATAAATGTTAATGCTATGATACAACAACAGAAAGGAAGTTAGAAAAGATAAATAATTCATAATCAAAACTTCCACACAGATTTCAGTAGGTGCGGTCTGTCAAGCACGCCAATGAAATAAATGTATACTAATGTCCAAAAGTTGTGTAAATCATTATAGATTATATACCTTTTGGATTACACGACATCCATACATCTGCAGACTTAAAGGTAGTATCTGGCCAACCAGTCGATCTGCAAGTTCCCTCCTCTGCTCGTGGCTTCCATACTCAAAAAACTAAGCACATGCAAAGGAAAAAATTAGACCAGACTACATTCCAAACATTCATAAGAACTCTTGAGCTTATTGACAATATAAATCACTTCAAAAACACACCTTCTGTATTACATAATTACCAAATACATCAGTCATTAATTTAGAAGCATGTGGAAGAACCTCCTTAAACACCAATGCCTTCTCTTCTACACTACAACTTTCCAACTTCTGCTGTATAAATCGACTTCCATGCTGATCAGAGCTGGATTTAAAAACCACAGTGAAATTAATAATCAAAGCCATGAAACTGATTAATTAGATAGCTGGAAATACAGCTAAAGGTTACTTGCCTAAATTCAACAACATGGCCAATAATATCAGATAGCTCAAATCTTCGTCCTTTGCCAGATTTTAAGTCTTCGAGAAAATTAACAATTTTGGGGTCATGAGCACTGTCAAATGATCTCTGACCTTGCCATCCTGATATCATGGCTCCATTTCTACCAGGAGCTGGGGAAAGTTTTATTTCATTACTACCACCTAGTAGGCCAGGACTTCCTTCTGGGTATCCAGATAAAACTGGGGTAGGAAGTGGTGAACTTGGATACTGCATTACAAAACCCATGTTTGGCATGTGTCCAAAATAACTAGGAATCAATAATCCACCTCTTCTTGAGTTCATATTAGTTGCAGATCTATGATCAGGTAATTTTTTATCGTCCAAATAAGCACCAGTACTGGGTCTTTTTTGTGCATCATAAGGGCTAATTTGGCTAACGACACTTGCTCTAGGTGCCAGTGGATCAAAATGACCAGAAATACCATATCCCTCTACAAAAGGTTGCTGATGATATTGCATGTACATGGGATCACCAAAAGAAGGCTGCAGAGGAAAACCAAATTGCCCAAGGTACTTGTTTGTCTGTATCATTTCCGTTCCATGTGAAATGTTTCCCCCGGTGGAAACCCCTGGTGTTAGTGGAGTATAACTAGAACTAGTAGCTCCATCAATGACAAGTGGTACGGCACCATGAGGAGGGTATGCAGTAACATATGGAGGGAAAGCTGTGGGATTTACAGTGTATCCACCAACATATTGTGGAGTATATATACCTGAGGCCTGCATATTTGTGTAAAATGGATTTGCTGAGTTCATATACGCAGCTGCTGTGGCATAAAGGGGAGGTGTAAACCCAGATGACTGCAGTAGTGGCTGGACATTGGAGAATTTGCTTGAATTAAAAGGAAACTGTTCCCTACCAACATACACAGAATTTACATTTTGAGAATTGGCACTTGGAATATCAGATGCATTGTTTTGTTGCTGGAATCCTGGGAGTTGCATAAAATTTCTCTGGTAGCTGGTCTTCCATTTTTCTTCGTAACTCTGACTTTCTGAATGTGGTAGATTAGATACACTAAGAGCCTTTAGTTGAGACTCAACAGTTGTGATGTCTAAGTCACTAACACCAATGCTGCCAGTGGATTCAAGAGATGATGAGCTTGCAACTGGGGCAGGGGTATCAACAACTGATGACACCCTTATATCATCCACACCTACAGTAGGTTTAGCAGTCTCTACTGTAGTAATAGGGGGGTCATGAGAAGAACTAGAACCAACTTCTAAATCAATTTGTTTATCCACTACTCCGTGACTTTCAGAAAGAGATTTATTATATACAGGTGACATGGTGCGAGGAAAATCTTCCTGAAAGTTTGATTATTGAACAAAAAATATGTTTCACAATCACAAATTTATACAAAAGAAGGCAACAAAACTCCAACACTTTAAAACTCAAAAAAAAAAATGTGGGATTAATAACGACTTCTATAAGCAAAAGACAAAAAATAAACAAGAAAAAATATGATAAATATACTATTAGTTTTTGAAAGAAAATTAGGGGACTTAAATGTGTATTTATATATGCAGAAAACTGAATGTATTTTACAAAATCAATATAATCACCTGAATTAAATCAACCACGTTTTTGGGCTGAGATGCCAATGAAGCTGCATCAGGTCTCCGCCATATTCCACTTGCCTTAATTAATTCTTCATCGTATGGCTGTTGGTGTGATTCATCTTCGGACTCCTCCTTGTGTGTGGAAAGAGTCATCTGAGGCAAATGTAAAGAACTTTTACCACTATCATCTACTGTAGACATTCTCCAATTATTTCTAAAACTGCCAATATGACGTCCTAGATGGCAATTTTCCCAGGAAGTAAGTGGGGGAGGAAGTCTAGGGTTTAGGTTGACATTGGAACTGTAATATGCTGAATAAGCTGGATCAGCTCGCAGTTGCTCTTCAGACTCACAATTTTGCATAGTGCTGCTTAGAGTTGCAAAGCTTGCATTCTGGGTGATGATCTGGTGGGGTAAGAGGTTTTCTATGGCCAGAAATGAACCTTCCATGCTGGGAGGGGCACTGCCACTGCGATTTGGTGCCACATCCTTTCCCCCACCATGGAACCTATGGCCATTCAAAAGTATACCCAAATCCTCGGTCGCCATGTTACAAGATGTTGAACTGAAAGTTGTAGCTTCCTTATGCGGCCATTTACCCCCAGCTTCAGAGATTCTAATTGGACTCTCAGTTGCCATACTACCCGAAGATTAGCTGCCTTCTTCTTTCGTAATGAAAATTACAAATATCACATTGTCTCCTAAAGACCACCCAAAATCAGCAAGTCAGTAAAATATCTTGTCAAGAAATATATGTAACACCAACCCTAAATAACACTACAAGAGTGAACCAGGTTAGTAAAACAAACAATAATACCAACCAATTAATACAAGTAATAGTAAAAAAAGCCATTTACTCCAACCCTTCACACGAATTTGCAAGAGCATTACGTAAAAACTCAATTTCATCAAGGCAACATCACAGACCAATTAATTAACACAAATCACATAACGACCATGCCATGTTGCTTAAATGCATGACATCATGACACTGATACACAAGAACTTCAATCGTGATCCCACCCCATGCACGACAACAAACATTTAATGAAACCATAACTTTCACAAACAGTCAACAAAACCCATCCCTCTATATTCAATTCAAAAAGAAAATGAAAAAACAAAACATGCCACACAACAAACAAACAATCTCGTCTTCTGGTCAAAGAAACACATATTACGATACTCCCTATTGTTGACCAAACAAAAGCAAACTCGCACACAGTTCCAAAAACTACCACGAATATCACCACCATAACACGCGAACCAAAACAAGGTGAATTTCATGCAACGCACACAATTAGATATTGAAAAGAGAAACGTATAAATCAACAGAGAGAGACTAGTTGAAGAAATAACAGACACAGATAGAGAGAGACAAAAGAACCAGACGTGGTGAAGCTTCACTGTTTCAAAACCCTAGATTGATCACAGGTAGGGAGAGAGAGATGTTGATGGGTTTGAGCTTTGGGGTGTAACGTAAGAGTGCAGTGAGGAAGAGTAGCAGAGGATTTTTTTAACTCAGTTTGAATTTAAATAAAAATAAAAATGAGAAATAACAAAATCTGCGTTTGCCTGCGTTTTTATCTGCAAATGGATAATAGAAAAAATTAAAGCGCTTTTGCTATTTCTTCGCTTTGGTCTCTCTCATGAGCGGCAGAATGGGACAAACATAGAAACTTGCCTATATAATATCACTTCCACTGCCAATTATTGTTTCAAATTAAAACAATAAATAGTTCAAATGACCAAGCTTTTATTCAGTTCCAACTATAATTAATAAATAGTATTAATCACAAGGAAAAAGTTTGAAGTTATTTTTTTATTCATAATAAAATATTCATATGGATTTTATATATATATATAAATACTTCTTCAATTGATATTGTTGGTTATAGTAGTGTTCAGTGTTTTGGAATAAGTAATATGTAAATAAAAAACAGTATAATAATATATAAATTGATTTATTTTTAAAGAAATATAAATTTTAATTTGTGTTTATCTATCTTACTAGTAAAATGAATTGTTTGTGTAATCACTTTTTATATACACAATTTTTTTATTTAATATTTTGCATTATATGTTTTTTTTTACAAAAAATATAATTTTATTTGTATACTATGATAAATATTTTTATAACTGTTTTTAATTATAAACTATGATTTTTTTAAAATATTTAAAAAAATAAATATAATTTACGTGTTATTAAATATAAAAAATTATAAATATTTAAAAAATTTGAAAAGTGACTGAAAACTCATATAGCTGATCATTATTATAATTATTTTAAGAAAATAACACAAAGTATTAATATATATACTTTAAGTAGTAGTTGACAAAGTCATTTTCACAACTTCTTTATATAAGTTGTAAACCTTATTAGTGACCTATTAACTTCATGTAATTATGTATTAAGCAAATAAAACTACAATTATATGATATGTATATGAATGTAGTTTTAAAGACTTATTTTCATTATAATATATAAAGATAAAAGAGAAACTTTTAGAAGAATTATAATAGTAGAAAAAAATAATACAAATATAAGAAATCGAAAAATAAGAGAATAGTTTTGTGTCCTAAACCCTAAAACTATCTAAAAGAAAACTATTTATAAAATTAAAACACAATATTTTAGAAATACTTAGATTTTGATTGAAAATAACCATCTTTTAAACAAAATATTATAACTTAAACCATAATAGAAAATCCACTGCATAAGAGAAAATAACAATCTATAGGTGATAAAAAAAACATTTTGAAGTTGATGATGTGATAAAGTGGATAAGTGAAAAAAATTGTGATAAATTAGGCGTGATAATGCAACAAAACAAGATTACAAGAATAATATTTTGAATTTACAACTTTTTGCGAATGAAGATTTCATATTTAAAGATTTTATTGTAAATTCAAATTTCAAAAGAAAAAATTAATTATAAAAGAAAATAGACCAACCATTCATATGAGATATTGTATATTCATGTAATTTTTTTAACAAATTACTTATTTAGTATTATATTTATTTATATTTTTTAATTTTATCTCTTTTTTATAAAAATTGTTCAATTATGTTCTTTATTTTAAAAGAAAATAATAATTTGATCCTTAAAGAAATAATCCAACAATTAAAGATAAATTTGAAATAATGATGATTTTTAAATATTATTAATTTGTTGAATTTATTATCTTTTAAAAAACATATAATCAAATCAAAATTTTCAACTCTGTACTTTCTCTCCCTTCATCATCTTGTTTTTTCTATAAATGTTCTTAAAAATCTCCATGACCAACAACAAAATGGTTCTTAAATATCATGATATAATACAATAATGAATAAAAAAAAATTCACCATCACAATGAATTACGATAAAACTCAATTTTCTAATAATTATAATAATTGTAGTAGCTAATGATTTTTTTAGAAATTTATTATATGAAGATTATTATTATTTTAACTTTAGAATTTTACTGGGTTATTATTCTGAAATTTGAAATTTTAATGAGTTATGATGGAAAAACCTATTTTTGTTATTATTGTTATAAAAAATTCTGAGTTTTTTTATTTATTTTTAATTTAAAAATAATGACAAATCTGATTTCTTAATTGTAAGTATTAGTAAGCAAAAGCTTTGAAAAACAGTGATTGATGGAAAATATCAAACTGCTTTCTTTTTTAAAAATAAGAAGGATTTGATAAAGTAATTTAATAAAAAGGGAGCAAAATTGAATAATAAATAAATAAATTATTTTTAAGAATTGATAAAATATTTAAAAAACGCACACATGTGCGAATCCAGAAAGGCCTGGTCCATTTACTGGAAAGAGGAAGCCTCTAAACCCTGGTTCAGTTTCAATTTTCAGTTTTGAGTTGACCCATCACAGTCTTCTTTTTCTTCATGGCAACGGAAGAGAATGAGAGCACTCAAAGGAACACCCTTGTAGTTAGAAAATCATGCTTTGGCCTCCCAACCGGTTGCCCTCAATGCTTATCTGCTTACATTTTTCTCAAGTTCTCTCAAGTTCAATTCAGCTTGGATTATCACCCTAACTACCCTGATTCTGGTAAAGCTCATTCTTCATATTTTTTATGTCAGAAAAGATAGCAAGAGTTATTAGTTAAGAATAAGTACAAGATCATTTTTATTTATTTTTCCTAGGTTTATGCCGTCTAATCATTTGATTGTGTTTGAGGCTTATGGGTGGGTAATCTTACTTACATTCGTACCCTATCCAATGAAGTTTCTTTCTGTTTGCTACTTTGTTCTTTTTTAGCATATGGGGTGTTTGGATTTGTTTGATTCTATGTTTTTAATGTTATTTTACTTTTGGCTGCGGTTCTAGATCAGATTCCTTACTTCGAGACTGGTGATTACGTGACATACAATAATGAGAAGGAGGGGATCATTGAGTGTTTGAAAAGGGATGTGGGTGACTTAGATACTGGAGTTTCATCTCTCCCTGATTGGATAGCAACCAAAGTGTTGCTCACCACATGGCTTGCCGATGCGCTTGAGTATGAACTGTGGGTGGGATGTAGCGGTTCCTCTGCTTATAATATCTATTATTCTGATCTTCCCTGGCCTATAGGGAAGGTCCTCTGTTGGAAGAAGGCTTTTTGGGTAACGCAAAAACATGGGATAAGTAAAGACAATGCTGAAGTGAAGGAAGAAGAGGTAAGTTTAATCTTGCTCTGAGGAGACTCTGTACTGTTCCATTTCTAAATTTTGCATACACAATAGGAACTTTTTTACTTTCTAACCTTTGGTCCAATAATTCCCTTTCATTTAGCAGTGTGTGTATTTCTACATAATTTGTAATCATGTGAGTGGTCTGTGATCAACAGATTTATGGGAGAGCAAACTCTGCATATGATGCTCTGTCAATTTTGTTAGGGGAACAAAAGTACCTTTTTGAAAACAGGTGACTCTGCTGGCCATTTTATATATTATATTATACACTGTTATAGCAATATGTTTACTATTTTGGGTTCCTTTCATGTAGAGATCAAGTTTTGACTTTAAATTCCTAGTAATGTATTTGCATTCTCTATCTTGTTTATGCAGGCCATCAAGCTTGGATGCTATTTTTCTTGCCCATGCATTAGTTGTTCTTAAAGCTTTACCTGTGAGTTAAGTTAAATAATCAATTATGCCATGCTTCTGATATTTTTGCTAAGATAGCATGGATACTCTGGCATCTAATGGGATGTCCACTTGGGTAAGATATCCCTAGTCAAGAAGAATTGAACAAAGAATCTGTGTGTTTTGGCATGAGTCCAAAGGAAATTACAACTGCTAGCCTTTATTTGATTGATGATTTGCTTTAACATAGGCTAGATTTGTAATCAGTATTAGAGTCAGGACCCCAGAATTGTTGAGTACAAGTCTCATCATAATATAATTAGTAAAGTAATTGTTAAGCAAACTTACAGCTGAGAGTTTGAAAGAAGATTTTCTATTTGGTGAAAATGAATTCGTTGCCCAATTATATTGAAGTTAAGTTACAACATGTTTTTATAATACTGAGAACACTAGAATCAATAGCTTCTAATAGAAGCCGTTTACAGACTCAAACTAACTCTTGGTTGGTTAGAGAAGCCATTTGTCAAGGACCTTCTAACGGATTCAACCACTGCTGTTGAAGTTAAGTAAAAGTAAATGCCAGAGTAAAAGTATTCTTCAATATGTAACTTGCTTCTTGCTGAACTTCATTCCGTATCCACCTTCTTACTCCTACTCAATGAAAACCCTTTCATTTCAAAGTTTTTCTCCATATCTAAGTTTATACTTTGCTCGTTCTCTTAACTCATGAACTAGGACTGTATGATTGGCAAAAGAACCACACATTTGTAACTTTCTCTTGAATGTGCTTAGTAAGTATGTCATTATTAAGGTGAAAAGGTATGGACTAAAAGTGAATTCTTACTGGACAAAACATTGCCATTACCTAGTAATAGTTATATGAAAGAAGGATACATATACAGAAGTGGGGTTGTGATTAGGGATCCATCTAGATAGTATCACTATATAAAGTGTGTCCCTGCAAATGGGAATGATAATTTGCGATTCATGATTTACTTTGTGTTGGGAAATGTTATTCTTAAAGCATAACTGAGTAACGGGACAGACTCTTGAATGAGGAAACTTGAGCCGGTAATGCTGCCTTGAAAGTGTGGCAATACTTTGCATACTTCAATTGTTTTTTGCATTGTTCTACCCTTGAGATTTCCAATTTCTCCAATTAGTGAACATCATAGATTATATGTTTTACCTTTTTGTTTTTTCTCCTGAGCTAAGTGCTATTTGTGTAACTGCTAGCAGTAATTGTTTACAAGAAACACTAGAAATTAGATTTTTGGGGCAAAATTTGTAACTACTATTACTGCATTTATTTACTACCAGGAATCATCAATTTTGCGGGCCAACTTTTTGGAACGTACCATTTTGGTGAGATATGTGCAGCAATGTACTGCAGAAATTATAGAAGCTAGTGCGATTCCTTCCAATTATCCAGATTTCCATGCAGAGCCATCATCATCAGCTTCTAAAGGTCGTTCAACTCCAGGTAAGAAAGTTTTAGGGCATATATCTTTTCCTTTCATTTCAAATTATTGGTTGCAGTGTAGCAAAGCATTTTATTGATAAATTTAAAAAACAAGTCCAGTACTATGGAGATGCCAAAGGGCTAAAATAAATCAGTCTAAAAAATCAAAGTGGTATGGTGTTTGGGAATGAGCTTTATAACTTTTGAACCTTTTATTTTACTAAGAATGTTTATTATACTATGCTTGTTCACTTAGTTCATATTAAAATACAAAATAGTAAAACATTTTACTGTTCATTCTTTTTTGACATTTACTCCTTGAATGAATTTGGCGTCTCCAAGGCACTAATGCCAACTATTACCTTAAATGCACGTTTCAACTCTGCTTTCTATTTATGAGGCTTCATTTTTTTGGAAACAGAACTATTTGTTGTCCTATTAATATATATTCACTCTTGCAGGCATAATTTTGGAAAAGAAAATTGGTCTTAGTATAAGGCATTTTATAGTTTCAATAAACCTAATTTTTATTTTTTCCTTGTATGCCCTTATTAAAGACAAGACTATGTGTGTTGCTATTAATTGATTTAATGATGATTAATAATGGTGAAAATGTAAGATTGGTAAAAAAAAAGGTTAAAAAATTCAATGAAAATAGAGGAATTAATTGTTTTTCTTGATCTTTGTGATTTTATCCAAAAGTGTCCTGTAATAGAGACATGAGGGGGAACTATGTGAAAAATGCTTTATTCACAATTTTCTTTGTTATAACTTATATTATGTGATTCTGAATGTAGTTTGATTTGTCATTTTTTTCCTCTCAGGTTCAAAGCCCAAGACTAAACCCAAAAGAAAGCCACAAACAAAGGAGGAGAAAACCTTTAGAAGAAGGGCTAAATATTTTGTGGTAGCACAGGTGGTTGCTGTTATTCTTTTCCTTAGTGTCAGGTCTGGACTAGGTGATAATGCTGACTTGGAGTTAGACGATGCAGGCTATGATTTAGATGAATGAAAATGCACTCATTTCTTTATCTTCCTCTCAATGACAAAGCCTAGGCTGACTACATGTTGAAGATGTGCATCCTTTTCTTTGTGTATGATTCAAATTTAGAAATATGGAAATGTACCATTTCACATGAATTTTTCCTAGAGGATCCATTTTTCTATAAATGAGTTGATTTCATTGTTTAAGAGTAGTTGCTATACCCTTTCATTGGGATATGATGCAGTTTTTTGAGCTGTGAGAAATTAACCATGACTTCACAGGATCTATGGCTCTGTAAGCCTTGTACATAAAATTTTGGGAGGGATTTTATGAAGACAGGTCTATGAAGGATAAGAATAAAATTAATTTGAAATTGATTTACTGCATTTTCAAGTACCAAGAAAGATAATATTTTTTATGGTCTGGTTTAGGTAAGTTTTATCTTATTTTGAATTTTTCCATTGGATAAAAGTATTGCTATTTAAGGGTGTTGGTTGCATAGGTTGGTGAGCTATATAAGATTTATAATCTAGTAACCAACATAATTATTGACAGTGACCACTGATTTTTTTTTTCAATAATTTTATTTTCAATTGAACATAGTTAATTTAATGTCTTATATTTTCATATTAATGAACCTAAGCCTCAAACTTGAAAACACATGAATTTTATTTCTCTTGACTTTAAGAAACATAATGGACTTTTTAGACAGAAAATACTAAATTTATAAACTTTCATAAAATGAAAGTACAATGATTTTTTTGATTTGCTTGATTGTCCGTTCCCGCTTTTTAACTAATTGTTTGAAGGTGAACAGATTATTGAGGCAAATTATTTTTTAATAAAAATATTAATTTTTAATACACTTTTATACAAGGTTAGGATTTGAGGTTGATCATAATAGATAAGGACTTGTTATTTCATTAAAAAAGCAACAAAATATTACAAATTTCATTGTATAGAAACATTTCTAAAAAAAAGGTTACAATAGATCAAAATTATGAGTTTGTTTCTTGTCATCTAATTGTTTTCAATACTCAAATCCTTGAGTAGTCAAACTTTGATAATGGAATCCCTAATTTATGGTGCTTGAAGTATTAACAAAATTTGTATTATAAGTGTGACGTCTTCTTGTTGAAGGGGCCTATTTATAGGGGTCTAGTTTTATATTAGTCATTAGAAGGTTGGTCAAACTTGTTGCAAATTGGTATATGTTGTCACTTTCATTGCAACTACTTTTTGACTGAGACTTTGACCATCTTTTCTTCTGACATCTTTTCTGACTAATTTATTTATTCCTTCTCAAAATCCTTTCTTCTTAAATGTGATTCAACAATAGTAGCTTCTGAAATTTTGGATTTTTCTTCATGAGAAGAATCTTTGACAACTTCTACTGGATTTTAGCTTCTAAAAGCATCAATCTTTTGCAAAAAATATTTACATGTTTCATCTTGAAGCTTGAGTGTATTCCAATCAACCCTCCTTCCTAGATATGTTCTAAACAGATATTTGTTCATGCTTCTTCTAATACACCATTTTCTACTGCTTCTGTCATATTACTAAAGTTGCTTCTCTAGCTTATGTTCAAACTGTAAATTTTGATAATGTGTAGCTTGCTATGTTGCTAAGATTTTATCTTCTAACATTTTTTATTATACACAATTTATGAAGTTGCTGTACCTTAATCTTTTCAAAAGCTTCACCTGTTGATGTAAAGATAAAAGAATGCAAAGTAGAGATGAGAAACAAATAAAAAGGTTGAGACAAGTGTTTGGATCCTTTCAATTGAATAATGTCAGGATTCGGTTACAATGTATAATCCTGAGTTTTTCAAACTTGGAAATACAAGATTCTGGTATGGATTTTACAAGGTCTCAAACTCTAACTACAGTAACTAAGTTATCATTTGATTAAGAAATTTTCACCATGTCGCTTATGGGACACGGACATGTGTAATAGGATGTTAGAATTCAACATAAGATAACTAAATTATGGAATTTTTGTGTGGATTTATAGACCTTTAACTCTCAAACTACTAACTTTTATGATGTGAATTTTTGTCATTATAATGACCAGTCACAATTGGTATGCATTTCATAATTGAGCAGAAGTTTCATTTCAATTCATTTTTAAACCTATGTAAATAATATTATTTCCTTCAAATGGGGCTTCATTCTTCTGAAAAATAAAGTTGAGTTCATTAAGTCATCAAAATCAAATTAAACAAAAAAAATCAAATAAATTATTTTGATTATTTTTTTTCTATTACTATTTATTTTTCCATATTCAATTTTTTTATAATGTACAATGTTGGACTAAAGTAAATGAATGATTGAGATTTAAGGTAAGCAAACAGTTAAAACATTTATTTTAAGCACTGGTAATTCAATTCAATTTGGACAAACATAAAATTTAGGATATAGAATAGATAAAATTTAAAGTTAAATATTCCTTCTAAAAAAGTTCACTATTTAAAAACCAACATGAATTTCAGAAATCTAGGGTTTTAGACAGAGAAGAAAAAAAAAATCAATTTTATCATAATATTGGGTGCAATTACCCATGCTATTCTACCTTTTATATTGGTTAGTAAAACACATAATTACACTCTCATACACCCATCTCTAAACAAGCCTAAACTAAACTAATCACCACAAAATGTGAGACATCTAAGTTCTGGTCTCGCCAGAAGTAGTATTTTGACACTTCACATTGTCCCATTGCTTAACAACTTCACTGTACCCCTCAGCAGAATCAAAAGCAAACTCTGCCAGGGAGCTAATAGCAACAGACATTCCAGCACAAAGCACCTTAATAGCAACTTCAGCCAGTTTTTCTGGAGCCATTACCTCTTCAACCTCACCAACTTCCACTATTTCCATATTACCACTACTATGTTTTGGTCCAAATGAGTTTCTCCTAGAATCTTCTCTTAACTGATGTGCATAGAGGGACCCCATCCCAGCTGCAAAAAAGTCTAAGCCATCAAGCACTGCCTTTTCATGTATGGCATCTAGGCGTCTTGACCACTGAACACAGAGTCCAAATAAAGGGTGAGTGCCACTAGACCTACGAGGAGAGCATGGTAACTTGGATACGTCAGGCTCAGATCTCATGCACCGAAGAAGCCATCCAGTTAGTGCGCGAATGTAGGATCTTTGAGAAGTGATCCATGACTCAAAGGTAATTCTCCAGTTTCTTAACTCGAATTCAAGATTGGAGGCTGAACGTGCTAGCCTGTTTGGATCTATCATTGACACGGAAGACTGTTTTCTAGCATGTAATTTAGAGTAAGTGCCAGCTAGAAGAATCTTGGCTTCATCTAAGGTTCTCTTCTGTGTCTGATGGCATTCTGCCATCACTTTCCACATCCTTTCCAGCCTGTCATTTGTATAAATGAAGAATAAGCAAGCATGATGTAAGTAACTACATTGTAGTGTGATACATAATATATATCTGCATTTCATAAGGCAAACAAAGTGTAGGCTGTTTTCTTTAAAGTGTTGCTCATGTAGAAAGTAAAAACCAGGATTTAATATCAAATATTATGGAGGTCCTACAAGCCTAGTCAACATTAAGTAGATGTTATGAAATGTGATGGCTCCACTTGGGGTTTTAATCAGGAAGTTGATGACTTAGAGAGGTACTAAGTAAGCTGAAGGTAATGAAACATTTCAGCAATTTCACCTATATAAGTCATTCAGGATAACTTTATCTGAAATTTTGTTATTAGTAGCAAACAAAGTCTAGTGGCCCTATCTTTCTTAAATGATCAATGAAAATATTAGTTGTATGTTTGTAGTCTAAAAATACTTCAAACTTTGGCAGAAAGTAAGATGTATGGGCGCATTTGACATTTATACATACCCTTGCACCAATTCAAGAAGTTGGGGATATAACTCTTCATCCCTTAGAGTTTCGATTCGCCTTGAAATAGCTTCAACTGAGTGTATTGAAACTGTTATCTGGGTATCAAGATCTCTAATGGCTGCTCTTGCTTTATCTGCACAAGAGGGGTCCTCTCCTTTTACATCAAGGTTCCTGAGTTGCTTGCATTTCTTCTCATATGCAATTCGAACACGCTCTCCAGACTGTTGAAGAAGAAAGTGGCCACAGTAACTAATAAGTTTCCCAACATTAAAATAAAATTGTATGTGATGACAAGCATAATGACCTGTAACAATAATACAACATATAAATTTTCTAAAAAGTACAAAATGAAAAAATAACTGAATATAATGCTTTTTCACATCATATTGAAGCTAAACTAGTTTTATGGTTAATAGTATGAGAAATTATTTTATTTGTTATTTCTAGTAATAACCATAAGAACTAAGAACAGAAGTTTTTTCCATTTATGAATGAGTGAACCATTGATTTTGTTTACCTCTCAAGAGTAAGGATAATCAAACCTGAAAGAATTTCTACTTGAGGAGTGCTAAAATCACCCTCTCTACCACACATACACCATTTCACAGGTTAAAATTTATTCATAACTACAAAATCTTGAGAGAAACCCATTAAATAAATGGGACTCAAAAATGTGATTTCCTATAAATTTCAACCAATAATAAAGAGTGTGCAGCTAGCATTTATCCTTTCTAGAAGAGACTCTTGCTTAAGTGAGAAAATGGAAGACTTAAATTCTGAACTAATTACAAGAAGGAAGATAACCACCAGTTTTCTGAGGTTATTTCTTTAGTGGCGAAGTTATCTGTTTCTATGCACATCACCACATAAAACTTCACTGAAATCTAATTTTATAAATTTGGCTTCCTCAAAAACATAGGTTTAGTAGCATACCCTGACTTCCTCAAAGAGTTTCTTCTCCCACGTATTTAATCTGTCCAATGTGGAGTGGTGACTACCGGATAACATACAATGTTCCTCTGAGAGATCCTTAGTGCTCTCACAACCTTCCTTGCTAGAGTTTGAATAATTTACCAAATATCTTGAAGAGGATGAGCGTGAAGAGGCAGATCGCAGAAGAGCTACTGGATTCAACAACTTTGATCCTGCAAATGAAATATTACTCAAATTAATATTTCTGAAAATTCACAGATAAACACAGATTGTAAAAAAAAAATAAAAAAATCACTATGATCAAATGAGGAATTGAAAACATGAAAAATGATTTCTGGGTGTATAAATTGAGCACATTTTCTAAGTGAGATCTTGTCCAGAAACAAGAACTTGAGGCTGCCCATTGATTCTTTTCCATTCATAGAGGCTCCACTCATAATTCTAACTAATATGGAAAGTATGTACATGGAAGTACACTTAAAACAAAATGAAAGATATGAACTGTTTGTTTTCATCAAACCTGAAAGTTCATTAGAAATCAACAAATATTGAGATTTCTTGGCCTCCAACAATGCTGCAACATCTTTAGCTGCATTACAGACGATTTTGAATTGAGTTTCAAGATCATTGATCACTTCTGCCATGCTTGTTGGCCTTCGGTTTACATAAACAGTAAAACCCGGTGTTTCTTCCACAGCTTCTTGCTTACCAATTGTCATTTCTCTATGACTGGATTCAATATGTCCAGCAGCTTGAGCTTTTGATACTTCAAAACTTGCATTTCCTTGAGTTTGACAATCTTTGGCATCATGCTCAGTTTCAGTTTCATCTTCAATGTCTGTTTCTTCCTCTTCTTCCTCATCCTCTTCTTCTTCCTCCTCCTCATCCTCATCATCATCTTCAACATCTTCAACAATAACTTCTTCTTTGGTAGAATTTGTATTGTGCCTAGTTTTCTCTTCTGCTACATTTCTCTTTCCAACACAATCTTCACGTTCAGTTTCATCTTCTTCCAGTTCTGGTATTCCTTCTTCTTCTCTAACCTGCCTGAGTCCTCTGTATTCATCATCCATTACAGTCTGGTCAATACTTCTTGCAGGATAACCATAACTGTCCAATGATGAAAAGGGGTTCCAAAAGAAATCCCATTGAGAAGCTTGAGGTGAAGGGGGAGGGATATTAGGCCTATTGTTGGGAGAATAGGCAAAAATTGAGGGATTCACTGGTGAGGATTGCATGTTGAAAAAGCCATCAATGCCATACTGCTGCATTGGAGAATAATACGTCTCAACACGGGCCATTTCCGGGGATTGAGGCCTTTCCTCAACTGAAATTGCTGGGTTACCGCCAGGCCTAAAGTAATTCACTTTCAAAGTAGAGTTTGGTCCGATCCCAAACTCAATAGCTGCATTTGTTGCAAAGGGTTTTGCTGATATGGGAATGAATCCTGCCCCATTTTTCTTCTTCACAGGAGTGAAAGGTGGGGTGATGACCGTGTCCAATGAGAACTCCCGAGGCTCATCACCTTCAATGTAATCACGAAGTGCTGCTGAAACTCTTTTCAGAGATTCTATGTATGCTATGTGTCCAGTGGCGAATCGAGTCCTTTGTTCAACAGCTTGTTTGATGAACTTCTTTCTGTCTCTACAAAGCTGAACTGCCTCTTCATCATCCAACCTTGAATGTGAACATCCCATCTCTTCTTAGTCCCCTATGAATGGATGCTTAAACTTGCATTGGAAAGGAAACCAAAGGGGAACCTTTCTTTATGCCTCACCAGATTCTTAAAGAAATCATAAACCTGTCACAAAAAAAAGACAACTTCAATAACACGCACTAAAATTTCATCAAACATGAGTAAATCCCAAAAACAAATAGCATTATATTTTAACAAATAAGCCTAACAATGCTAATGAAGTTGGATACTTTTCTTCATTTAAAAGCCAGAAGAAGGGTGATAAAAACACAGACCTGCTTAACAGTCTTTTCAAACCTTTTCCTCTATAATTTCCATAAAACCAAACTATACTCCACCAGAGCACAAGAAGAAAGCACACAGCTTGCATCTGGGATTTTTTTTTTCCAAATGTAGAAATAATAAAAAGAAAACAAAAAATCAGCTTAAAGCCTCCAAAAAATCTATCTTAAAAATGAACAAAAATATGCAGACACTAAAGCAGTCATCAATTAGATGAATTAACCGAAGAACAAATGTAAAATTGATAAATATAAATCTAGGAAAATTCATACATATATAAAATTAAAAGAGAAAATCTCTTTCTCTTTCTGCCTCCCTCCTTCACTCTCTCTACTACACTCACAATAAAAAACGGGTACAATGCATAAAAAATAAAGCACAAAAGAGCATATAAACATATAAACAAAGTACCCATTTTTAGCAAGACAGAATTTTCCATGACACCCTTTAAAAATTTCTTCCTTCCAACACTCAAACAAAGTGTGTATGTCGGTTACAAGAGGAGAAGAACAATAAGAAAAAGAGAAGAGTGAAGGGTTAGAAGGGAGAGGCGCAGGTGGCAATGAGGTGAAAGAAAACGACAGTGTTTTGATCACAAAGAGTGGTGGTGGAAAAGGAATCAATGACAAAGAGAGAAGTGTGTGTGAACAGAGAAAGACGTTGAGAAAAAGCAACGGTCAAAACACAAGGAGGAAGGAAACAAGGTATAATAAAAGTAGAAAAAAAGTGAGACAACAAAAATGAAAGCTTTGGTTTCAGGTTGAGGTTGGAGAGCTAATAAAGGAAGGAAGGAGAGAGTGTGACAAGTGAGGGTGGGTCACTGTTTGCCCTCCATGTTGCACTTAATTACAACACTGCCACATGATTTTGGGTGAACCTAACTAAATCACAAGTTTCGTTTTTTACTTTGGGAAATTTTGGGGAAAGTGACCGGTCAAAATGTGTGATTAATGGGACCCAACTATCATTTGCCTAATAATGTTCTTACCAACAAACAATAATACAAACATCTATTAAGAAGGTTAGTTCCTTAGGTATGGCTTATGCTCAATAGGGTTCAATCAATTGGGAATGATTAGATTTGGACAAATAGTTACTTGAATTTTAATGTTTTTTAGAAAATTATAAAAATGTAAAATTGTGTTACTATTCTAATATGACACGTGAATTTATTACTTTTTTTTTTTTAAGTAATCAAATATGTTTTACTAGAGATTGAAGTTATTGATAAAAGATGCAAAATTAATTTATAAAGATTGAATAACTCATTTTAAGTTGAGTTTAACTTAATTTTTTTAAAAATCAATTTTGATAAAATAATTTCAAAGGCATATTAAGATGTCATGACACTTGCGATCTATCATGCAATTTTTGTTGGGAATAACAATAATGTATTTCATATATTATGATTGAAAATAATTATATTTTATAATCAATTTATATAATATTTGGAAATAGTCTTATCACAATCTTAATAAAAGAATACAAATTTTTACAAATTTTTGTAATTTAAATAATAGTTAAACTGCCAATGACAACAAATAACCTAAATAAAATACACTTAGTTTTTTAAGAATGTTTTTAGATTGAACACAATTTAACTGTACATAAAATTAGAATAATTTTTGTATTATTTCTCAATATTTTTATGTTTTTAAAAAATTATATTTGTTTTATGTTAGATTGAATTAATTCATCTTTCAACTACCTTTTACTATTAAATAATATCATATTTTATATTTTTTAGTATTTGTTTCCTATTGCTTAATTAACCCAACTTTATTTTATTGTGAAATTAAAAAAAAATCAGACTAAAACTTTTTATGTATATAAAACTTAAATTAAAACCTAAATATATAGATAAGGACTATTTTTTTTTTATAGAACTAAAAGTTTATTTAACCTAAATTTAAAATTATGTAAGTTACATGTAAAAAGGGAATGCATGTTGAATGAGACATGTTAAGAAGATGAATGGAACGCTGCAAACAGAAAGTGAAAAAATAAAAAATATAATGACACCCATTTTCACGTGCTCTTTCGAAAATGGTTAGGATATTTCTTTCTACGTTATTTTATTATTATTTTTTTATCTTTCATATTTTTGTATGTTTTTTAAAATATAAAAAATTGAAAATCCATTTCAATGAACGAGAGATAAAAAAATAATAATAAAGTATAAAAAGTTTGAGCCAACCCGCAACTTTTGACCCTGACCATAATTCGTGGGTACGGGCCCACTATTCGTGGGATCATACCCTTTGTAAGGCACTTACAATTTCATATGTAATTTGAAGCTGAAACAGGGACATTTTAGTACTTTGGTGACCCGATTGTTTGGGTTTATAAAGAAGAAATGAAAACGAGTGAAGAATTTAGAAAAGCAAAAAAAAGTATGAGTCGGCGATAAAGGAAAAGAGAGAACCTGGGATGCTTCATTTCTTACAAATATAGGAAAAATAAATAGATTTTGATCTAAAAATTTTCCTCTAGGACCACCATGCCCTTAACCACCATTTCTATATCTTTTTTATGAAAGTTCATATCCTTTTTCGAATTTTATCGTTCCAAATCTAACCAAAATTCTAGTCCTGATCCATTCCAGTGTTACACTATGTTGTCTTTTGATATTAGTCTATAAAACATGTAAATTATGACAGTGTGCTTTTCTGGTTTTTGGCATGTTGAGTTCTTCCAGTTATATCACATTGTCATTGTCTGAGACTTCAATTCATTCACCATCCAAAATTTATACACATCACAATTTCAACTGTCATCTTGTATCATATACCAGAATGGTGTGAGATACTTACGTCATATATTTTATTCAACCACTACTTATCCAAACATTACAATACTGATGTTGAAAGGTTAACAAGCACTTGGTTTGGTCTACGACTTCCAATGCTCTTTTTTTCTTAGTTGAAATTTATTAAAAAACTATTAGTCAAGTTATAATGTTAAATGATTCTAGTATATTGATTTATATCTATTGTCTCCATGCTTAGTCTCTTTTGGTTGTTTAACTGTGAATCTTTTCACATTATATATATGTGGAGTATTTTAATCTTTAAAACATAACACAAACTAACAATTAACAAATCCATAAGGTGAAGATATAGATCAGTATCATTAGAAACGAATATGACATTTTTACATGATAACAAAATCATAAACAAGACCATTTTCAGTAATCAGTTTTTCTTTTACTTGTGTACTGTGAGGTTGAGGAAGTCAAGGCAGAGTAGCACCTGCCTCACATGTATAGACATTTTACAACTAATGAGAATTTACTACATAGAGACACAACAACAATATAGGTAATGTAAAAATCAACATTCGTCATAGTTAAAGGAAAGTGCAACAACTTAAGCAATCCAGATAAAACCAACAGAAACTCGAACTTCCAGTTTCATTCCTGTATACCTGCAACCACGCAGACGGCTGATAGTAATTGCATTCCTTTTCCTTTAAATTTACAGCATACAACACTTGGACTAAGGGTCACATTTCCTACAAATAACAGTACATACCTTCCTTGTTAGTTTGGAGTATTTTGCATACTATTTCATTTTAGTAATCATTTCTTTTGTTTAAGAACTAATTAGGGTTATATGAAAACTTTAAAATGTAAGAACTCAGGTTAATAACTAGAATGTTGTAACCAAATAGGTTGTTTTAAATGAAAGACCTCATTGTAAACCACAAGAAGGAAATACCTGGGATGATAGGAAGTACCTTCCAATTCAATTTATTAATGAAATTGAGACATTGAGTCATGCAATTCACTTTGTTGAATGAATGTCTTGTATGTGGAGGTGCTTATTGGGCTGACTCCGAATCCTTTTAACACTTGCTGTTTTATTGTACCAGTTTCTGAAAGAGAATCCTCCATTGTAACTTGGATTTTGAACTTTGTTTGATTTTTGGCGCTTGTATTTAAAAACTCAGAACATGTTTGGTCGTATATCACCATACACACGCGATTCGATCCACTACAGTGAAACCCATAATATATGAGCATGCTGAAACTGTCACTTTTACCTCCATCCTCATCATCAAATATAGTGGTACAACATTGAAGAATACTATTGTTTGAGCACAAATCAAGAATGAAGGAGAAAATGAAACCCAACTTGAGTGAAGGTGGAGTAGAAGAGAGATCAACAGTAATACAATCATTTCTGGTGCTATACTCCAACCACTCTGGAACACTGTTTCCAGGATACACGTAAACACATCGATCAGAACGAGTGTAAGGGTCCATATTCTTTTTAACAGGATTGTGATTTGGTTCTGATAGGTGCTGGTTTGCAAATTTCATCATGTTTATTTCGGCATTCAACCCAATAGCAGCTGTAGAATGTTCATCCAACATCACGGAATTTGGGAGCATAACAATTCTCCTGTTTTGTTCTTCAGCTATTGAAGGAAATACTACAGTCTTCAATGATTCGCAGTCACGGGCATCTAGTACTTCAAGTGACGGGGGAAGATTTGGTAAAGTCTTAAGTGACCTGCAATGACTAACGTTTAGAGTTATAAGTGACGCGGGAAGCTTCGGTAGAGTCTCAAGTGACCTGCAATGAACGTTGAGAGTTTCGAGTGAAGCGGGAAGCTTTGGTAGAGTATGACGTTTCTTGAAGTATTTGACGCATAGAGTTTTAAGGGCCGGGGGAAGCTCTGGTAGAGTTTGAAGTAAGGGACAAGCAATTTTCAGAGTTTCTAGGGATTCGGGAAGCTCTACTAGACTCTCAAGTGAGCTGCAAAGTCTAACGTTTAGAGTTTTAAGGGCTAGAGGAAACTTTGGAAGAGTTTTGAGTGATTTGCAGCGGTAGACTTCTAATCTGTTAAGGAGAGGGGGGAGCTCTGATATTGTTTGAAGCTTCTCGCAATCACTTAGGTCTAGACATGTCAATTGACCAAGATTGTATAACGACGGCAACCTCTCAATGTCACTTTCACTAAGATATAGAGATTCAAGCTTGAGTTGATCTCCAAATGATGAGGGCAATGCTCCCACCTTTGTGCGTACTAAGTTGAGCTCTTTCATATTCTCTGATATCACTGAGAATTTCTTAAGATTATGGCAATCTTCAAGGTTTAGATAATGAAGACTGAGTAAAGTGGAATTGCTTGCAAGTACAGTAAGGGAGTAGCAGAAAGCAAGGTTCAATCTCTCAAGTTTGGGCAGCGAGAAAATAGATGAATGCACGCTATTCAACGAAGAACAACCACAGAGGTCCAGTTTTTCAAGTCTTTTGGCTGATGATAAATCTGGAAGCTCCTTTAACTCGCTGCACCACTTGAGGTCAAGTTGTTTTAAATTCACCAGATTCTGTAATAAAATGAAAAGAAATGATGTCACATCACCTAAATTAGTTTATCTTGTATTCCTTAAATTAACAGGAAATTACAATAGTGTGAAATTTACCTTCACTCCATCCCAGAGCTTTTCCATTCCACCAATATTCAGTTTCAATATAACAAGTTTTTCAGCATTAAAACACTCTGGCAAGGACTGGCAATACGTCCAAGAAAGAAACCTTAATTCAGTTGCCATAAATTTAACCCCTTCAGCAAGAATAAGTCGGTGGAAGCAATCATGCCCATTCCCTGATATTTCCAGAAATTTTAGTTGTCTCCTATCAAATATTTGAGGATTTAACTTTTTCTTCTTAATTAATGCGAGTTTAATTTGAATGCTTCTAATGGCGTCACCAACCTGGGATCAATGCAGAAGAAATTTTTGAACATCATTATAAGTCACATTTCTCACACACATAAAAGAAATCAATGTTATGTAGAAAATATTATACTGAGTTAGTATTTTTTAACCTTTTCATTTACCAATGCTTCATAAATGTCATTGGGATCCCACAATCGACTACGGCTTCCAGGATCATCGATGGACTCTTGACGAACAATCTCCCAAGCCATTTCTTGTAAACTATCATGCATACATACAATGTTATCCCGAGAGATAGTTATAAGAGCTTTCTCTTCCAGCCTTCTTAACTCAAAAGCCACTGAATTATCACTTTCATTGTCTTTCAATAAGGATTTTAGATCACCCACCTCCACTGGTACATGCAATCTGAGAAAGAAACACGCCAAATCAAGAAATATTTGTTGCCCTTCACGATCTAGACTATCATAGCTCACTTTCATTACATCATAAACTTCTTTTGGAGGCATTTTATGAAACTTGCTTATTAAACTTTCCCATTCTTCCTTATTTCTTCCATGAAGAAGATGAGCTAAAACTTTAACAACTAATGGATTGCCCTTGGCATAATTGACTACCACCTTTGATATCTCATTGTACTCCTCCCTTTCCTCATCATTTTCTCTAAAGGCATTCAAGTTGAAAAGTTCAAGTGCTTCATCAGAGCTAAATTCTTTGAGCTTGTATGTCTTACTGACTTTGTTAATCCTAAGCACTTGCTCATCTCTAGTTGTTACAATGATTGTGCTACCCATACCAAAATTATCAAGAGATCCCAACAGTTTTTCTATATGATTTGAATCATTCACGTCATCAAGGACAACAAGAACCTTCATGGAATCAATTCTTCTAACAATATGTTCAGGCAAAGAATTTGGTGTGTCAACATCCACTTCCTCTCCTAACAGTTTAGAAAATATAATTGTCTTCAGATGAGTTGTTCCATGCTTACTTGATTGATCTCTTTCATTGGCTAAGAAGTAAGACCCATCATATTGAGATCGTAGTCTATTGAATACTATTTCTGAAAGAGTTGTCTTACCGATACCGCCCATTCCCCAAATTCCAATAAGACAAGTGTTTCTTGGCTCATTACGCATCCATGATTCCAAACTAGCAATTTTTTCATCAATTCCAACAAGTCCTTTTGAGTCGTCTCGGGGTTTATCAAATCTCTTCAACTTCTTTAGTACATCAGCGACAATTACTTTAACCACCTCAGCATCATTTCTATGGAGGTAAAGAGAGATGAATGTATGTTAAAATCAATGTCTACAATTATTATTGAATCAAATGCTATTATGGGATCTATACTAGTTTCATGTTTGGCAGTGATAAACTAATCATACAAATCTAATGTTTTTTTTAGAAAGATTTGTTAAAAATAATTCTTATTATAAATTGATATCAATACCAATTGCAATAATACTATTTGTGTGTTGATCTGGGAAACATGGAGTATTTATTGGGAAAAAAAGAGCTTACTGAATATTTGTTGACTTAATTCCTGAGAAACTTGCAGATTTATGCAAAGCACACCTCCAGAGTTGCAGCTCGGTCTCATCTTTTGTTGCATGCTCACCAAATGCTTTCTGGTAACATCCTGATTGATGTTTTACATGTGTGGGTTCTATATTATAGAAAACTGGAATTACAGTACGTCCATATTTCTCTTGGCATTCAATAATTTTGACAACTTCTCTCAAACACCAAGGAGAAGAGGCATAGTCTGGTGAGAAGATGATCAACGAAACGGCTGATCTTTCAATAGCTGCAACAAGTGATGGCCATATTGCTTCTCCCTTCTCAAGTTTATCATCTACAAATGCGTTTATTTTCTTCATGGCAAATGCCTCACTCAAATGGCTGAGAAACCCTTTACGGATTTCCTTGCCCCTGAAGCTAACAAAAACATCATACTTTATATCAGGAGCGTTCTTGTCTGACACGGGTTTCTCCACCTCAACCTTTTGCTTTCGAAAGAGGCTACAGATACAGAAAAACAGCGTACAAAGAAGTAAAAAAGGTACGAAGAAATAAAACATATTTATTGCAAAAATAACTGGGACAAATTAGATATGGTGTTGATAGGAAGAAGTTCACTCTGGATCTTTTTAATCTGTGTCTGCAACTGAATCTGTATGAGAGATATAAGGTAGCTGGGAAGACAAAGGAAATTAGAAATGAAGAGGAAAAATCAGCAATAAAAATGAATACTTGACGAATATTATATGGTCGTGTGACTCTGTAACAGGGTTCAAAGTCAACTACTGCACATGCTTATCTTAATAGTATGAATTTGCAAGATAATATTTCATTTTAAAAAACTTAATGGTATGAAAAAAAAAATCAAATTTTATAGAGTTTATTTGTACGTACTTTTTAAAAGTAAACAAAAATAATATAGTTATATTACTCAAATGGTATGAAAAAGAAAATAATTACATGAATATTTTGTCACGTATGCTTTAAGTGGAACCAAATCCGCTTGAAATGAAAATAGAATTACACTTCTTGACTTTGTTTAAAAAAATAATAAATTCTTGCTTCAGCAACAACAATAATAACCTAATTTATTGCTTATCATCAATTTTTCTCAGCGAACAAAGTTTTTGAAAACTGAATTTTAACCTAAGATTTTTTTAATAATTTAATTATTGTATATAAAAAAACCAATTTTATTATCTAGGTAATTTAACCATTAATAAACTTACTATTATAGAGAAATCATAATGCAAAACCTTAGCATTCCACCCTTTTAATTTTAATTTTCTAGAAAGGTACTTAAATATATAAAGGGTTAGGTACCTTAGACAATTTAACACACTGCTAATCCACACAAATGTTTGGGTTGAAATCATTTAACAGTACATAAATTTAACATAAAGTTTTATCCTTTATCAACATTTCTTCCTTTAATTTTTATTAAATTGAATTGATCTTTCTGTTATATATTTTAGTTCTAATTAATGATATCAAATTTGACTAATGTGACGTTTATTACTATTTATTTCATGTCGCACTTTTATAGTGAAATTTTTAAACAATCACCCCAAAATTTTACTAAATATATGTCAGTCATGTAGTGAAATTTAAAAGTTATTTAGAGAATATCGTTGTTTAAAAATAAAAATAAATTTTTTATTATGAATTTACGTATGAATTTTTAAAAATTAAAAAAATTATTTATATAAATAATTATGATTAAATCTTAGATAATTTCTGAAGTTAAAAATAAAATTTTTATATTTATTTTCAAACAATTTTTAATAAAAACTCTATGTCCTTAATTAAGGGAGTTTCTACTCCAATATAAAAAATAAAAAAAAACCTCGTACAAAAGTTGAATAATTGCTAATAAAAATTATTAAACTTAGTAAAATATCTTAAAGATTTGTGAAATACATATTCTTTTTTATAAGAAAAAAACTATTTTATAAATATATGGAATTGATATGAATTTGTAATATTTAAAGACGTAATTTTTATATGTACATGTTTGTATCTTTTAAAATAAAGAGATTGATAGTATGAATATGCAAGATAATAAATCAATTTTTAAAAACTTAATTAATGGTATGAAGAAGAACCACACTTTATAATTTTATAGAGTTTATTTGTATGTACCTTTTAAAAGAAAGCAAAATAATATAGTTATATTACTCAATGGTATGAAAAAGACAATAATTTTAAATAACTCCAAACTTAATCATAATCAAAAGACTTAAATATGTTAGCGGATATATCATCATTTTATTTCTTTATAAATATTTTCGGTTCTTTTAATTTATGTAATAGTTTTCTTTGCTGCGAAGAAAGTGATTCATCTTCATTTAATTGTATGAGATCCAAAATGCACAATAGAGAAAGCACACAGAAGGAAACTCAATAAAAAATAAACTTCCATCACATTGGTTTAATTTATTTGGAATTGGATCTCTTAACATTCTATTAGGAAAATATGAGAGTGATTCAATTCTACTATTCAAATATAACTTCCAATTAACAATGGTGGAATGTTTATTTTTACTAATCTTGATTATTCAATAAAGCTGGATTATAACCTGATATAAGTAAAGTGCATGAAATTACACCAGATCTTTCTGTTTCATTTCTAGATAATTCAAAGTTATGATTTCCGAGTCTTCGACATATTTGAGATTTTTTTTGTCCAGTTCACCATAACATACATTTAACAAGATTTTTTCCAAGTGAAGTGAATGAACTTCGTAGCTCTGACTAAGACAACATAGAAAAACATACACAAGTCTCAGACACATACTTTGAAAGAATCCAAGATGAAAAAACTGAGTTTGTGACTACAACCATATTCCAAAATTCACTGTCTGGTCGATTAGTTCCTTGGAAATGCCCTGGACTTTGACAAGGTGGACAAGCTTCATGTGTACAGTTCGTTTGTATGAAGCTGTTTTTGACTGTCATCTTCACCATATATGAAAAAAACAGGAGCTGTTAAAAGGATGCTTTTGAGTGACTCAAATAATAAAGTTTTTGCTAAATCTTTATAGTAGACCACGACACATGAGTTTGAATGCATATACTTTTACAACCAAACTTTAGTGACAGCAAAAATACATTATAAAATATTCGGAAAAAAGGGGAAAACATAAAAGAATTTAGTGACAGCAAGCTCATGAAAATTAGATAAGGCAATGTTATTGTTTGTGTTTGAAATATAAACAACACTTGGACTAAGGGTGACATTTCTTACAAATAACAGTACATGCACTACTTTTACCTTCCTTGATTGTTTGGAGTATTTTGCTTACTGTTATTATTTAGTAATCATGGCTTTTGTTTAAGAACTTAGTAGGTTTATATGTTAACTTTAAAATGTAACAACTCACGTTTTTTAAAGAAAGACCTCATGAATGTAAACAATAATAAGGAAATACCTGGGATAATAGGTAGTACATTTCAATTCCATTTTTCTTTAATGAAATTGAGACATTGAGTCACTCAATTCAATTTGTTCAATGAATGTCTTGTATGCGGCGGTGCTTATTGGGCTGACTCCGAATCCTTTTAACACCTGCTGTGTTATTATACGTCTTGTAAAAGATTCCTCCATTGTAACTTGGATTTTGAACTTTGTTTGATTTTTGGCTCTTGTATTAAAGCATTCAGAATATAGTGATACGACACGTGATCACGTGCAATGCCGAGAAACCCATAATTTATGTGCATTATGAAACTGTCACTTTTACCTTCATCCTCACCATCAAATATAGTGATACGACATTGAAGATTTCTAATGCTGGGTCTCATATAAAAAATGAAGCAGAAAATGAAGCCCAGCTTGGGGGAGGGTGGAGCAGAGGAGAGATCAATAATAATACAATCCTTGCCTGTGCTATACTCGAAACACTCTGGAACACTTCTTCCAGGATACACGTAAACCCATCGATCAGAACGAGTGAAAGCATCATAATACGCGTAATTTTTAAAAGCATTGTGATTTGGTGCTGATAGGTGCTGGTTTGCAAACTTCATCATGTTGATTTTTGCATTCAACCCAAAAGCAGCAATAGAATGTCTATCCAACATCACGGAATCTGAGAACAGAACAAGTTTCCTGTTTTCCTTTAACTGTTCATCAGCTAGTGAAGGAAATAATACAGTCCTCAATGATTTGCAGTTACGGGCAACTAGTGTTTCAAGTGACGGGGGAAGATATAGTAGACTCTGAATTGAGCTGCAATAACCAATTTTTAGAGTTTTAAGTAAAGCTGGAAGCTTTGGTAGAGTCTCAAGTGAAGTGCAGCAATAGACGCATAGAGTTTTAAGGTCCAGGGGAAGCTCTGGTAGAGTTAATAGTAAGTCACAACCAGTGGTATCTAAAGTTTCAAGGGATCTGGGAAGCTCTAGTATACTCTGAAGTGATCTGCAATGAACAACATTTAGTGTTTTAAGGGATACAGGAAGCTTCGGTAGAGTTTTGAGTGATTTGCACTTGACATCTAAAGTTAAAAGAAATGAGGGAAGCTCTGGCAGACTCTCAAGTGATTCACAAGCCAATTTTAGAGTTTCAAGGAAACGAGGAAGCTTTGGTAGAGTGTCAAGTGATTTGCAGTTGTAGACTTCTAAAGTGTTAAGGAGAGGAGGAAGATTATCTATTGTTTGAAGCTTCTCGCAACCGCTTATGAATAGACGTATCAATTGGCTAAGATTGTTGAATGACGGTAACCTCTCAATGTCAGCTTGTCCAATATATAGCGATTCAAGCTTGAGCTGATCTCCAAATGATGATGGCAATCCTTTAACCTTTAGTAAGTTGAGTTCTTTATTATTCCCTAATTTCAGTGAGAATTTCATAAGATTCTTGCAACCTTCAAGGTTGAGATAACCAATACTGAGTAAAGGGGAATTGCTTGCAAGTAAGGTAAGGGAGTAGCAGAAAGAAAGGTCCAATCTCTCAAGTTTGGGCAGAGAGAATGAATGCATGCTGGTCAACATATAACAACCGAGAGGTACAGTTCTTCAAGACTTTTGGCTCTTGATAAATCTGGAAGCTCCTTTAAACTTGTACACCAACTGAGGTGAAGCTTTTTTAAATTCACCAGATTCTGTAATAAAACAAAAAGAAACATGATGCCACAGGATCTAAATTAGTTAATTTTGTATCCTTAAATTAACATGAAATTATAACAGTGAGACACATATTTACCATCACCCCAATCCAGAGCCTTTCCATGCTAATTCATTTTCACTAAAACAAGTTTTTCAGCATTTAAACTCTCTGTCAAGGACTTTATAGGGTAGTAATCCCAACAAAGATATCTTAGTTCAGTTGCCAAAAATTTAGACCCTTCAGCAAGAAATCTTAGTTCATTTGCTAGATAAATATCCCCTGCCCCAGAAATTTCCAGAAATTTTAGTCTTCTCATAGTAAATACTTGATGAGGGCTTGAGTTTCGCTTCTTAGTTTGTGTCAATTGAATGCTTCTAATGGCCTCATCAACATGCCATCAGTGGAGAAGAAAACTTTTAAACATAATCAAAAGTCACATTTCTCACACACATAAAAGAAGTCAAATGTCATACAAAAGATATTATATACTTAGTGAAGGTTATTAACCTTATTATTTTCCAATGCTTCATAAATGTCATTGGGATCCCACAATCGACTGCGGCTTCCAGGATCATCAATAGACTCTTGACGAACAATTTCCAAAGCCATTTCTTGTAAACTATCATGCATACATACAATGTTATCCTTAAAGATAGTTATAAGAGCTTTGTCTTCCAGCCTTCTTAACTCAAAAGCCACTGAATTATCACTTTCGTTGTCTTTCAATAAAGATTTTAGATCACCCACCTGCATTGGTACATGCAATCTAAGAAAGAAACACGCCAAATCAAGAAATATTTGTTGCCCTTTACGATCCAAACCATCATAACTCAGTTTCATTACATCATAAACTTCTTTTGGAGGCATTTTTTTAAGCTTGATTAACAAACCTTCCCATTCTTCCTTATTTCTTCCATGAAGATGAGCCAAAACTTTGACAACTAATGGATTTCCTTGAGCATAATTCACTACCAATTTGGCTATCTCATGGAAGTGCTCCCTTTCCTGATCATTTTCTCTAAAGGCATTCAAGTTGAAAAGTTCAAGTGCTTCATCAGAACTAAATTCTTTGAGCTTGTATGTCTTATTGACTTTGTTAATCCTAAGCACTTGCTCATCTCTAGTTGTTACAATTACCGTACTACCCTTACCAAAATTATCAAGAGATCCCAACAGTTTTTCTATGTGATGTGAATCATTCACATCATCAAGCACAACCAGAACCTTCATGCAAGCAATTCTTCTGACTATATTTTCAGGCAAAGAATTTGGTGTGTCAATGTCCACTTCTTCTCCTAACAGTTTGGAAAATATAATTTTCTTCAAAGGAGTTGTTCCATGTTTGTTTGATTGATCTCTTTCATTGGCTAAGAAATAAGATCCTTCAAATTGAGATCGTAGCCTATTAAATACTACGTCGGCAAGGGTTGTCTTACCGATACCGCCCACACCCCAAATTCCAATAAGACGAGTGTCTTCTGGCTCATTACTTATCCATGATTCCAAAGTAACAATTTTATCATCGATTCCAACAAGTCCTTTTGAGTCAACTTGTGGTTTGTCCAACCATCTCAGCACAAGATCGACAATATCTTTAACCAACTCAGCATCATTTCTATAAGAAACAGATAGATAAAGTGTGTGTTAAACATATAAAATACTAATCTCAAAGATAAATAAAATTCTCTAAAACTCAAATCTATTTGAAAAAAAATATCAACCATTACAAATAAGTCACCATTCACAATGATCGAAAAATACTCTTACAGATTTTACAGTAGTCGTTATTATTGTTGTATACTCGTGTAAGGGAGTAAAAAGAAGCTCCTAAAAAAAATAAAACACAGAATATCCACATTTTACGTCAGGTAGGTATAGGCACGCCCGACATAAAAAATGAATTTTACGTAGGTCTCAACGATGTGTGACGTAAAATCCTGTGTTATTATTTTTAAAAATACTACCACGTTTAAAATGTCCATTTTGCAATTGTGGTTGTAACTTCAATTCCATTTCCTTGAGTCACACAATTCAATTTGTTGAGTGAACGTCTTATATGAGGAGGTTCTGATTGGGCTGACTCCGAATCCTTGTAACACCTGTTGTGTTATTGTATGAGCTTTTGTAGAAGAACCCTTCACTGTACGAGCTTGCCTCACCCCGTATTTTTGTATCACCCTCTTGGGCAGTCTTGTGTTTGGATCAGGTTCCTCCATTTTAACCTGAATTTTAAACTTTGTTTGATTTTTGGCTCTTGAACTTAAGAACTCCGAACATGTTTGGTCGTATATCATCATACACACGTGATTCGATGCAATTCCGAGAAGCCCATAATCTATGTACATTCGGACACTGCCAATTTTACCTTCATCCTCACCATTAAATATAGTGATACGACAGTGAATATTTCTAATGCAACTCATATCAAGAATGAAGCAGAAAATGAAGCCCAACTTGCGGGAAGGTGGAGCAGAAGAGAGATCAATAATAAGGCAATCCTCTCTTGTGCTATACTCCAACCACTCTGGAACACTGCTTCCAGGATACATGTAAACACATCGATCAGAACGACTGTGAACATCAGAATACCCGTACGTTTTAACACGATTGCGATTTGGTGCTGATAGGTGCTCGTTTGCGAATTTCATCAAGTTGATTTTCGCATTCAACCCAGTAGCAGCTGTCGAGTGTTCATCCAACCTCACAGAATCTGGGAGCAGAACAAGTTTCCTGTTTTCCTTTAACTGTTGAACAGCTGTTGAAGGAAATAAAACAGTCCTCAATGATTTGCAGTTACGGGCATCTAGTGTTTCAAGTGACAGGGGAAGATTTGGTAGACTCTGAAGTGAGCTGCAATGACCAATGTTTAGAGTTTTAAGTAAAGAAGGAAGCTTTGGTAGAGTCTGAAGTGAAGTGCAGAAACTGACGCATAGTGTTTTAAGGTATGGGGGAAGCTCTGGTAGAGTTTGTAAGGGACAACCTAAGGTAGCTAAGGTTTCAAGGGATTGAGGAAGCTCTACTAAACTCTGAAGTGAGCAAAGAGAAACGTTTAGAGTTTTAAGGGCTAGAGGAAGCTTCGGTAGAGTCTTCAGTAATTTGCAGTTCTGAACATCTAATGTTACAAGAAACGGGGGAAGCTCTGGTAGACTCCGAATTTCAGTTTCTCCAAGATATAAGGATTCAAGCTTGACTTGATCTCCAAATGACGAGGGCAATGCTTCGACCCTTGTCTGTACTGATTTGAGTTCTTTCATATTCCCAAATTTCAGGGAGAATTTCTTAAGATTCTCGCAACCTTTAAGGTCGAGATAACGAAGACTGAGTAAAGGGGAATTGCTTACAAGTATGACAAGGGAGTAGCATAAAGAAAGGTCCAATCTCTCAAGTTTGGGCAGCGAGAAAATAGATGAATGCACGATGGTCAACATAGAACAACCATGGAGGTACAATTCTTCTAGTCTTTTGGCTCTTGATAAATCTGGAAGCTCCTTTAACTCTGTGCACCATTTGAGGTCAAGCGTTTTTAAATTCATCACATTCTGTAATGAAAAAAAAAGAGAGTGAAGATGTCACATGACCTAAATTAGTAAATTTGTATTCAAATTAACAGATATTATAACATTAAGAGACATGTATTTACCTTCACTCCATCCCAGAGCTTTTCCATTTTACCCTGATTCAATTTCAATATAACAAGTTTTTCAGCATTAAAACTCTCTGGCAAGGACTTTAAAGGGTAATTCTCCCAACAAAGAAATCTTAGTTCAGTTGCCATAAATTTAGCCCCTTCAGCAAGTATGAGTTGGTGATAGGAATGATACTCTATTCCAGAAATTTTTAGAAATTTTAGTCTTCTCATAGCAAATATTTGAGGGATTAACTTTAGCTTCTTCATTGATTTCAGTTTAATTTCAATGCTTCTAATCGCCTCATTAACCTGCCATCAATGCAGAAGAAAATATATAAATATAATAAGAAATCACATTTCTCACACAAAAGATATCAAAATGTTATGCATAAGATATCAAATTTAATTAGGTTTTCACCTTATTATTTTCCAATGCTTCATGAACGTCATTGTGATCCCACAATCGACTACGACTTCCAGGATCATCCGTAGACTCTTGACGAACAATCTCCCAAGCCATTTCTTGTAAACTATCATGCATAGATATAATATTATCCTCAGAAATAGTTATAAGAGCTTTGTCTTCCAACCTTCTTAACTCAAAAGTCACCGAATTATCACTTTCATTGTCTTTTAATAAAGACTTTAGATCACTCACGGTCACTGGTACATGCAATCTAAGAAAGAAACATGCCAAATCTAAAAAAATTTGTTTCCCTTTGTGATCTAGAATATCATAACTCACTTTCATTACTTCATAAACCTCTTTTGGAAGCATTTTTTTTAGCTTGCCTAACAAACCTTCCCATTCTTCCTTATTTCTTCCATGAACAAGATGAGCCAAAACTTTAATAACTAATGGATTGCCTTGGGCATAATTGACTAACAATTTTGATATCTCACTGTACTCCTCCCTTTCCTGATCATTTTCACTAAATGCATTAAAGTTGAAAAGTTCAAGTGCTTCATCAGAACTAAATTCTTCCAGCTTGTATGTCTTGTTGACTTTGTTAATCCTAAGCACTTGCTCATCTCTAGTTGTTACAATTACTGTACTACCCATACCAAAATTATCGAGAGATCCCAACAGTTTTTCTATGTGATCTGAATCATTCACATCATCAAGCACAACCAGAACCTTCATGCAAGCAATTCTTCTAACAATATTTTCAGGCAAAGAATTTGGTGTGTCAATATCCACTTCTTCTCCTAACAGTTTAGAAAAAATAATTTTCTTCAAAGGAGTTGTTCCATGTTTGTTTGATTGATCTCTTTCATTGGCTAAAAAGTAAGATCCTTCATATTGAGACCGTAGTCTATTAAATAGTACATCTGCAAGGGTTGTCTTACCGATACCGCCCATACCCCAAATTCCAATAAGACGAGTGTCTTGAAGCTCATTACTTATCCATGATTCCAAAATAGCAATTTTATGAATTCCAACAAGTCCTTTTGGGATAACATGGGGTTTATCCAACCTCTTCAGCACAAGATCGACAATTTCTTTAACCAATTCAGCATCATTTCTATAGGACACAGAGAGATGAAGTGTGTGTTAAAATCAATGCCGTAAATATTGATTCAATTACTAGTTCGTACAAGCTTCTTGTCTGGCTTATGTAGTTTGTCAGAAACATTTTTAAAATTTTTCTTATAAATTTTTATTGATTATTATTTATATGTTAATAAGTTCACATAAGTCTTCCATAGGAAAGAAACATAATGAAATTATCAGGGAACATACTATGTAATGTGGAAGATAAGTGGTTTGTAATTTTTGTCACATGTGATATTATAATAATGTACATATAACTATAAAACAACTAGAAATATGGAACATTTCTGGGAAAAAAGAGCTTACCGAAATTTGGATGACTCAATTCCAGAGAAATCAGAAAATTTTTCCAAAGCATCTTTCCAGATTTGCACCTTGCTCTTGTAATTTAGTCCATGCTTAACAAATGCATTTTTATAACTCCCAGATTGATGTCGTACATCTGTCGGTGCCACTTTGTAGAAAACAGGAATTACAATCCGTTCATGTTTCTCTTTGCATTCAATTATTTTCACTGCTTCTTCTAAACACCAACGAGAGGAAGCGTAGTCTGGGGAGAAAATGATCAATGAAAAGGCTGATCTTTCAATAGCTGCAACAAGTGATGGCCATATTTCTTCTCCCTTCTCAAGTTTATCATCTACAAACCCTTTTATTTTTTTCCTGTCAAATGCCTCGGTCAAATGGCTAAGAAACCCGTCACGGATGTCCTTGCCCCTGAAGCTAACAAAAACATCGTACTTTATTTGAGGAGTGTTGTTATCTGAAATGGGTTTCTCCTCTACATTCTCCTGCTTTCCAAATAACAGAAAGACAAAGAAAAGCAACACACAGAGAAAGAAACAAGGAGCAAAGAAATAGAACATATTGAATTTCCAAAATAACTAAGAGACAAAGTATATGGATGGGAACAAGCGCAGGCTGGATCTTTCTTAATTTGCTCTGCGCCTGACTATGTACGAGACACAGTTTCTGGAAAAAAGATAAAAAAAGAAAGTTAGAAATGAAGTGGAAGAAATCAGAGTTTGTAAAACATAAATGAATTGTTGATGGAGAAGACAGTGTATATCAGTGATTGGTCTCCAAGATAAAAAAATACGATAAAAAGAAACAAAACATAGTCAAGTTCGAAATTTCTTTGCAGCAGCACATAGAGCTGGCAAATGGAATTATTTTAAAGCATAATGCTGCATTATATGTCTTTAACAACTTTATGTTTTCGATCATACATAACATGGCCTCTATTTTAATATTTCATTCAACTCTTGCTCATGCATGATGCAAGTTCATTGTACTTTAAGAAGTAATCTCTCTCAAAGTGTCACAAATATGCATATTAGTCTATTTGGTGATGTATTACAACCACAAAGTCAAATATTTGTGAGGTGAATGGTTTGAAAATATTTATCTTTGCATATTTATGATAACAACCATGTTTTTTAATATAATGAAAATAAATATAAAAGACACTCGTTGACCCAATAACATTTATGAAAATATAATTTATAGAGACGTACATTTTAAAAGTAAAGTGAAATAATTTAGTTATTATATTATTTAATGCTCCAAAAAGGCAATAACTTTTATATATCATTTAATTTAATCATAACCAAAAGACTTAAATATGCTAGTCCTTATCTAATAGATCAATTTTATCATTTTAGTTCGTTCTTCACAAATATTTTCAGTCCTCTTAATTTGTGTAATACCAAAGTTTACGATGTTGCATGTGTACATCACATAATCTACATTAACTGCAGACCTAACAATTAACCAAATCATGAGATGAACAAATAAATTAGAAACGATATTTACTTTTATGAACAAAAGGTTTTAAATATTGAATAGATCGTGCGCCTTGATTACCTGAAAAATGAAACTTTGACGAGTAAGAAAAAATGGGAAGTCTTGAATAGATGAAACTTATGAACATGTTTCTACCAGACCAAATACTTTTACAACCAAACATAAAGTAATGAGTTTTTCCTTTTCTTGTATACTGTGGGTTGATGAAGTCAGGGCAGAGGAACCCATGCCCTGCACAGACATTTTTAGGACTAATAATATTCGTCCTAATTAAAGGAAAGTGCCACAACTTGAGCAATTGTATCTGTTTTCGATGTCTTCATCACTTTCTACCAAAATCCAGATAAAACCAACAGAAGCCCCAAATTCCAGTTTCAACCCATGCAGCGTGGCAATAGTAATTGCATTCCTCTTCCTTGAAATTTACAGCAGACAACACTTGGACTAAGGGTTTCATTTTTTTAAAGATAAACAGTTAGTACCCTCTTTCTTCGCTCCTTCCTCGTTTAGACTATCTTGCAAGCTGCATGATAATTTTAAAATGAAAAAACAAACGTTAATAACTAGAATGTTGTAACCAAATAAGTTTTTTAAACAAAAGATCTCATTGTAAATAACAATAAGGAAATACCTGGAAAAAGAGGAAGCACGTTCCAATTTCATTTCTTTAATGAAATTGAGACATTGAGTCACGCAATTCAATTTGTTGAATGAGTGTCTTATAGGTGGATGTGCTTATTGGGCTGACCCCAAATCCTTTTAACAGCTGTTGTGTTAGTGTACGATAATTTTTTCGAGTGTCTGCATAAGATCCCTCTATTGTAATCTGGATTTTAAACTTTGTCTGATTTTTGGCTCTTGCATTTAAGAATTCAGAACATGGTTGATCGTATATCATCTTACACACGTGATTCGATGCAATGTTGTGAGATCGATAATTTATGTACATTCTGAAACTGACACTGTCACTTTTACCTCCATCCTCACTATCAAATATAGTGATACGACATTGAAGACTACTAAAGTTTGAGCTCATATCAAGAATGAGGCACAAAATGAAGCCCAACTTGGGGGAAGGTGGAGCAGAAGAGAGATCAATAATAAGGCAATCCTTTATTGTGCTATACTCGAACCACTCCGGAACACTGCTTCCAGGATACATGTAAACCAATCGATCAGAACGAGTGTAAACATCATAATACCTGGATTTCTTAACAGGATTGTGATTTGGTGCAGATAGTTGCTGCTTTGCAAATTTCATCATGTTGATTTTCGCATTCAACTCAATAGCAGCAATAGAAGGTTCATCCAACATCTCGGAATCTGATAACAGAATAATTTGTCTGTTTTCCCTTAACTGTTCAACAGCTGTTGAAGGGAATAAAACAGTCCTCAATGATTTGCATTTTCGGGCATATAGTGTTTCAAGTGACGGGGGAAGATTTGGTAGAGTCTGAAGTGAGCTACAATGACTAACGTTTAAAGTTTTAAGTAAGGGGGGAAGCTCTGGTAAATTCTCAAGTGATGTGCAGCTTTCGAGGCATAGAATTTTAAGGTCCGGGGAAAGCTCTGGTAGTGTTTTGAGTGAGCTGCAGAACTTGACATCTAAAGTGTTAGTGAGAGGGGGAAGGTTTGGGATTGTTTGAAGCTTCTTGCAATGACTTATGAATAGGTATAAGAATTGACTCAGATTGTTAAATAACGGCAACCTCTCAATGTTAGTTTTCTCAAGATATAGAGATTCAAGCTTAAGTTGATCTCCAAATGATAAGGGCAATGCTTCGACCTTCGTATTCACTATCTTGAGCTCTTTCATATTTTCTGATATCAGTGAGAATTTCTTAAGGTTCGTGCAACTTTTAAGGTCGAGATAACGAAGACTGGGTAAATGGGAATTGCTTTCAAGTACAGTAAGGGAGTTGCAGACAGAAATGTTCAATCTTTCAAGTTTGGGAAGAGTAAAAATAGATGAATGCACACTGGTCAATTTATAAGATCCACAAAGGTACAGTTCTTCAAGTCTTTCAGCTCTTGATAAATCCGGAAGCTCCTTTAACCTCATGGACCATTTGAGGTCAAGCCTTTTCAAATTCACCAGGTTCTGCAATAAAATAAGAAGTGAATATGTCCCAAGACCTAAATTAGTTAGTTTGTATTCCTTAAACTAAAACGAAATTCTAACATTAAGACACATATTTACCTTCACTCCGTCCCAGAGCTTTACCATTTCATCCTGATTTAATTTCAATATAACAAGTTTTTCAGCATTAAAACTCTCTGGCAAGGACTTTAAAGGGTAATTCTTCCAACAAAGAAATCTTAGTTCAGTTGCCATAAATTTCGCTCCTTCAGCAAGACATCTTCGTTCAGTTGCCGTAAAATCAGCCCCTATCCCAGAAATATCGACAAATTTTAGTCTTCTCATAGCAAATATTTGATGAGGGCTTAACTTTTACTTGTCAATTGGTGTCAATTGAATTTGAATGCTTCTAATGGCCTCATTAACCTGCCATCAGAGGAGAAGAAAACATTTTGACATGGTCAAAAGTCACATTTCTCACACATAAAAGAAATCAAATGTTGTGCAGAAGATATTATATTTAGTGAAGATTTTTAACCTTATCATTTTCCAATGCTTCATAAATGTCATTGGGATCCCACAATCGACTGCGGCTTCCAGGATCATCAATAGACTCTTGACGAACAATCTCCCAAGCCATTTCTTGTAAACTATCATCAATACAAACAATATTATCCTCAGATATACTTATAAGAGCCTTGTCCTCCAGCCTTTTTAACTCAAAAGCCACTGAATTATCACTTTTGTTGTCTTTCAACAAAGATTTTAGATCACCCACTTTCACTGGTTCATGCAATCTAAGAAAGAAACACGCCAAATCTAGAAATATTTGTTGCCCTTTACGATCCAAATTATCATAACTCAGTTTCATTATATCATAAACTTCTTTTGGAGGCATTTTCTTAAGCTTGCTTAACAAACCTTCCCATTCTTCCTTATTTCTTCCATGAAGAAGATGAGCCAAAACTTTAACAACTAATGGATTTCCTTGAGCATAATTCACTACCAATTTGGCTATCTCGTTGTACTCCCTTTCCTGATCACTTTCTCTGAAGGCATTAAAGTTGAAAAGTTCAAGTGCTTCGTCAGAACTAAATTCTTTGAGCTTGTATGTCTTATTGACTTTGTTAATCCTAAGCACTTGCTCGTTTCTAGTTGTTATAATTACTGTACTACCGTTTCCCAAATTTTCAAGATATCCTAACAGTTTTTCTATGTGATCTGCATCATTCACATCATCAAGAACAACGAGAACCTTCATGCAACTAATTCTTCTACCAATACTTTCAGGCAAAGTATTTGGTGTATTAATATCCACTTCCTCTCCTAACAGTTTGGAAAATATAATTTTCTTTAAAGAAGTTGTTCCATGTTTGTTGGATTGATCTCTCTCATTGGCTAAGAAGTAAGATCCTTCATATTGAGATTGCAGTCTATTAAATACTACTTCTGCAAGCGTTGTCTTACCAATACCGCCCATACCCCAAATTCCAATAAGACGAGTGTTTTCTGGCTCATTACTTATCCATGATTCCAATGTTGCAATTTTTTCATTAATACCAACAAGTCCTTTTGAGTCAACTTGGGATTTATCCAACCTCTTCAGCACCAGATCGGCAATTTCTTTAACCAACTCAGCATCATTTCTGTGCAACGCAGAAAGATGAAGTGTGTCAAAATCAATGTCATTAATATTGATTCAATTACCAATGTGTGACCCATATGACGTACAAGCTTCTTGTTTGGCTGTCATAAGTTTCTAATTTTGTTAGAAACATTTTAAAAATATTTCTTATATTAAGAATTGTAATTATGATTCATATGTTGATAAGCTCACATACAATCTTTCATAGCAAAGAAACATAATGAAATTATTAGGGAAGATATTATATAATACTCAGCATATAACTATAAAGCAACTAGAAAATATGAAACATTTAAGGGAAAAAAAGAGAGCTTACCGTAATTTGGATGACTCAATTCCAGATAAATCAGCAATTGTTTTCAAAGCATCTTTCCAGATTCGCACCTTGCTCTTATAATTTAGTCCATGCTTAACAAATGCATTTTCGTACCTCCCAGATTGACGTCGTACATCTGTGGGTGTCACTTTGTAGAAAACAGGGATTACAATCCGTTCATATTTATCTCTGCATTCAAGTATTTTCACGACTTCTTCTAAACACCAACGAGAAAAAACGTAGTCTGGGGAGAAAATGATAATCGAAATGGCTGATTTTTCAATAGCAGCAACAAGTGATGGCCATATTTCTTCTCCCTTCTCAAGTTTATCGTCTACAAAGGCATTTATTTTCTTGGTGTAAAATGCCTGAGTCAAATGGCTAAGAAACCCGTCACGGATGTCCTTGCCCCTGAAGCTGACAAAAACATCATACTTTATTTCAGGAGCGTAGTTGTCTGACACAGGTTTCTCCTCTGCAACCTTCTGCTTTTCAAATAACCTAAAGATAAAGAAAAACAGCATACAAAGAAGTAAAAAGGGGACAAAGAAGTAGAACATATTGATTGCCAAAAAAAGTGGGACAAATGAAGTATGGTGCTGGACAGGAAGAATTGAAAAGAGGGGATCTTTCCTTGTCTCTGCAGCTGAATATGTAGGAGATAGAAGGGCGTAACTAGAAACAAAAAGAGAGTTAGAATGAAGTTGAAAAATAAGGGATTTACTATCAAAGTGGGGTTTTGTGCTTTTGAATAAAGAAGGAACAAACAAAATGTTACAGGCTTACAGGACTGAGGGAAAAAGAAATGAAATTTATTTTCCCAAAATACCCATTCAAAAATAATTTCAAAAAATGCAAACCCGTTCATTGCCTTTCAATTGTTGAAAACCTAATTTTAACATTGAGATTTAGAAAGTAGTAAACTCGAGTAAATTGAAACTTGGACCGAAGTTTACAGAAGACCAACCTCATCTTCATTATCCACCTGTACTGTGGAAGCCGAGCATATATTTTATTCCAGATATAATGTTTCAAGTTCTTTGTATAAGAATGATCGACATATATAAGTTAAACTTCCAAAACAAAAATCTACTCATAATATAATAATTATATTTATTTATGTATTATAATATTATCGTATATTTAATTAACGAAAATTTATGATAATTTTTATATTAAAAAAGATTTTTTATTATTTGTTATCACAAGAAGATTTTTAATCCACATTTTATGTTTTGCAGATTTAAGTTTACAGAATTATTTATATGGGTAAAATTTTATCGTTAACAATATAATAATATAAAACATCAAAATATATGTCAAATTATTATAAATTTTTACTTTGATAAACTAATTAATATATATATATATATATATATATAATATAATTTTGGGTAAGGAAAATATAAAAATAAACTAGTTTTATCAATTGTCTTTTAGTGGCATATAATAACGTTAAGTTTTTCCTCTTTGAGCTTCCTTGTTCTCTCGTCTAAACCCAACAACTCCAAAACTGTATACCTTCAACAGCAAAAAGTGGAAAGAGCATCATGACTAATACAGTTTTTTTTTTTTTTTTTTTAATGATTTTGTTTCTTAACATATAAACACCCCTCTCTCTTTTGTGGCTTCAGCTTCATTTAACTTTGTGACTACACCCATATTCCAAAACTCAGTGCTCAGCTGATTGATTCCATGGAAAGGACCTGGAGTGGTGCACAACCTTCATGTGTTAGAGCTCAAATGCATCAACCCTTTTGAATACGTACCCTGAAAATGAATTTTTCACCATAAATGAAAAAAAGGGAGGTTTAATAGTGCGTTTGAGTACTCAAATAACAAAGCTTTTGTTAAATCTTTATAACAGAACACATCACATAATCTACTTTAACGGCAGACCTAACAATTAACCCAATCATAAGATGAACAAATAGATCAAATCCTTAGAAACGACATTCACTTTTATCAACAAAAAGTTTTAAATATTGTATAGATCGTGCGCCTTGATTACCTGGAAATGAAACTTTGACCAGTAAGAAAAAATGGGAAGTCTTGGAATAGATGAGTTTGAATGCCTCAATTAAGTCTTATGAACATCTTTCTATACCAGACCTGTTAGTATTTTAAGAAGGATAGGATGTTTAGTAGTGAGATTTGTGTAGAAAATAGTTTTTAGAAAGAGGTAGAAGAAAAAGTTGTTAGAAGCAACATCCCGGTTCCAGTACAACAACTTGAAGAAGAAACAGGAGATCCAGGTACGCTTTCTCCACCTCCACAAGAAGAAGAAGAATATACTTCACCAGAGTCTACACCAAGACGTGTAAGATCTTTGGTAGATATATATGAAACTTGTAACATGGCCATCATTGAGCCTTCCTGTTATGAAGAAGCTTCAAAGCAAGAAGTATGGGTCAAGGCCATGGAAGAAGAAATCAAAATGATTGAGAAGAATAATACTTGGGAGCTTGTGGACTGTCCTCACGGAAAAGATATCATTGGAGTAAAATGGATATATAAAACTAAGCTCAACCCTGATGGAACCATACAAAAATATAAGGCAAGATTGGTTGCAAAAGGATACTCACAACAACCTGGGATCGACTACAATGAGACTTTTGCTCCAGGTTGCTCGCCTAGATACAATTAGAGCTTTAATAGCCCTTGCTGCACAAAAAGGTTGGAACATCCATCAAGCTGGATGTCAAATCGCCTTTCTCAATGGAACACTAGAAGAAGAGATCTATGTTGAGCAACCACAAGGATTCATCAACAAAGGCCACGAAGCAAAAGTACTAAGACTAAGAAAAGCTCTATATGGCTCGAAGCAAGCTCCTCGAGCATGGTATAGTAAGATTGATAAATATTTTATCAATCAAGGATTTAGGAGGAGCAAGAGTGAGCCAACACTTTATATCAAGACACAAGGTCGAGTATAATCTCATTGTCTCCTTATATGTTGATGATCTCATCTATACAGGAAACAATAAGGAAATGATGAAAGAATTCAAAGAAGATATGATGAAAACATTCGAAATGAGCTGATCTTGGCTTGATGAACTACTTCCTCGGGATAGAGGTGATACAACAAAAAGAAGGAATATTTATCTCTCAGAAGAAATATACTGAAGCTCTACTAAAGAGATTCAAGATGTACGGCTGTAAACCTGTCACTACTCCTTTGGTGGTAAACGAAAAGCTAAAGAAAGATGATGGAGCACCAAAAGTAGATGTATCACGATACAGGAGTTTGATCGGAAGCCTTCTATATCTCATAGCTACACGACCGGACATTATGTATGCTACAAGTCTTCGTCAAGATTCATGCAAAAGCCAAGTCGGATTCACTATGGAGCAGGAAAAAGGATTTTAAGGTATCCGCAAGGCACAAGAGAGTTTGGTATATGGTACAAGACCATGACCAACTCAAGGATGATTTGCTACACCGACGGTGATTGGGCGGGATCAATAGACGACATGAAGAGTACGTCGGGATACGCCTTCTCACTTGGATCGGGTTTTTTCTCATGGGCATCAAAGAAGCAAGCAAGCGTGGCACAATCAACAGCTGAAGCGAGAATACATAGGCTGCTGCTTGAAACTACAAGTCAAGCAATATGGCTACGAAGAATACTTGAAGAAATGGGCGAACCACAAGATGGACCAACTACTATTTATTGCGACAACAAATTAGCAATAGCAATGACGAAAAATCCTGTTCATCATCAAAGAACAAAACATATAGCTATTAAATATCACTTCATCGGAGAGGTCAAGCGACTAAACAAATTCAACTTGAGTACTTGCACTACGAGAAGATCAAATTGCGGACATATTTACCAAGGCACTACCAAGAGCCAAGTTTGAACAATTACGTTTCATGCTTGGAGTTACAAGAATTTGCATCAAGGAGGAGTGTTGAAAGATGATACAAATTCTAGAAAGATCTAGAATATAAAATCTTAGATGTTACTAGAATTAGGAATTATATATGAGTAATATCTAGAATCCTTAGAAGATTCTAGAAATGTTTGAAAGTAGAAGATAGATAATTCTAGAATTAAGAAAAGATAGAATTATGTAAAACTTCTAGAATTATGTAGAAAACATATGTGTACTAGTAGAAACTACAACATGATTCTAGAAAAAGAAAAAGAAGAAGAAATGTGTAGAAACAATGAAAATAGTAGAAAATTCTAGAATCTTGTAAGTAAAGCCTATAAATAGGCATGAAGGGAGTCTTTGTATGTGTGGAAAATCTAATACAAGCTCCTACATATCTTGTAACACTTCTAACATCAATTACTATCTTCCCTCATACAAACCTTCTCCTATTTGTCCACCTCTTTCTAAAAACTATTTTCTACACAAATCTCACTACTAAACATCAAACTATCTTTCCTATCCTTCTTAAAATACTAACAAGACCAAATACTTTTACAACCAAACATAAAGTAATAAGTTAATAACTTTGGAATATCTTGCATGCTATATGATAACTTTAAAATGTAAGAACTAACGTTAATTACTAGAATGTTGCAACCAAATAAGTTCTTTTAAACAAAAGATCTCAGTGTAAATCACAAGAAGGAAATACCTGGGATAAGAAGAAGCACATTCCAATCTCCTTTCTTTAATGAAATTGAGACTTTGAGTCACGCAATTCAATTTGTTGAATGAGTGTCTCATATGTGGATGTGCTAATTGGGCTGACCCCAAATCCTTTTAACAGCTGTTGTGTGAGTGTACGATATCTTTTAGGACTATCTGCATAAGATCCCTCTATTGCAACATGGATTTTCAATTTTGTCTGATTTTTTGCTCTTCTTTTTAAGAATACAGAACATAATTGGTCGTATATCATCATACACTCGTGATTCGATGCATTGTCGTGAAACCCATAAGTTATGAACATTCTGAAACTGTCACTTTCACGTTCATCCTCACCATCAAGTACAGTGATATGACATTGAAGACTACTAAAGTTTGAGCTCATATCAAGAATGAGGCACAAAATGAAGCCCAACTTGGGGGAAGGTGGAGCAGAAGAGAGATCAATCATAAGACAATCCTCTGCTGTCCTATACTCCAACCACTCTGGAACACTGCTTCCAGGATACACGTAAGAACATCGATAAGAACGAGAGTGCGAATGATAACGTCCGTAGTTTATTACAGAATTGTGATTTGGTGTTGATAAGTGCTGGTTTGCAAATTTCATAATGTTGATTTTCGCATTCAACCCAATAGCAGCAATAGAATATTCATCCAACTTCAAGGCCCCTATGAACAAAACAGTATTCCTGTTTTCCTTTAACTGATCATCAGCTAATGAAGGAAATGATACAGTCCTCAATGATGTGCAGTTACGGGCATTTATAGTTTCAAGTGACGGGGGAAGATTTGGTAGAGTCTGAAGTGAGATGCAACTACTAACGTTTAGAGTTTGAAGTAACATGGGAAGCTCTGGTAGAGTCTCAAGTGAAATGCAGTGTTCGACGCATAGATTTTTAAGTTCCGGGGGAAGCTCTGGTAAAGTTTGAATGAAACAAAATGTGATATCTAAAGTTTCAAGGGATGGAGGAAGCCTCGGTAGTGTCTGGAGTGACCTGCAGGACTTCACTTCTAAAGTGGTAAGGAGAGGGGGAAGGTTTGGTATTGTCTGAAGCTTCTTGCAACGACTTATGAATAGACGTAACAATTGACTATGATTGTTGAATGAGGGCAACCTCTCAATGTAGGTTTCTTCAAGATACAGCCATTCAAGCTTGAGTTGATCTCCAAATGATGAGGGCAATACTTCGAACTTTGTACGTACTATTTTGAGCTCTTTCATATTCTCTGATATCAGCGAGAATTTCTCAAGTTCCACGCAACCTTGAAGGTCAAGATAACGAAGACCGAGTAAAGGAGCATTGCTTTCAAGTACGGTAAGGGATTCGCAGTTAGAAAGATTCAATCTCTCAAGTTTGGGCAGAGAGAAAATAGATGAATGCACGCTGATCAACTTATAACAACCACAAAGGTAGAGTTCTTCAAGTCTTTCAGCTCTTGATAAATCTGGAAGCTCCATTAACCTTGCAGACCATTTGAGGTCAAGCTTTTTCAAATTCACCAGATTCTGTAATAAAATGAAAAGAAGTGAAGATGTCACAGGACCTAAATCAGTTTATTTGTATTCCTTAAATTAAAATGAAATTATAATTAACATTAAGTCACATATTTACCTTCACTCCATCCCAGAGCTTTACCATTTCACCCAGATTTAATTTCAATATAACAAGTTTTTCAGCATTAAAACTCTCTGGCAAGAACCTTAAAGGGTAGTTCTCCCAACAAAGAAATCTTAGTTCAGTAGCCATAAATTTAGCCCCTTCAGCAAATCTTCGTTCGGTTGTCGTAAAATTAGCCCCCATCCCGGAAATTTCCAAAAATTTTAATCTTCTCATAGCAAATATCTGATGAGGGCTTAACTTTTGCTTCTTAATTGGTGTCAATTGAATTTGAATGCTTCTAATGGCTTCACCAACCTGCCATCAGTGAGAAAAAACTTGTAAACATCATCAACAGTCACATTTCTCACACTCAAAAGAAATCAAATGCTATGTACAACATATTATATTATATTGAGTTACGTTTAATAACCTTCTCATTTACCAATGCTTCACAAATGTCATTCGAATCCCATAATCGACTCCGGCTTCCAGGATCATCAATAGATTCTTGGCGAACAATTTCCCAAGCCATTTCTTGTAAACTATCATGCATAGATACAATATTATCCTCAGAGATAGTTATAAGAGTTTTCTCTTCTAGCCTTCTTAACTCAAAAGCCACTGAATTATCACTTTCATTGTCTCTCAACAAAGATTTTAGACCATCCACTTTCACGGGTACATGTAATCTAAGAAAAAAACATGCCAAATCTAGAAATATTTCTTGCCCTTTACGATCCAAATTATCATAACTCAGTTTCATTAGATCATACACTTCTTTTGGAGGCATTTTTTTAAGCTTGCTTAACAAACTTACCCATTCTTCCTTATTTCTTCCATGTAGAAGATGAGCCAAAACTTTGACGACTAGTGGATTGCCTTTGGCATAATTGACTACCAATTTTGATATCTCATTGTACTCCCTTTCCTGATCACTTTCTCTAAAGGCATTCAATTTGAAAAGTTCAAGTGCTTCAGCAGAACTGAATTCTTTCAGCTTGTATGTCTTATTGACTTTGTTAATCCTAAGCACTTGATCATCTCTAGTTGTTACAATTATTGTACTACCCATTCCAAAATTATCAAGAGATCCCAACAGTTTTTCTATGTGATTTGAATCATTCACATCATCAAGAACAATAAGAACCTTCATACAACCAATTCTTTTAACTATATGTTCAGGCAAAGAATTTGGTGTGTCAACATCCACTTCCTCTCCTAATAGTTTAGAAAATATAATTTTCCTCAAATGAGTTGTTCCGTGCTTGCTTGATTGATCTCTTTCATTGGCTAAGAAATAAGATCCATCATATTTAGATCGTAGTCTGTTAAATACTACTTCTGAAAGGGTTGTCTTACCGATACCGCCCATACCCCAAATTCCAATAAGATGAGTGTTTTTTGGTTCATTACTTATCCATGATTCCAAAGTAGCAATTTTATCATCGATTCCAACAAGTCCTTTCGAGTCAACATGGGGTTTGTCCAATCTCTTCAATTTCTCCAGTACATCAGCGACAATTACTTTAACCATCTCAGCATCGTGTCTATGAAGATAAAGATTGGCGAAGTGTATGTTAAAATCAATGTCTTCAATATTGTTGAATCAAATACTATTATGATGGGATCTATACAAGTTTCATGTTTGGTAGTGAAAAACTAATCATATACATTTAATATATTTTTAGAAATATGTTTTTAAAATAATTCTTATTTATTGATATTGATAGTAATTGCAAGATTATCCGTGTGTTGATCTGGAAAATATGGAGCTTTTATTGGGAGAAAAGAGCTTACTGAATATTTGTTGACTCAATTCCTGAGAAACTAGCAGATTTATGCAAAGCACACCTCCAGAGTTGCAGCTCGGTCTCATGTTTTGTTGCATGCTCAGCAAATGCTTTTTGGTAACTCCCTGATTGATGTCTTACATGTGTGGGTTCTATATTGTAGAAAACAGGAATTACAGTGCGTCCATATTTCTCTTGGCATTCAATGATTTTGGCAACTTCTTTTAAACACCAAGGAGAAGAGGCATAGTCTGGTGAGAAGATGATCAACGAAACGGCTGATCTTTCAATGGCTGCAACAAGTGATGACCATATTGCTTCGCCCTTCTCAAGTTTATCATCTACAAATGCGTTTATTTTCTTGATGGCAAATGCCTCAGTCAAATGGCTAAGAAAACCTTTACGGATTTCCTTGCCCCTGAAACTAACAAAAACATCATACTTTATATCAGGAGCGTTCTTGTCTACCACGGGTTTCTCCTCTGCAACCTTTTGCTTTCGAAAGAGGCTACAGATACAGAAAAACAGCACACAAAGAAGTAAAAGAGGTACGGAGGAGTATAACATATTTATTGCCGAAATAACTATGACAGATTAAATATGGTGTTCGAAAGGAAGAAGTTCAGACTGGATCTTTCTAATTTGTATCTGCACCTGAATCTGTAAGAGATATAACGTATAGGGAAGAAAAAGAAAGTTAGAAATGAAGAGGAAAATGAGTAGTTGATGGAACTGTAAAGTAGTGATGGGATTCCAATAGTATATGGTGGTGTGAAAATGTATTAGAGTTCAAAGCCAATTACTGCACACGTTTATCTTTCTTTTTCTTATCCCCAACTAAAGATGAAGTAATAGTTCATGCAGCTCACGATATAGAAAGTGTTAGGCATCGAAAACTTACATATTGCTATCAAGCACCTTACCTACATAGGCATAGTCAAGTTCGATGTTTCTTAGGGCTTGCAAATGGAATCATTTTAAAACAAGTTGCTTTGTTAACGACGTGAGATTCTTATAAAGAAATATTGAAGAAATGAATACAAATTCTATGTTTTCGATTATGTCATGTGCTTTGTCCCCACATTCCATTCAACTCTTACTCGTTCTCATTGTTCATGTTGCCGCCCTTGCACTTTAAGAAACAATTTCTCTGAAAGTGTCACAAATATATACAATAATTTCTATTATCTCATGTATAATTTAATTTCTATATTAGATTATCTAAAGAATTACTTTTACTTTAATGATACACTAATTTTAATTATAGATAATTTTATCTAATTTTTTTCTTTTTCTATTTTACAAGTAATTCTCGAAACAGAATTATTGTTACTTGAAGAAAAAAAATGGAACTTTGAATGTCTCAAAATTTTCTTCTCTGGCTCTATAAATCTATATACCTGATTATTTAAATCAAATGAACAACCTTAAAAATCATGTTTTTTATGAATAAAAATATTGACAATGTGGTAGTCATTAAATGGATTATGTAAGATCATTTTTGTTAGCAAAGGTAAAAAATTTCTTAATACGATTTTCATTAATTTAATTACTATTATCTTATAATTTTTTTATTTTTATTTTTTGTCCTTGGAAGTGTAAAATGTTAGTAGAAAGTAGATGGGTGGGAATAAACAAGTATATTTGTCTATTTGATGACGAATTATTATAACCACAAAGTCAAACATTTGTTTTGACTTCTAATTTAATCATAAGCAAAGACTTAAATATGGTAGTACTTGTATAGTAAACCAACTTTATCATTTTAGTTCTTCACGATTTCTTTTTCAGTCCTCTTAATTTCTGTAATACCAAAATTTAGGATTGTGACAGACAGAATAATCAATTATTTATTCAAATTTAAATATAATGTTTTAAAATGTTAAAAATATCTCTTCCACACAAATCACATTAGATTTAACACAAAATAAAACCACATCTTATCTAATTATTACATATGCGTAAGTTTTTTAATGTTTTCTTCGTTTACTGCTTTTATCTTTAACATATTAATCGAGTGTTAAATTAAAGAAATAAAACATGTTTTAAAGAAATAACATGAGTGTATTTTGTTCAAGTTAAGTTTTATTTTTCTGATGTAGTTAAATTCGTTTATGAAAATGTTTTATCTTTCAAAAAAGCTAACATATTAAATCAATTTTTATCATTGTATTTCAAAATACATACATTCAATTATCTTTTATGTTATATATATTGTATATTAGTTAGGATGAGAAAAATATAGGTCCAACGTACTGACCAATTACTCTGTTTTAGTTTCTCCTATCTAGTACGAGGTGGGACAAAACAAATTGACTTATTTAAAATAAATATTTATATATTAAAATAAAAATCAAAATATTATAGTTAAAATATTTAATTTTTTTCTTTTATTATTGAAATATATAAACATATTGTAATATTATAATTTAAATTATAAATATTAACCAATTAAATTTAAATTATTGATTATAATTAATTTTTAAAAATTTTTAAATTTATCTAATAAAAATATTAATTAATAAATAAAAACTTAAAAAATATTTATATTATTAAAAATATATTTTAAAAAATTTTAAAAAAAAAATTGACGGGCTAACCCATCAGTTGACAGCTAATCGAGATTTATAATTCATTTTGATTATAACGGACGAATTTGTTTATATCATTCCTAATATTAATTTGTTAAATCAAGTTCATCACACGGACCAAGCGTCTATTGTATATATAAATATGATGTTTCTTTATAAAGAAAGTCACTTCATATATATTTTCTATTACTTTATATAAATTATTTAATCGTTGTCTTTTCAATCAAGTTCCTAATTAATTAATAAAATTAAATATTTAACTAAATATTATTGGTAATCACTTTCAAATCAAGTGGACAAAGAAGTAAAAAAGGACAAAGAAATACGTCATATTGATTGTCAAAAAAATGTGGGACAAATGAAGTATGGTGTTGGATGGGAAGAAGTGAAGAGTGGATCTTTCCTTGTGTAGCTGAATATGTAGGCATAACTTCATTTTTATACTTTGTCACTCTTCTCTTTTTTCGAATTATCGACGGTTAGTAGAATTGGATTTTTGTGATAATTTCACACTCCTTACTTCTTTTTAAGTTTGTGTGTGGTAATTTTTGGGTTGAAAAAAAATTTTAATTCTCGAGTTTAAATTCAAGAAAAGACTAAGGCTTAAAGGTAGATTCAAATGATAATTGAGGTAAGGGTAGACTATTTGACTAAGTGACTAAAACAAATAAGCCTAAATCATTTCTATTGGTATCATAGAAAAATCAATCAAGTTCTGAAATATTCTCATATTATGAGTGACGGACACAAGAAAGAATAAGGCTCAAAATTCACGTGGATGATTTATTCACCTTAAAATTAATTTAAACCAATGTTAATGTAATCGATTATGGCTTCCTATGTGAATCAAATATTTCAAACTTTAAACTCTTCCTCCTGATCAAGCCGGACATCTTTTTCAAAGTAGTCTCTCATCAATCTACAACAAAAAATATGAATGAAAACTTACGCATGAAATGCAAATACTCCCCACTTTTGAAGTCAACGTTGTCCTCAATGTGGAAAATTCATTTTATGCAAATGTAAATTGTGAATGAGGTAAAACAACTAAGGTCCTGAATTTATCTCCTCAGATGATACAAATGTTAAAGTCATCAAGTAGCAACTCGGTTTAGATAAAACAAATAAAGTGTTCTTCTGCAGTAAGTTGGAAAGAGATAATGTCACATTGTAGAAGTATCAAATGAATCTTCCTATAAACCTGACAATCTCTCAACTATTTGATATATGAATGGAAGAGGAAAATGATCATTTCGCACAACAGTTGTCCCACTCTTTGTTGGAATAACTTGGGGTAGTAGATATCCAAGTGTTGTCTAAGATGAGATAAATGATGTCAGCTTCTATAGCTTGGTCACCTCCTTTTTCACTACATCGGGTTGTTGTTGTGGAGTACTCGCTAAACTTGCTTCAACAGTTGTCTAGGCTTCTTCCAAAGAGTCAATATCATCACTAATCTCCTTACAAATGGCGCAACTTCCATATGTACATTCACATTCAGGGAACTCCTCTTGACTTAACTCCTAATTCCAGTTTTTCCTCCCCTCGGACTTCAACTGAACAGGTGTTCATTAAGAATAATTTTCCCTCACTCAACAAAGATGTGTTAGAGTTCTTCTACTCTGTTTGAACTTCTCAGTCACTTTTTAGGATAATTGCACTTACATTCTCCTTATGATTGATTACTATTTGTAAGGGAAGGGCATTCAAACCTTGCTGCTATAATGTGTTAATGGTAGTAGTCAATTGCCCAATTTGGGTTTGCGTGTTATTGAGGGTGGTTCTCATGCGCTGCTCAAGTTGTGCCCATTGTGTGCTCTGCATTATCATCTATTGTGTGAGTTGTTTCATCAGTTCTTCCAGGGGGTCCAGATTTACCCTGTGTCTGTTGATGTTGTGTAGTGTCAATTAGGCTTTGCTGTATTGACACATAGTGTTGATTCACGTGTTGTCTCATTAAGGGAGGTTGATACTTCTATTGTGTGGGGTGACCTTGGTTGCTTGGCTTGAAAAAAATCTTTGGCGGCTAGTTGTAGACGGGACCATATTTCAAATTGGGATAGCCTCTTCAACTAGAATTATATGTGATTGAGTATGGGTTATACTCCTATTGTAGCCTATATGGATTTGAATGCTTGTAATGTTGTTGTTTAGGGAATAGACCAACCATTGTTTCCCTAATTAGGTTTGGTGTCTCCTGAAGTTAGGGTCATGCATCAATATGATAATCTACGGAGGTGCATATCCTATATGAATGTTGTTACATTCGAGATGTGTGTTGGTTCATTCATGTCCAACTGTTGTACCAAGGATGTCAGCTTAGATATTTTGTCCTCTAATCTCTTTTTATTAATCCCTGCTACCATTTGAGATGTTTGTGCAAAGAAAAAGAACTTGTCTGCTGGAACAACAACAATGGACTGTGAAGAAGTACACTAGGTAGGTTTCTATGAAAGAGAGGTACGTCACTAATGGATACGCTTAAATACCAAGTATTTCTTAGTCAGAACCCTCTTAGATATGCACTCTCACACTACCAAACTATATCCAAAGTTTGTTGTGAGAATGATTTTTCACAATTTTTCTACATGGATGCTTGTCTACAATTTTCTACAAGAAGGGCTAGGGAGCACACAAACAAAATATTTTTATTTTATTTTTTAAAAATAAAGCTAGAAAAAAAATTAGAAAAAAGAAAATGATATTAGACAATAATAAAAAAATAAACAGGTTGTTAAACTAATGTACTATAGCTAACCAATTATCACACATCATTTTCTCTAAAAATATAAAATAACAATACAAAGGGTGATGAAAGAGTGAAAAAAATAATAATTTGATGCACAATAATAAAAATAAAAATGAAATTGCAAAAGAATAATAATGATGATTAAAATTAAATTGAAGCATAATTTAAATAACTAAAATTTATAAAATTAAAACAAAGTGTTTTTAATTAAATTCAAAAGTTACCAGAATAAAGTGCAGAATAAAAAATTACTTTAAAATAAAATAATGCAATAATTAAATTTAAAATTTCTGAAAATAATAACTCTAAAACTAAATTGAGAATTGTACTTGGAATTGGAAAAAAGATGAATTAAAAATGGAAATTAAGTAGTACTAGAATAAAATAAAAAACATCTAATAAATTAAATAGTAGAAACTAAAATGGGCATTAAATAAATAGAGTAAACAAAATAATATAAATTGAAAAATTCAATAGAAATTGCAAATTAAATAAAACAGAACAAATCAGAATTTTAGTAGCCATAAATGAACTCACCTAACTAAAAACTGAAAACAGAACAAAAAAATGGACTAGACAAAATAACAACTCTTCCTAAAGATTGTGTTTTCATTAGACTTCTATTTATAGGGACTGACCAAGTCTAAAATTAATTATAATAATAAATTAAAAATTGCATCACTAGATTAATGTGTAGTGATAAATTCCTTGCTCTAATTTGGAGGAAATAATTTACCTTTTTCCTATTTTGAGTGATCAAATACTAATTTACATTTAATTCGCACCAGTTAATTTACTTGATTCAAAATTTTCATTTGTAATATTTCGCAAGTGAATTGTATAATCAAACTTGAACTTCCGAGAAAAGTAAAACTCGACTGCATCAATTTAAACTTTTATTTTCATCAATTTGACCAATCTCAAATTATTTTTCTCTTACAAAAGAAATGTAATATGAAATATAAAATATGGACGTACGTATGTATATTACTTTTTTTTTTAAACTATGCAAAATACAATAAATTAAGAAAAATTGAATTATATAATAATTTTAATGAAAATATTTTAAATATGTAGTTTATAAAGAAAATAATTAACTTAAAATATGTTTTTAGATAAAAAAGAAATAATAAAATTACATACATCCCTAATATATATTTATTTATTTGAATGTTGGAGAAAATTAAAGGCTATTAACTAGTTATAATAGATTTACATATGTTGTATATATATGAGTGGATTATGTTGTTCTAAAACACTAATGCAATGGATGTGTGATTTCTTGATAATTAAAAGTTATGATTTCGGAGTCTTGGACAAATTTGGGATTTTTTTGTTGTCCAGTTACATCATTACATGCATTTGACAAGAATATTTAGAAGTCAAGTAACTGAACTCCATATCTCTGGTTAAGACAGTATGCAAAGACATGCACAGATGTCTCTCACATATACTTTCAAAAGATTTAAGATGAAAGAATTAGACTTTGTGGATACAGCCATGTTCCAAAGTTCACTGCTCAGTTGATTGATTCTATGGAAAGGCCTTTCACAACCAGGAGATGGCGCACAACCTTCATGTGTTAGTGCTCTCATGCATTTGAGTACCCTGAAAATGCCATTTTCGCCATACATGATAAATTAGAAGCTGTTATTAGATGCGTTTGAGTGACTCAAATGACAGCTTTTTCTTTATCTTTATAGCAGACCACATCACATGATCCACTTTAACACCAAACCTAACCATAAGATACACAAATAAATCAATATCCTTATAGATGAAATATACTTTTATATGAGAAGAAGTTTATGTATTAAAGATTGTATGGATCGTGCACCTTCATTACCCTGAAAATGATATGGGAAGTGTTGAATAGACGAGTTTGACGTCTCAGCTAAGTCTTATGCTACATCTTTCCACCAGACCATATAACATGATTTATAGCCAAACATATAATTAAATATATAAGGTTAACAAAATCAGCATCTTTAGAAAGCAAGTTTACTTTTATATACAACCCATTAACAAAACAAGGGAAAGAAATACTATAATTTAGTGACTGCAATCTCACGCCAAAGTAGATAACGCAATGTTGTTTGTGCTTGAAATACATAATATATTGATAGAAACCTAGAAAATAAAATATAAACAATCAGTGCAGAAAGTTATATATGACGAAGAATTATTTTACATGCATAGTCCTCATCTATCATAATATTTTATGATCATTTTTTTCTCAATGAGAAAACTAAAGACATGCAGCACTCCCACAGTGTCTGTTCACTAGTTTCTGAAACAAGTCTCGAGTAGAACAACACTTGGACTACGGGTCACATTTCTTACAAATAACATAGTGCATGCATTACAAGTACCTTGTTCGTTTTGAGTATCTTGCATACTATATGATAACTTTAAAATGTAAAACCTCACGTTAATAATTAGAATGTTGTAAACAAATAGGTTATTTCAAATGAAAGACCTCATTAACGTAAAGAAGGAAATATACCTGGAAAGCACATTCCAATTCCATTTCTTTAATGAAATTCAGACTTTGAGTCACCCAATTCAATTTGTCCAATGAATGCCTCATATGCGGAGGTGCTTATTGGGCTGACTCCGAATCCTTTTAACATCTGCTGTATTAATATTGTTGTATGAGGATCTTTAGAAGGGTGCACCATTGTAACTTGGATTTTGAACTTCGTTTGATTTTTGGCTCTTGTATTTAAGAACTCAGAGCACGCTTGGTCGTATATGATCATACACACGTAATTCGATCCAACATAGAGGTTTCCATAAGGTATGGGCATTCTGAAGCTGTCACTTTTACCTCCATCTTCACCATCAAATGTAGTGATACGACATTGAAGATTTTTAATGATAGGATATTGAAGATTTGTAGTGATTGAGCTCATATCAAGAATGAAGGAGAAAATGAAACCCAGCTCGGGGGACGGTGGAGCAGAAGAGAGATCAATAGTAATACAATCCTTTCCTGTGCTATACTCCAACCACTCTGGAAAACTGTTTCCAGGATACATATAAACACATCGATCAGAACGAGTATAAGCATCTCGATATCCGTAATTTTTAACAGGATTGTGATTTGGTGCTGATAGGTGCTGGTTTGCAAATTTCATTATGTTGATTTTCGCATTGAACCCAATAGCACGTTCATCCAACATCACAGAATCTGAGAACAGAACAAGTTTCTTGTTTTCCTTTAACTGTTCATCAGCTAGTGAAGGAAATAATACAGTCCTCAATGATTTGCAGTGAGTGGCATGTAGAGTTTCAAGTGACGGGGGAAGTTTTGGTAGAGTCTCAAGTGAGCTGCAATGGCTAACGTCTAGTTTTTCAAGTGACAGGGGGAGCTTTGGTAGAGTCTCAAGTGAAGTGCAGCAAGAGAGGCATAGAGTTTTAAGGTCCGGGGGAAGCTCGGGTAGAGTTTGAAGTAAGCCACAAATTTGGATATCTAAAGTTTCAAGGGATCCAGGAAGCTCTACTAGACACTGAAATGAGCATCCATTAGCAATTAGAGTTTTAAGGGACAGAGGAAGCTTCGGTAGAGTTTTGAGTGAGTGGCACAAATCGACATGTAAAGTCTTAAGGAGAGGGGGAAACTCTGCTATTGTTTGAAGCTTCGAACATAAACATATCTCTAGACATACCAATTGACCAAGATTGTTTAATGACGGCAACCTCTCAATCCCAGTTTCGCTAATACACAACGATTCAAGCTTCGGTTGATCTCCAAATGATGAGGGCAATGCTTTTAATTTTGTTCCTCCAAAGTTGAGTTCTTTCAAATTCTCAGAAATCACTGAGAATTTCTTAAGATTATCGCAACATATAAGATTTAGATAACGAAGACTGAGTAAATGGGAATTGCTTGCAAGTACAGTAAGGGATGTGCAGTTAGCAAGGTCCAACCTCTCAAGTTTGGGCAGAGAGAAAATAGATGAATGCACGCAGGCCAACATAACACAACCACGGAGGTTGAGTACTTCAAGTCTTTTAGCTCTTGATAAATCTGGAAGCTCCTTCAACATTCTAGACCAACTGAGGTCAAGCTTTTTTAAATTCACCACATTCTGTAATAAAATGAAGATGTCACATGTCCTAAATTAGTTTATTTTGTATTCCTTAAATTAACAAGAAATTATAAGAGAGACAGACACGTATAATTTACCTTCACTCCATCCCAGAGCTTTTTCAATTTACCTTCATTCATAATCAATATAACAAGTTTTTCAGCATTAAAACTCTCTGGCAAGGACCTTAAAGGGTAGTTCTCCCAAAAAAGAAATCTTAGTTCAGTTCCCATAAATTTAACTCCGTCGGCACAAAATCTTCGTTCACCTGTTGATAAATTTGCCCTTGTCCCAAAAATTTCAACAAATTTTGCTCTTCTCATCATAGTAAATATTTGATGAGCGCTTAACTTTTGCTTCTTGATTGGTGTCAATGGAAGTTGAATGCTTCTAATGGCCTTACTAAGCTGCCATCAGTGGACAAGAAAACTTTTAAACATCATCAAAAGTCACATTTCTCACACACACATAAAAGAAATCAAATGCTATATAGAAGATATTATAGAGTTACGATTATTAACCTTCTTATTTACCAATTGCTTCATAAATGTCATTGGGATCCCACAATCGACTGCGGCTTCCAGGATCATCAATGGACTCTTGCCGAACAATCTCCCAACCCATTTCTTGTAAACTATCATGCATACATACAATGTCATCCTGAGAGATAGTTATAAGAGCTTTGTCTTCCAGCCTTTTTAACTCAAAAGCCACTGAATCATCATTTTCATTGTCTTTCAACAAAGATTTGAGATCACCCACCTTCACTGGTTCATCCAATCTAACAAAGAAACACGCCAAATCTAGAAAAATGTGTTGCCCTATACGATCTAGACTATCATAACTCAGTTTCATTACATCATAAACCTTTTTGGGTGGCATGTTTTTAAGCTTGCTTAACAAACTTTCCCATTCTTCCTTATTTCTTCCATAAAGAAGATGAGCCAAAACTTTGACAACTAGTGGATTTCCTTTCGCATAATTGACTACCAATTTTGATATCTCATTGTACTCCCCCCTTTCCTGAACATTTTCTTTAAATGCAATCATGTTGAAATGTTCAAGTGCTTCATCAGAATTGAATCCTGTCATAATGTATGTCTTCCTGACATTGTTAACCCTAAGCACTTGCTCATCTCTAGTTGTTACAATTACTGTACTACCCATACCAAAATTATCAAGAGATCCCAACAGTTCTTTTATATGGTTTGAATCATTCACATCATCAAGTACAACAAGAACCTTCATGCAACCAATTTTTCTCGCAATATGTTCAGGTAAAGAATTTGGTGTGTCAATATCCACTTCCTCCCCTATTAGTTTAGAAAATATAACATTCCTCAAAGGAGTTGTTCCATCATGTTTGTTGGATTGATCACTTTCATTGGCTAAGAAGTAAGATCCGTCATATTGAGATCGTAGTCTATTAAATACTACTTCTGCAAGGGTTGTCTTACCAATACCTCCCATGCCCCAAATTCCAATAAGACGAGTGTCCTCTGACTTATTACTTATCCATGATTCCAAAGTAGCAATTTTATCATCGATTCCAACAAGTCCATTCGAGTCAACTTGGAATTTGCCCGATCTCTTCAATTTCTTTAGCACATCAGCGACAATTACTTCAACCACCTCAGCATCATTTCTACAAAGGTAGACAGGTGAAGTGAATGTTAAAAATAGAAAGGATTTTTCAATTTAACCAAACTTGCAAGTAATACATTTTTCAATTTAACCAACCACGTTATGCATATAAATATACAACAGCAAGAAAAGAGCTTACTGATACTTTGTAGATTCCATTCCAGAGAAACTAGCAGATTTATCTAAAGCACGTTTCCAGAGTTGTAGCTCGGTCTCATGTTTTGTTGCATGCTCAGCAAATGCTTTTTGGTACCTCCCAGATTGATGTCGTACATCTGTGGGAGTCACTTTGTAGAAAACAGGAATTACAGTGCGTCCATATTTCTCTTGGCATTCAATAATTTTGGCAATTTCTTTTAAACACCAAGGAGAAGAGGCATAGTCTGGTGAGAAGATGATCAACGAAATGGCAGATCTTTCAATAGCTGCAACAAGTGATGGCCATATTTCTTCTCCCTTCTCAAGTTTATCGTCTACAAAGGCATTTATTTTCTTGGTGTGAAATGCCCGAGTCAAATGGCTAAGAAACCCGTCACGGATGTCCTTGCCCCTGAAGCTAACAAAAACATCGTACTTTATTTGAGGATTGTTGCCGTCTGACATGGCTTTCTCCCCTGCAACCGTCTGCTTTTGAAAAAAACCTACAGATAAAGAAAAACAGCATACAAAAAAGTAAAATAGGTACGAAAAAATAGAACATATTGGTTGCAAAATAACTGGGACAAAAGAAGTATCATGTTGGATAGGAAGAATTGAAGAGGGGATCTTTCCTTGTCTCTGCAGCCGAATATGTAAGAGATTGAAGGGTGTAACTAGAAACGAAAAGAGTTAGAAATGAAGTGGAAAAAAAAACAATGACTTTATGAAGGAGAAAGTTGTTATGTAGAATAGTTGAAAGGATGAAGGAGAAGAAGATGGAACAGCAGATTCTTGCTTCTTTTTTTAGCGAAAAACTGAATTATTGATGGAGATCATAGAGAGGGGGCTTTGAATTTTTCAATAAGGATGGAAAAAACAATTGTTATTTAGCATTACAATCTTGAACTGGTCTTAAAATTATATAAACTATGTAAGCATGTGGAATTAAAAATGAATACTTGATGTAGAGGACAGTGAAGCAGTGACTGTGTGTGTAATAATTGAGTTCAAAGTCAACAATTGCATATGCAAAGAAAAAGTTTGGCCTCGAATATTAATTATGTATTGTTTATTAAATGATGCTGTCGGTTGTCTAAGAAAACTAACCCTTTACTTAAATACATATCACATCCTATTTCTCCTTCATTTTTAAAACAGTAGACACGATCTTTACTTTTTGTTTTCTCTGTTCTTACTCGTTATGAACAATCAGTTTACTCGTTATGAACAATCAGTTTAATATATTATCTCCAAGATTATTTAAGGATAGATATATGTTTTTAGTTTCGTATTTGTTGTATAATTGTTTTTTATTTTTATATTTTTAAATGTATCAACTCGATCATTCAATACATAATTTTAATCTTTTTTCTTATGTTTAAATTTAATATTTATGATTTTTGTTTTAACATAAATTATTAAAAGATTAAAATTGATTTTAATCATACTCTATATTTAAATTTGATATTTAATAATATTTTTTATTATTATGAACTTGATTAAAGATATATATTTTTTTTAATTTGAGGATTAATTTTCAGAGAAAAAAAACAGAATTAAAAGCATACTTAGCCCATTATTTAATATATCCTAATTTATTTACCATTTTACTATATATGTTCTTTTATCACTTATCAATAGGAAAAACAACAAACGATGAAAAAGTTACTTAAAATAATTTTCCTACCTTGCAAGAATTACCGAGGAGCAACAATAAATAATGGTAAAAATAAAGTGTAAAGGGACACAAATATTTTAATGTAGAAATCAATTTCAATATGGAAGAAAAACTTAATGAAAATAGGTGAGTTAATCAAACTCCCTTAACTTCAAATAAAAAGACAAAGTTTATGAAAAACATAAATAAGTATTTACAAATCAACCAATATATCAAAATAATAAAACTTTTAAATTAAAGACTAAAAAAAAAAGAAACATTGATAATAAAACAATCATGCGAAATTTATTTCTCTTGACAAAAATATCTGATTCACATTCCCAAACTTGATAAACGTTTGACAAGTGCACTAATCGTTAATATCATCTTCTGGAATTGAATTTTTTGAATACTAGATTCCTAATTTACATAAGTTTAAGTAACCAAAAATGAGGTTTAGAATGACAAGTATATAATTATAGTAAAAACTTTCAAATCAAGATAACAACTGTTAGATGATTGATTTCGTACATTTTCATATAGAATTTTACTCCTTCCAATTGATGAAAGAAATGTAATTACACCTTTGAGTTTACCCAGATTTGTTTTATCCCAATTTGTATTCTCATCAGACTTCTATTTATAGGGATTGACCAAGTTTGAAATTAATTATAATAGTAAATTAAAAATTGTAGTACTAGATTATTGTGTAATGAAAAATTCCGTGTACTAATTTGGAGGAAATAATTCGTTTCTTTTCTATTTTGAGTGATCTAACACTGATTTGATTTAATTTTTTATTCCTACTAGTCTTTAAATAAGCTAAATTATATTCTTGAACAAGTTAATTTACTTTATTCAAAATTTTCATTTGTAATATTTCATAAATAGATTGTACAAGCAAACTTGAACTTTGGATAAAAGTACATCAATTTGGACTTTTATTTTTATCAATTTAGTCAATATCAAATTATCTTTCTCTTTAAAAAAGAAGAAATATGTACTATGAATGTATACATGTATATCCCTTTTTATGTTAAAACTATACAAAATGTAACAAATTAAGAAAAATTGAATTATACAATACTTCCAATGAAAACATGTTAAATGCGTGATTTATAAATAAAATAATTAACTTAAAATATGTTTTTAGATAAAATAAAAGAATAAAATGACATACATGATATATATATATATATATATATATATATATATATATTATTTATTTATTTATTTGAATGTTGGAGAAAATTAAAGGCTATTAACAACTATTATAATTGATTTACATATCTTGGTATATATAAGTGGATTATGTTGTTCTAAAACACTAATGAAATGGATGTGTTTCCTCTTAAGAATAACGCATAGTGTGATTTCTTGGTAATTCAAAGTTATGATTTCGGAGTCTTGGACAAATTTGGGATTTATTTTTTTGTCCAGTTACACCATTACATGCATTTAACAAGAATATTTAGAAGTCAAGTTACTGAACTCCATAGTCTGGCTAAGACAGTATGCAAAGACATGCACAAATGTCTCTCACATACACTTTCAAAAGATTTAAGATGAAAGAATTAGACTTTGTGGATACAGCCAAATTCCAAAGTTCACTGCTCAGTTGATTGATTCTATGGAAAGGCCTTTCACAACCAGGAGATGGCGCACAACCTTCATGTGTTAGAGCTCTCATGCATTTGAGTACACTGAAAATGCCATTTTCACCATATATGAACAATTAGGAGCTGTTATTTGATGCGTTTGAGTGATATATATCTGCTTAATCTTTATAGCAGACCACATCACATGATCCATTTAACACCAAACCTAACCCTAGATTGCACAAATAAATCAATATCCTTAGAAATGAAATTTACTTTTATATGAACAGAAATTTATATATTAAGGATTGTATGGATCGTGCGTCTTCATTACCCAGAAAAATGATATTTTTACCCTATAAGAAAAAGGGAAAGTATTGATGAGTTTGAATGTCTCAAAGTGCTATGCTACATATTTCTACCAAACCATATAACGTGATTTATAGCCAAACATAAAATTAAATATATAAGGTGAACAAAATCAGCATAATTAGAAAGCAAGTTTACTTTTATATACAACCCATTAACAAAAAGGGAAAGACATAATAGAATTTAGTAACTGCAATCTCATGCCAAAGTTGATAACGCAATGTTGGTTGTAGCTTGAAATATATGATATAGTGATAGAAACCTAGAAAAACAAATATAAACAATCGGGGCAGAAAGTTATCTATGACAAATTATTTCACATGTATATAGTCCTCCTCTGTATTTTTTTCTAAATGAGAAAACTAAAGACACGTAGCACTCCATATTATCTCTTTTAAAAGATAATAAAATTTCTAAACAACTAATTTAAATAAAAGATCATAAAGTAATATTCCTCCTACACTCCCATAATATCTTATTTTTTGTTTATATTTCTTGTCATTTTTCTTCTTGTATTAGATCGCATCTTTATTTAACTTCACTTTCTTTATCAAAGTACTTCTCTTAGTATTGTTGATCCTTTGATGGATGTTGGAAACTGTTTCTTCATTTATATCTTTATTTTCCTCCTTAACATTAAGTTTCTTCAAAAAATATTCACTATGTTTTTTCTTTGACTTTTATATCCTCGTTTGTAGTCAACTCTTCTTTCATTAAATCTAAAATGAAATTTTTTCAATTCATGTGAACTTTAAATATTTCAAGTTATTTGCATATTTAATCACACAAAGTTTGCGTTGAAAAGATAGCTTATAACTTTTCTTTAATAATTAAGTAATACTTAATAAATTATGATTAATATCAGCAACATATAAAACATAAAAAATTAATTTGTACCTAAATGACTTTTACCAGCAATTGTTCTCGTACCGTTCACATCCATTTGTTCTTCATTACTAATTCTCACTTTAGAAATAACATATTCGTCAAGTTCTTTGAAAAGTTATCGATCATGAGTCATGTGATTTGTCCAACCACTATCTATAAGTCAACCTGTGGATTTGTTAATTAGAGCATCTTGACTCAAGAGAAGTTCTCTTTTTACATCATCCTCTATAACCTGGACAACTTCTTTTGATTGTAATTTATATATTTTTCTATATGTCCTAATTGATCACATTTGTGACCTTTCACATCAGACCTCCATCAACACCAAAACTTGTGTGGGTGATTATTTTTCTTAGAAAAAAGATAGACAAAAAAGGCACGTGATTTGGTACCTTTGTTATTCTTGACTTGGAGAGAACTTTTATCATAATATAATAAAGAACTTTTAATAACATGATCTTCTCTCATTGCTTTTGTACTTATAAAGTGTGTAACACTTCTGCCAAAGTAATATTAAACAACTCATTTGTGTTTTTCAATGAAATAATAAATGTTTCATATCTCTCTAGCACAATTACTAGAATTTTTTCAACTATTATGAAATAAGAAAATTCCTTACCTAACAGTTTTATCTTGTCAACAATATTCAACAATTTGTTTTAGTATTCATTCATTATCTCATACTTTTGCATCATTTGAATCTCAAATTCTTTTATCAATTTGAACTTTCATACCTCAAAATTTTATTGTCCCCTTCATATTGATCTTTCAAATAATTTCAAATTTTTTTTGGTGACTTTAGTGTCATGATTCTGGTGAGAATCATTTGTGAAACATCAACAAACATACATGATTTAACTTTTGGCTTCCTCCTTTTTTTTCTTTGTGAAATTTGATTTCAACTATAGTAGAATTTTCAGGTAGCGAATAATGATTTAAGTTATGGTGGGATTTTCAGACAGCAGATAAATGATGTAATCCTCTTATATAACTTCTCATACATCCAATCTTTTAAGATAAGACTGTATTCTCATAACTCATAAATCATAACTTTCACAATAAAATATTGGAATAGTGAATTGGAAAAAACTTTTTCTCCTTCTCTTAAAAATCAAAGCTCTTCATACCACCAATGAGAATTTTTAGAGTTTTATGTATATATATTTCTTATATATAAAATATATCTCATATAGGTATATATTTTATTCATCTACTATATATATATATACCTTCCTAGTTTGTTTTGAGTATCTTGCATAATATATGATAACTTTAAAATGTAAAACGTCACGTTAATAATTAGAATGTTGTAAACAAATAGGTTATTTCAAATGAAAGACCTCATTAACGTAAAGAAGGAAATATACCTGGAAAGCACATTCCAATTCCATTTCTTTAATGAAATTCAGACTTTGAGTCACCCAATTCAATTTGTCCAATGAATGCCTCATATGCGGAGGTGCTTATTGGGCTGACTCCGAATCTTTTTAACATCTGCTGTATTAATATTGTTGTATGAGGATTTTTAGAAGGGTGCACCATTGTAACTTGGATTTTGAACTTCGTTTGATTTTTGGCTCTTGTATTTAAGAACTCAGAGCACGTTTGGTCGTATATGATCATACACACGTAATTCGATCCAACATAGAGGTTTCCATAAGGTATGGGCATTCTGAAGCTGTCACTTTTACCTCCATCTTCACCATCAAATGTAGTGATACGACATTGAAGATTATTAATCATAGGATATTGAAGATTTGTAGTGATTGAGCTCATATCAAGAATGAAGGAGAAAATGAAACCCAGCTCGGGGGACGGTGGAGCAGAAGAGAGATCAATAGTAATACAATCCTTTCCTGTGCTATACTCCAACCACTCTGGAAAACTGTTTCCAGGATACATATAAACACATCGATCAGAACGAGTATAAGCATCTCGATATCCGTAATTTTTAACAGGATTGTGATTTGGTGCTGATAGGTGCTGGTTTGCAAATTTCATTATGTTGATTTTCGCATTGAACCCAATAGCACGTTCATCCAACATCACAGAATCTGAGAACAGAACAAGTTTCTTGTTTTCCTTTAACTGTTCATCAGCTAGTGAAGGAAATAATACAGTCTTCAATGATTTGCAGTGAGTGGCATGTAGAGTTTCAAGTGACGGGGGAAGTTTTGGTAGAGTCTCAAGTGAGCTGCAATATCTAACGTCTAGTTTTTCAAGTGACAGGGGAAGCTTTGGTAGAGTCTCAAGTGAAGTGCACCGATAGACGCATAGAGTTTTAAGGTCCGGGGGAAGCTCGGGTAGAGTTTGAAGTAAGCGACAAATTTGGATATCTAAAGTTTCAAGGGATCCAGGAAGCTCTACTAGACACTGAAATGAGCATCCATGAGCAATTAGAGTTTTAAGGGACAGAGGAAGCTTCGGTAGAGTTTTGAGTCTAGAGGCCTGCAAATTTAAAGTTAAAAGAGATGAGGGAATCTCCCGTAGACTCTCAAGTGATACACAACTCAACCTTAGAGTTTCAAGGACAGGAGGAAGCTTTGGTAGAGTTTTGAGTGAGTGGCACAAATCGACATGTAAAGTCTTAAGGAGAGGGGGAAACTCTGCTATTGTTTGAAGCTTCGAACAAAAACATATCTCTAGACATACCAATTGACCAAGATTGTTTAATGACGGCAACCTCTCAATCCCAGTTTCGCTAATACACAACGATTCAAGCTTCGGTTGATCTCCAAATGATGAGGGCAATGCTTTTAATTTTGTTCCTCCAAAGTTGAGTTCTTTCAAATTCTCAGAAATCACTGAGAATTTCTTAAGATTATCGCAACATATAAGATTTAGATAACGAAGACTGAGTAAATGGGAATTGCTTGCAAGTACAGTAAGGGATGTGCAGTTAGCAAGGTCCAACCTCTCAAGTTTCCGCAGAGAGAAAATAGATGAATGCACGCAGGCCAACATAACACAACCACGGACGTTCAGTTCTTCAAGATTTTTAGCTCTTGATAAATCTGGAAGCTCCTTCAACATTCTAGACCAACTGAGGTCAAGCTTTTTTAAATTCACCACATTCTGTAATAAAATGAAAAGAAATGAAGATGTCACATGTCCTAAATTAGTTTATTTTGTATTCCTTAAATTAACAAGAAATTATAAGAAAGACAGACACGTATAATTTACCTTCACTCCATCCCAGAGGTTTTCCAATTTACCTTCATTCATAATCAATATAACAAGTTTTTCAGCATTTAAACTCTCTGGCAAGGACCTTAAAGGGTAATTCTCCCAAAAAAGAAATCTTAGTTCAGTTCCCATAAATTTAACTCCGTCGGCACGAAATCTTCGTTCACTTGTTGGTAAATTTGCCCTTGTCCCAAAAATTTCAACAAATTTTGCTCTTCTCAACATAGCAAATATTTGATGAGCGCTTAACTTTTGCTTCTTAATTGGTGTCAATGGAAGTTGAATGCTTCTAATGGCCTTACTAAGCTGCCATCAGTGGACATGAAAACTTTTAAACATCATCAAAAGTCACATTTCTCACACACACATAAAAGAAATCAAATGCTATATAGAAGATATTATAGAGTTACGATTATTAACCTTCTTATTTACCAATGCTTCATAAATGTCATTGGGATCCCACAATCGACTGCGGCTTCCAGGATCATCAATGGACTCTTGCCGAACAATCTCCCAACCCATTTCTTGTAAACTATCATGCATACATACAATGTTATCCTTAGAGATAGTTATAAGAGCTTTGTCTTCCAGCCTTTTTAACTCAAAAGCCACTGAATTATCATTTTCATTGTCTTTCAACAAAGATTTTAGATCACCCACCTTCACTGATTTATCCAATCTAACAAAGAAACACGCCAAATCTAGAAAAATTTGTTGCCCTATACGATCTAGACTATCATAACTCAGTTTCATTACATCATAAACCTTTTTTGGTGGCATGTTTTTAAGCTTGCTTAACAAACTTTCCCATTCTTCCTTATTTCTTCCATAAAGAAGATGAGCCAAAACTTTGACAACTAGTGGATTTCCATTCGCATAATTGACTACCAACTTTGATATCTCATTGTACTCCCCCCTTTCCTGAACATTTTCTTTAAATGCAATCATGTTGAAATGTTCAAGTGCTTCATCAGAATTGAATCCTGTCATAATGTATGTCTTGCTGACATTGTTAACCCTAAGCACTTGCTCATCTCTAGTTGTTACAATTACTGTACTACCCATACCAAAATTATGAAGAGATCCCAACAGTTCTTTTATATGATCTGAATCATTCACATCATCAAGCACAACAAGAACCTTCATGCAACCAATTTTTCTCGCAATATATTCAGGCAAAAAATTTGGTGTGTCAATATGCACTTCTTCCCCTATTAGTTTAGAAAATATAACATTCCTCAAAGGAGTTGTTCCATCATGTTTGTTGGATTGATCTCTTTCATTGGCTAAGAAGTAAGATCCGTCATATTGAGATCGTAGTCTATTAAATACTACTTCTGCAAGGGTTGTCTTACCAATACCTCCCATGCCCCAAATTCCAATAAGACGAGTGTCCTCTGACTTATTACTTATCCATGATTCCAAAGTAGCAATTTTATCATCGATTCCAACAAGTCCATTCGAGTCAACTTGGAATTTGCCCGATCTCTTCAATTTCTTTAGCACATCAGCGACAATTACTTCAACCACCTCAGCATCATTTCTACAAAGATAGATAGATTAAGTGTATGTTAAAAATAGAAAGGATTTTTCAATTTAACCAAACTTGCAAGTAATACATTTTTCAATTTAACCAACCACGTTATGCATATAAATATACGACAGCAAGAAAAGAGCTTACTGATACTTTGTAGATTCCATTCCAGAGAAACTAGCAGATTTATCTAAAGCACGTTTCCAGAGTTGTAGCTCGGTCTCATGTTTTGTTGCATGCTCAGCAAATGCTTTTTGGTACCTCCCAGATTGATGTCGTACATCTGTGGGTGTCACTTTGTAGAAAACAGGAATTACAGTGCGTCCATATTTCTCTTGGCATTCAATAATTTTGGCAATTTCTTTTAGACACCAGTGAGAAGAGGCATAGTCTGGTGAGAAGATGATCAACGAAATGGCAGATCTTTCAATAGCTGCAACAAGTGATGGCCATATTTCTTCTCCCTTCTCAAGTTTATCGTCAACAAAGGCATTTATTTGCTTGGTGTGAAATGCCCGAGTCAAATGGCTAAGAAACCCGTCACGGATGTCCTTGCCCCTGAAGCTAACAAAAACATCGTACTTTATTTGAGGATTGTTGTTGTCTGACATGGCTTTCTCCTCTGCAACCGTCTGCTTTTGAAAAAAAACCTACAGATAAAGAAAAACAGCATACCAAAAAGTAAAATAGGTACGAAAAAATAGAACATATTGATTGCAAAATAACGGGGACAAAAGAAGTATCATGTTGGATAGGAAGAATTGAAGAGGGGATCTTTCCTTGTCTCTGCAGCCGAATATGTAAGAGATTGAAGGGTGAACTAGAAGCGAAAAGAGTTAGAAATGAAGTGGGAAAAAAACAATGACTTTATGAAAGAGAAAGTTATGTAGAATTGTTGAAAAGAGGAAGGAGAAGAAGATGGAATAGCAGATTCTTGCTTTTTTTATTTTTAGCCGAAAAACTTAATTATTGATGGACATCACAGAGGGGCTTTGAGTTTTTGAATAAGGATGGAAAAAACAGTTGTTATTTAGCATTACAACCTTGAACTGGTCTTAAAATTATATAAACTATGCAAGCACGTGGAATTAAAAATGAATACTTGATGTAGTGGGTGATAATTGAGTTCAGCGTCAACTATTGTATATTAAATGATGCTGTGGGTTGTCTAAGAAAACCATGGTCAGGAATGCTCACCAAACCGATAAATAAGAGTTTAAATATTGAATCGTAAATTAAATGGAGTTTAATCTGTTTAATAAAATAATATATTTTAATAATATAATAATATATTAAATTTAAAATAAATCTATTACAATGTAATAATAATTTTAATTTAATATAAATACTATTAAAAAAATATTATATAATAATAACAATAACTTATAGAATATATAAAAAATAATATGAATAAATATATCATCAATCATGGATCTTTATTTTTTATTTTATCTGTTCTTACTCATATTATGAACAATCAGTTTAATATATTATCTCCAAGATTATTTAAGGATAAAGATATGTTTTTAGTTTCGTATTTGTCGTATAATTGTTTTTTATTTTTATATTTTTAAATGTATCAACTCGATCATTCAATACATAATTTTAATCCTTTTTTATGTTTAAATTTAATATTTATGATTTTGTTTTAACATAAATTATTAAAAGATTAAAATTGATTTTAATCATACTTTATATTTAAATTTGATATTTAATAATATTTTTTATTATTATGAACTTGATTAAATATCTAAATTTATTTTATTTTTTTTAAATTGAGGATTAATTTGTTTAATATTTAAGTATAAGAACAGAAATTAATTTTCAGAGAAAAAAATTAAAAACATATTTAGTCCATTATTTAATATATCCTAATTTATTTACCATTTTATTATATATGTTCTTTTTATCACTTATGAATAGGAAAAACAACAATAATTGACTATGAAAAAGTGACGAAAAAGGTTCTTAAAATAATTTCTCTACTTTGCAAGAATTAACGAGGAGCAACAATAAATAATGGTAACAATAATATGTAAAGAGACACAAAAATATTTTAATGTAAAAATCAATTTCAATGTGGAAGAAAAACCTAATGAAAATAGGTGAGTTAATCAAACTCTTAACATCAAATAAAAAGATAAAGTTTATAAAAAAACATAAATAGGTATTTACGACTAACCAATGTGTCAAAATTATAAAATTTTCAAATTAAAGACCATAAAAGAAGATGAACCATCAATAATAAAGCAATGGTGTGAAATTTATTTCTTTCCGCATAAATCTTCCATTCACATTTCCAACTATCAAAACCTAGAACAACATCTTAAGAACCTATTGTCCAATGTTCTATTTTATCCAATGGTAAACAAAATGGGGATTTCAATTTTACTAACATCGATCACGAAATTTGAAATAATTTTTTACCTTTTTCCCTCTCCCAAAAGTAGCATCTCTCTATCAACGGAGAATATAGAAATTTTTAGGTTTTTATGTATGTGTATTTTTTAAATGTGAAAATATATTTCATATTCATATATAAAGTAAAAATATGATAAAATATCAAATTATAGTAATATTTCAATCATAACTTTTTAAATCAAAATTATGATATCTTTTCCACTTAAAAGATAATAAAATATCTTAATACGTAAATTAAATAAAAAATAATAAAATAACGTTCCTAAAAAAGATGGACAAATTGAACTCGACAAGTTTAAGTTTTGCTAAACATATAGTTAGAAACTCAACGCATCTTCCTTCACATAACTATGTGCAAATGATCATTAAATCAACAATCTCACAACAGATTTTAAGTTTCCACTTCGATAGTATCTTAGTCATCATATAAGTATCGTTATCATTAGTTTGAAATTTTTTAATTCTAACAACTTAACATCCAAAACATCACATATCTAATTATACCTCATATCAATATATATGTTTAGATCTAGAATGAAAAATTAAATTTTTACAAAGATAGATAACACTTTGACTAACCACAAATAAAGAATAGTTGTTTTGCACAAGAAAACATCTGTAAGAATTTCTTCAATTATAACAATTCATTACATGTTTCAATAATGACAATAAACTCTGCATCTGTAATAGATAATATTACACACCTTTGTAGCCTTGATTGTCAAGTCACAACTCTCTTTGACAACTTAATCAAATAATCTAAAATGGACTTTCTAGATCAATATCTTCAATCATATCTAAGTCTGAGTAACTCACAAAAACAGGATCACCACCTATAAAAGAAAGCCTTAAACTACTAGTATTGCGAAGATACCTCAAAATTTATTTCACAACATTCTAATACTTTCTACGGATTTGACAAAAATCAACTAATTATACCAATAATATATATAACATCGAGTCCAATACATACCATTACATACATCAAATTATCCCCTGCAAATGCATAAAGAATTTTGTTCTTCCTTATCTTGTCAACTTCATTTAAAAAACTTTATTTAAGACTTAAAATGAGTTGTAAGAAGAATACTCACTACTTTAACATTTTCCATATGAAATCTCTACAAAATATTTTTAATATAATGCTTCTATGATAGTCAAAACTTCTTTTCTTTTTTATCAGGTATGATACTTATACTAAGAATGTTTTTAGCAACTCTCAAGAAATATTTCATCTCATCTTGCATTGTATCTAGTCATTGTAGCTTTTCTTCATGTTCCAAAACCTCCTCAAACATTTAGATTTTCTACTATTAACCAAGGTTTACATACTAATTCTTTAGAAAACAATTATCTCGGGGTGTTGGATTTTCAAAGGTCCGTTTATAGGGAAGAGTATAATGAAAAGAAATGCAAATTGCAAGAGTATTATAGTTTTTGTGTGTCTCTTTCATGGCTATGTATAATAATAGATGAAGGTGAATGGTTCTGCATTTCCAAAATTGGCGCAGCATAGACTTGGATGCTAATTAATCTCCATTAGACGACGTTGGCACACTTACTATGAATAGGTCATGGTTTAATTCCTTTTATTTTCTAAGCTCACACCAAGCAGAAAGTGGAGTGCCTAAAGATTGTGGTAACATATAATTTTAACACTGGTTAACACCTAAATGACATCCTCCAATAAGACGTTATATGTTCGAGCTGATTTGGTGGTAAACCAAAACTTGTTAGTGAAAATCATGTTGTTAGAAACCAAGTCAAAGTTAATTTTTCTAGCTTTTGTCAGTTATATATATATATATATATATATATATATATATATATATATATATATATATATATATATATATATATGCAACAAACATAATAAGAAGTTGTTGAGGTTTTTTTTTTTTTTTATGTTACTGATGCATTGTTCCTATATGATATCAAGAACATTCACGATCCAAAACCTATGAGAGGTGTTTGGTATAGGCCAATGAATCTTTTTTGTCTTCTTGATTTTTTGAGTGAGAAGTGTCTTGTGAGAGTAATTTTTCATTGAGGGTGTGAATTCTTGATAAAACAAGAAAGTGGGCAGAAGAATCTCAAGTTGAACACTATATCAAGAAGAGGTTAAGGTGTACAAGGATGGCTGGAGCTAAGAGCATGATACAAGGATCGTACTGATTTTTGATGGGAAGATGTTTGAAGATTAGAAAATCAAAATGCTTGCAATTTTTTGTTTACAAGATGTGGCTGAAGTTATAGCAGATGGACTTCAAGAACTTGGACAAAATGCCACTACAAAAGAGATGAATTTCAAATTCCAACATAAGCTAGATAGTGAAGCATGATTCCTCGTATACGAGTGTGTAGGCTCCAATATTTTCAATAAAATCTCTAAAGCATCCACTGCCAAGGAAGCATGAGATATCTTGATAAAGACTTACAATCATGGTAATAAAAACAAGAAGGTGAAGTTACAAACCTTGAGAAAGCAATTTGAGTTTCTTAGTATGGAGGAGAATGAAACAATAGCATAATACTTTGAGAAGGTCAATGCCATGAGATCCTGGAAGGCTAGTATCTCAAATCAACATGTTGTGGATAAAATCTTAAGTACATTACCTCCAAGATTTGATCATGTGGTAGTTGCAATTGAAGAGACAAAAAACCTGAATAACGTGGAAATCGAGAAGCTGCAACATTCACTTGAAGCACATGAGTACAAAATTAATGAGAAAATACAATCAAGAATAAGCGCTTTAAGCAATGTCTCATTATAAAGGAAAGAACAAAATACCGAAGAAAGGTGACAAGTTTAACAACAAGCAGAAATCACAAGATAAAAAATCTAGTGATTATGGAGACTCTGTCAAATGCAAGAACCAAAAGGTAAGTGCTAACTCAAATGAAGGTAAAGAGTGAAAATTTGACAAGAAAGTGAGGTGTTATAACTATTAGAAATTGGATCACTTTGTTCGAGAATGTTAGAAAGGAGAAAGAGCCAAGAACAAGCCGAAAAACCAAACAAATCTGACACAAAATGATGCATCAGATTTGAAGTAGTCATATGACACATCATGGTACCTTGACTCAGGCTGCTTGACTCATGACAGGTGGAAAATAAAATATTAGTTTGTAAATATCAATGAAGTAACTCATGGTAAGATTCGCATATGATAGTAGTAGAGGGCATTGGAAGAGTGGTATTAAGAGATCATGATGACAAAGAAATTATGATTGAAGAGGTACTATATGTACTTGGGTTAAAAACAAATCTCTTAAGTTTTCCAGTTATTATAGAAAGGGTTTGTTATGACAATGGAGGATAATTGTCTCAGTGTTTTTTATAAAAACAAGATGTTGGTTATTCAAGCTAATTTATCATAAAATAGAACTTTTTGGGTTGGAATGAGTACATTGAAGTATCAGTGTTTTCCCAAATTAGAGAGTAGAATAGGATGGCTATGGAGTCTTCGCTACAGATATTTAAATTTCAGATATTTGTATCAACTTAGCCAACTATGGATATCTAAATTTTAGATATTTGTATCAACTTAGCCAGCAAAGCATGGTTGTAGGAGATTGCTTTGGGTGGAAATTCCAAATGAAGTGTGCAAGAAGTGTGTTTAGTCCAAGCAAACTAGGGGAATATTTAGTAAATTCCTACCTCAAAAGTCAACAGAAAAATAAGGAGTGAGATATTCGGATATTTGTGGGCCTATACAAATTGAAACCCTTGTAGGTGATAGGTTTCATTCATTGATGATTTGACTCAAAAAAAATGTGGATATTTGTTGAAAAGAAAAAATGAGGTGTTATATGTCTTTAAGAAGTTTAAATGCATGGTTGAAAAACAAAGCGGAAAACAGATTAAGGTCTTAAAAACTAATGGTGGAGGTGAATATACATCAACAAAATTCAGTCAATTTTGCGTGGATGAAGGTTTATTACATGAGGTCGCACCTCCTTACACACCCCCAACAAAATGACATAATTGAGAGGAGAAATAAAACTTCTTGAATATGGTAAGGTGTATGTTGAAGAGTACATGTCTACCAAACTACCTATGGAAGCATGGACTGAAGTCAGACCAGATGTCACTCACCTGAGAATATTTGGTTCTCTTTGTTAAAAACATATTCCTAATCAGTTGAGAAGAAAATTGGATAACAAGGGGATTCCACTCATTTTTATTGATTATCACTCAATAGGGGGATATAAGTTGCTTGGTCCAGAGACAAGCCAACTTTCAATAAGAAAAGATGTGATAGTTGATGAAACATCAAGCTGGAACTAGAAACTAACCCCGAAAGAATCAATACAATCTAAAATTATGGTAGATTGAGAGTTTGCAACTGTGTAAATAGAATATGATGATCAAGCAGTGTGTGTGAGAAAATCATCTAGAACAACTCAACTATCATCTCATTTGAGGGATTATGAATTGTTCCAAGATTTAACAATTACCTTTGAAGGGAATTTGATTTATTTTTCACTTGTTGTCAAGGCTGCACCTATTGAATATGAGAAGGCTATCACGATAAGAAGTGGTGGAAGACTATACAGTAGGAGATTGATTCTATAGAAAAAATCACACTTGGAAATGGTAGAACCACCTCAAAATAAAAAACTTATAGCATTGAAGTGAGTTTACAAGGTGAAAGTAAATTCAAAAGGAGAAGTTATGAGGCACAAGCCTAGACTTGTGGCAAAGGGGTTTCTGCAAAAGCCGGAAATTGACTATGGAGAAGTGTATGCACCAATAAAATGAATTAAGACAGTTCGTGTTGTAGTCTCACTTGCAACAAATGCTAATTGGTCCATTGATTAACTGGATGTTAAATATGCTTTCCTCAATGGTCCACTTGAGGAGAAAGTATATGCATTACAACCACAAGGATTTGAGACTAGAGAGCAATAACACAAGATATATAAGCTCAAAAAGGTCTTATACGGACTTAAACAAGCTCTAGGGCTTGGAATGAAAGGATTGACAATTTTCTAAGTCAAATTGATTTTGAAAAATGTGTTTCTGAACATAGTGAAATGTTGACACAATAGTGGGGACTTGATACCTCAATTCAAGTCTCAAATGTTGAAAGAGTTTGAAATGAGTGATCTAGGAAAGGTGAATTGTTTTTTGGGAATTGAGTTTGCAAAGACAAAGTATGGTACTTACATGCATCAGTCCAAGTATGCACAGGATTTGTTGAACAGATTTAATAGGCATCAAAGTAATCCAACATACACACCAGCTGAAGTTGGACTGAGATTAGAGAAAGAAATAGATGAAGAATCAATGGATCCTACTATCTACCATTGGATGTTTGAGTTATTTGTGCAATACAAGAACATATTTGAGTTATAGTGTTGGCTTGATCAACATATATATGCTAGACCCGACAACCCCATATAAATGCTGCTAAAAGAATACTAAGATATTTACCAAGCACAATTGGTCTTGGAATTTTGTTTCCAAAAGAAATATTAGATGTAGGACGAAGAATAATTGCATATTCGAATTCATATTGGTGTTCATATTGGTGTCGACAACCAGATTGGTGTAGACAACAAATCAACAATTGATTTGACAAGACATCCATCTTTTCATGGAACAAGTAAACATATTGAGACAATGTTTCACTTCTTTCCTGAGCAAGCAAATTGTGAAAAAGTGAAGTAGAGTATTGCAAATCTGAAATATAACTAGCAGACCTATTTACTAAAATATTGAAGGCTAAAAGGTTATATATATATATATATATATATATATATATATAAAGACAGGATATAAAGACATGCACAAATGTCTCACATATACTTTCAAAAGATTTAAGATGAAAGAATTAGACTTTGTGTGTTCAGCCATATTCCAAAATTCACTGCTCAGTTGACTGATTCAATGAAGAGGCCTTTCACAACCAGGAGATGACCTTCATGTGTTAGAGCTCTCAAGCATTTGAGTACCCTGAAAATGCCATTTTCACCATATATGAACAATTAGGAGCTGTTATTAGATGCGTTTGAGTGACTCAAATGACAAAGCTTTTTCTTAATCTTTATAGCAGACCGCATCACATGATCCACTTTAACACCAAACCTAACCATAAGATATACAAATAAATCAAAATCCTAATAGATGAAATTTACTTTTATATGAGCAGAAGTTTATGTATTAAAGATTGTATGCATCGTGCACCTTCATTACCCTGAAAATGATATGGGAAGTGTTGAATAGACGAGTTTGACGTCTCAGCTAAGTCTTATGCTACATCTTTCCACCAGACCATATAACATGATTTATAGCCAAACATATAATTAAATATAAAAGGTTAACAAAATCAGCATCTTTAGAAAGCAAGTTTACTTTCATATACAACCCAATAACAAAAAAAGGGAAAGAAATACTATAATTTAGTGACTGCAATCTCACGTAAAGTAGATAACGCAATGTTGTTTGTGCTTGAAATATATAATATGTTGATAGAAACCTAGAAAATAAAATATAAACAATCAGTGCAGAAAGTTATATATGACGAAGAATTATTTTACATGCATAGTCCTCATCTATCATAATATTTTATGATATTTTTTTCTCAATGAGAAAACTAAAGACATGTAGCAGTCCCACAGTATCTTTTCACTAGTTTCCAACAAACTAGTCTCGAATAGAATTACACTTGGTCTAAGGGTCACATTTCATACAAATAACAATGCATGCATTACAAGTACCTTGTTCGTTTGGAGTATATTGCATACTATATGATAACTTTAAAATGTAAAAACTCACGTTAATAATTAGAATGTTGTAAACAAATAGGTTCTTTCAAAGGAAAGACCTCATTAATGTAAAGAAGGAAATATACCTGGAAAGCACATTCCAATTCCATTTCTTTAATGAAATTCAGACTTTGAGTCACCCAATTCAATTTGTCCAATGAATGCCTCATATGTGGAGGTGCTTATTGGGCTGACTCCGAATCCTTTTAACATCTGCTGTATTAATATTGTTGTATGAGGATTTTTAGAAGGGTGCACCATTGTAACTCGGATTTTGAACATTGTTTGATTATTGGCTCTTGTATTTAAGAACTCAGAACACTTTTCGTCGTATATCAAAATACACACGTGATTCGATCCAACATAGAGGTTTCCATAATCTATGGGCATTCTGAAACTGTCACTTTTACCTCCATCCTCACCATCAAATGTAGTGATACGACATTGAAGATCTGTAGTGATTGAGCTCATATCAAGAATGAAGGAGAAAATGAAACCCAGCTTGGGGGACGGTGGAGCAGAAGAGAGATCAATAGTAATACAATCCTTTTCGGTGCTATACTCCAACCACTCTGGAACACTGCTTCCAGGATACATGTAAACACATCGATCAGAACGAGTGTAAGCATCATAATCCCCATAATTTTTAACAGAAATGTGCTTTGATATTGATAGGTGCTGGTTTGCAAATTTCATCATGTTGATTTTCGCATTGAACCCAATAGCACGTTCATCCAACATCACAGAATCTGAGAACAGAACAAGTTTCTTGTTTTCCTTTAACTGTTCATCAGCTAGTGAAGGAAATAATACAGTCTTCAATGATATGCAGTCAGTGGCATATAGAGTTTCAAGTGACGGGGGAAGTTTTGGTAGAGTCTCAAGTGAGCTGCAATGGCTAACGTCTAGTTTTTCAAGTGACAGGGGGAGCTTTGGTAGAGTCTCAAGTGAAGTGCAGCAAGAGAGGCATAGAGTTTTAAGGTCCGGGGGAAGGTCCGGTAGAGTTTGAAGTAACCAACAAGCTTTGATATCCAAAGTTTCAAGGGATCCAGGAAGCTCTACTAGACTCTGAAATGAGCATTCACAAGCAATTAGAGTTTTAAGGGACAGAGGAAGGTTCGGTAGAGTTTTGAGTGATCTGGAGAACTGGAAATCTACAGTTAAAAGAGATGAGGGAAGCTCCGGTAGACTCTCAAGTGATGCACAACCCAACATTAGATTTTCAAGGACACGAGGAAGCTTTGGTAGAGTTTTGAGTGAGTGGCAGCAATCGACATGTAAAGTCTTAAGGAGAGGGGGAAGCTCTGCTATTGTTTGAAGCTTCGAACAAAAACTTATCCTTAGACATATCAATCGACCAAGATTGTTTAATGACGGCAACCTCTCAATCCCAGTTTCGCTAAGCCACAACCATTCAAGCTTCGGTTGATCTCCAAATGATGAGGGCAATGCTTTTAATTTTCTTCCTCCTAATTTGAGCTCTTTCATATTGTCAGAAATCAGTGAGAATTTCTTAAGATTATCGCAAGATTGAAGGTTGAGATAACGAAGACTGAGTAAAGGGGAATTGCTTGCAAGTACAGTAAGGGATTCGCAGAAAGCAAGGTCCAACCTCTCAAGTTTGGGCAGAGAGAAAATAGATGAATGCACGCTGGTCAACTTATAACAACAACGGAGGTTCAGTACTTCAAGTCTTTTGGCTCTTGATAAATCTGGAAGCTCCTTTAACATTTTACACCAAGTGAGGTCAAGCTTTTTTAAATTCACCACATTCTGTAAAAAAATCAAAAGAAATGAAGATGTCACATCACCTAAATTAGTTTATTTTGTATTCCTTAAATTAACAGGAAATTATAACTGTGAGACACGAATATTTACCTTCACTCCATCCCAGAGCTTTACAATTTCACCCTGATTTAATTTCAATATAATAAGTTTTTCAGCATTAAAACTCTCTGGCAAGGACCTTAAAGGGTAATTCTCCCAACAAAGAAATCTTAGTTCAGTTCCCATAAATTTAACTCCTTCGGAACGAAATCTTCGTTCAGTTGTCGGTAAATTAGCCCTTATCTCAAAAATTTCAACAAATTTTGTTCTTCTCGTCATAGCAAATATTTGATGAGGGCTTAACTTTTTCTTCTTAATTGGTGTCAATTGAAGTTGAATGCTTCTAATGGCCTTACTAACCTGCCATCGGTGGAGAAGAAAACTTTTAAACATCATCAAAAGTCACATTTCTCACACACGTAAAAGAAATCAAATGCTATATAGAAGATATTATAGAGTTGCGATCATTAACCTTCGTATTTATCAACGCTTCATAAATGTCATTGGGATCCCACAATCGACTGCGGCTTCCAGGATCATCAATGGACTCTTGACGAACAATCTCCCAACCCATTTCTTGTAAACTATCATGCATACATACAATGTTATCCTGAGAGATAGTTATAAGAGCTTTGTCTTCCAGCCTTTTTAACTCAAAAGCCACTGAATCATCATTTTCATTGTCTTTCAACAAAGATTTTAGATCACCCACCTTCACTGGTTCATGCAATCTAACAAAGAAACACGCCAAATCTAGAAAAATTTGTTGCCCTATACGATCTAGACTATCATAACTCAGTTTCATTACATCATAAACTTTTTTTGGAGGAATTTTTTTAAGCTTGCTTAACAAACTTTCCCATTCTTCCTTATTTCTTCCATAAAGAAGACAAGCCAAAACTTTAACAACTAGTGGATTTCCTTTCGCATAATTGACTACCAATTTTGATATCTCATTGTACTCCCCCCTTTCCTGAACATTTTCTTTGAATGCAATAAAGTTGAATAGTTCAAGTGCTTCATCAGAACTGAATCCTGTCATAATGTAAGTCTTGCTGACATAATTAACCCTAAGCACGTGCTCATCTCTAGTTGTTACAATAACTGTACTACCGGTTCCAAAATTATCAAGAGATCCCAACAGTTCTTTTATATGATCTGAATCATTCACATCATCAAGCACAACAAGAACCTTCATACAACCAATTTTTCTCACAATATGTTCAGGCAGAGAATTTGGGGTGTCAATATCCACTTTCTCTCCTAACAGTTTAGAAAATATAATATTCCTCAAAGGAGTTGTTCCATCATGTTTGTTGGATTGATCTCTTTCATTGGCTAAGAAGTAAGATCCGTCATATTGAGATCGTAGTCTATTAAATACTACTTCTGCAAGGGTTGTCTTACCAATACCTCCCATGCCCCAAATTCCAATAAGACGAGTGTCCTCTGACTTATTACTTATCCATGATTCCAAAGTAGCAATTTTATCATCGATTCCAACAAGTCCATTCGAGTCAACTTGGAATTTGCCCGATCTCTTCAATTTCTTCAGCACATCAGCGACAATTACTTTAACCACCTCAGCATCATTTCTACAAAGATAGACAGATGAAGTGTATGTTAAAAATAAAAGGGTTTTTTCAATTTAACCAAAATGGTAAGTAATACATTCTTCAATTTAACCAACCACGTTAGTATTATAATATGCATATAAATATACAACAGCAATAAAAGAGCTTACTGAAACTTTGTAGATTCCATTCCAGAGAAACTAGCAGATTTATCTAAAGCACGTTTCCAGAGTTGTAACTCGGTCTCATGTTTTGTTGCATGCTCAGCAAATGCTTTTTGGTACCTCCCAGATTGATGTCGTACATCTGTGGGTGTCACTTTGTAGAAAACAGGAATTACAGTGCGTCCATATTTCTCTTGGCATTCAATAATTTTGGCAATTTCTTTTAAACACCAAAGAGAAGAGGCATAGTCTGGTGAGAAGATGATCAACGAAATGGCAGATCTTTCAATAGCTGCAACAAGTGATGGCCATATTTCTTCTCCCTTCTCAAGTTTATCGTCTACAAACGCATTTATTTTCTTGGTGTGAAATGCCTGAGTCAAATGGCTAAGAAACCCGTCACGGATGTCCGTGCCCCTGAAGCTAACAAAAACATCGTACTTTATTTGAGGATTGTTGTTATCTGACATGGCTTTCTCCTCTGCAACCGTCTGCTTTTGAAAAAAACCTACAGATAAAGAAAAACAGCATACAAAAAAGTAAAATAGGTACGAAAAAATAGAACATATTGATTGCAAAATAACTGGGACAAAAGAAGTATCATGTTAGATAGGAAGAATTGAAGAGGGGATCTTTCGATGTCTCTGCAGCCGAATATGTAAGAGATTGAAGGGTGTAACTAGAAACAAAAAGAGTTAGAAATGACGTGGAAAAAACAATGACTTTATGAAAGAGAAGGTTGATATGTAGAACAGTTGAAAGGAGGAAGGAGAAGAAGATGGAATAGCAGATTCTTGCCTTTTTTTCTTTAAGCGAAAAACTGAATTATTGATGGAGATCACAGAGGGGCTTTGAGTTTTCAATAAGGATGGAAAAATCAATTGTTATTTAGCATTACAACATAGAACTGGTCTTAAAATTATATAAATTACGCAAGCACGTGGAATTAAAAATGAATACTTGATGATGTAGATGACAGTGAAGCAGTGATGGTGAGTGATAATTGAGTTCAAAGTCAACTACTGCATTATGTGCAAAGAAAGAGTTTGGTCTCGAATATTAATTATATATTGATTATTAAATGATGCTGTCGGTTGTCTAAGAAAACTAACCCTTTAGTTAGATATACATAATTAATTATATATTTGAAAATGATAATTTAATTCATATAATTCTTATAAACAAATTTCTTTTAATATTATAATAATAAATTTACTTTATTTTTATTTTTATTAAATTATTCTATAAATTATTATATTAATAAAAATAAATTATTTAAAAAAATATAATTTTTAGTTCTCAATATATCACCTCTCTTATATATTTTCTCGTATTTCTCCCTCACTTTTTAAACAGTAAACATGGATTTATTTTTTATTTTCTCTGCTCCTGTTCATACTATCAACAATCACTCTAATATATTATCTCCAAGATTATTTAAGGATAAAGATATGTTTTTAGTTTCGTATTTGTCGTATAATTGTTTTTTATTTTGTTTTTAAAGTTATCAACTTGATCATCCAATACATAATTTTAATCCTTTTTTATGTTTAAATTTAATATTTATTATTTTTTGTTTTAACCTAAATTATTAAAAGATTAAAATTGATTTTAATCATACTTTATATTTAAATTTTATATTTAATAATATTTTTTATAGTATGAACTTGATTAAAGAATTAAATTTATTTTATTTTATTTTTAATTTGAGGATTAATTTGTTAAATGTTAAAATATAAGTACGAAAATTAATTTTCAGAGAAAAAAACAAAAATTATAAACATATTTATTCCATTATTTAATGTATCATAATTTATTTACCATCTTACTATATGTTCTTTTTATAGAAAAACAACAATAATTGATGATGAAAAAAGTGTCAGGACATACTTTAAATAATTTCTCGAACTAGTTAAAATTAACGAGGAGCAACAATAAATAATAGTAACAATAATTTGTAAAGAGAAAAGTGAAAATTCATCTTAACGTGAAAGAAAAAACTCATGAAAATAGTTCAGTTAATCAAATTCCATTATCATCAAAAGTACAAAGAGTTTATGAAAAACACAAATAAATATTTACAACTAATATGTAAAAATAATAAAACTTTCAAATTAAAGACACAAAAGAAGAAGACACACCTCAATAATAAAGTAATTTAAAATAATTTAAAATAGCATTTTCTTTACCAACGAGAATATCCTTGTCCACTTATGATAAATATTATAAATAGAAAAATTTTAAACTCTTACAAGGTTGAACTTTTTCTAAATATATAATTAGAAACTCAAACCCATCTTTCTCCTCATAATTATGTAAAGGTGACAGTTAATCTTATAACAAATTTTAAGTTTTTTCTTGGTTAGTGTCTTAATCATTATATAAATATCATTATTATTAATATGAACATTTTTAACTCTAACACCTTAGTATTTAAAGTATCACATATTTAATGATACCTCATATTAATATGTTTAGATTTAGAATGAAATATTAAATTTTTATCATGATGAATAGTTATTTTACACAAAACAAATTTTTACAAGAATTTCTTCAATCATAAAAACTCATTACATGTTTCAGACAATGCATATGTAATGAATAATATTATACACCTTTGTAATCTTAATTATCAAGCCACAACTTTTTTTTATAAACTTAATCAAATAATCAAAAATGAACATTCTAGATTCAATATTTTCAATCATATAGGAGTTTAAGTAATTCACCAAAATAAAACTACCACCTACTAATATTACGAAAATATCTCAAAATTTATTTCACAACATTCTAATATTTTCTACCTAGATTTCACAAAAATCATCTAATTGTATTAATAATATATACAACATCTAATCCGATACATACAATTGCATACATCAATCTATCCCCCACGGATATATAAGAATTTTGTCTTTCTTTATCTTATCAACTTCGTTTAAAAACCTCAATTTAACACTCAAAAAATGAGTTGTAAAAAAAAATACTACATTAATATTTTTCATATAAAATCTCTGTAAAATATTTTGAATGTAATGCTCTTATGATACATAAAACTTCTTTTCCTTTCTTTTCTATAAGGCATGATACTTATATTAAGAATTTTTTTAACAACTCTTTCATGAGAACATTTTTTCCAACCATAACTAAGTCAATAATAAATTCACCATCAAAAAACATTCTAACAAAAAC